TATTTGGCATGCCGAAGAGCTGGAATAAGTTACGCCTTATATGGACAGGCCAAACCCTGGAATAGCCGCAGTGAGAAGCGGATGAAAAATACGGGATATTCGAGAAAAGAAGAGCATCACAATATCAAAACCATCCATCCATCCATCCATCCATCCATCCATCCCAACGAAGAAATATACCACCACCCTTGTCTGAAGCCTTTACCAAAACCCCACAGCCCTCCTCTCATATGTCTGGTAAAGCGCGCTGGCCATGCTCAAAAACTCAATGTCCGCCCTTATCTCCACCCCTTCCTTCTTCCTCCAACCGTCGGTCCCAATCTACCCCTAAACTGGCGCATCAACGACGCGCACGGCCCGCAGAGCAAAAGCCCGCAACTGTGCGGCAGCGCATCACCCACCGCCACCGCCACCGCCACCGCCCCCGTCGCCCCTATACTCATGTCCATCTCCATCTCAACTAAACTCCTGATAACAGAGCCATCCGCCGGCTTTCCTGCACATTTATAGAAAGCGGGATTAACACAGATACTACCCCAAGGATTCGCCGATGTAGATCGATGCGGCGGCCCGCACCCACCACCATCGGTCAGCCGCGAACAGAGAGTTAAAACGCCGTCGTCACGTCGTCGAAGCTCGATTCGTCCATGCCCGGTATGGGCACTACGGAATGAGTTGCAGGGTAGGTGGTGTTGCATTCGAGGATTGCGACACGATACAGCGCGCATTTGGAACACATGCGACTCGGCTCATAGCCTGAGGAGGCGTGGCCGGTGCTGAGTTCTGCATAACCCTTGCCGTCGCGGCGGTCGAGAACGTCCACCTGTAGTTGGCCCAGGCCTAGCATCCCGTAGGTGAAATCCTGGCACCAGTGGCACGGTCTGGGGTCATCGGGGCTAGGGGTGTGTGTGAAGGCTATTGGGTGCGCGAAGGAGGTGCGGATCCTTTTGGTTATTGGGCCTGCGGTACGATGTTTGCGACGCTTAACGGATAATACGTTGGGGATGATGCTGCAGTAATCTGATGTCTGTGGGGGGCTTGCTGATGGAAGGTTTGTAGATGTTGTGGTGCATCTAGCTGGGGTTTTCTTCTTTGGAGATTTCGGCATACAAGACGCTGCCTCCTCTAATACAACGGGTAGATCAGTTTCAGCGGATGTCTTAGAAAGTTCCCGCAACAATATTTCTTCTATAGACGGGGTTGCCTTCTGCGACAGGGCGGAATTTTCTAAGGACAGGAGTGGTGTGTGAATTTCCCGTGAATCGTGTTGTTCCGGTCTTGGCTCGATGCTGGTGCGTATGTTCGACTGTAGGATGGCATCCTCTACTATGCAATTGTTAGCGGGCGCAGGTTTTCTGGCTATCCATCGATGAAAGCGGAACTTGGATCACTTACCCATTTTGCTAAATGATGCGACGAATTTATGCTGGGAATATTGAGCCTCTTGTCCCTGGAGTTTAACGGATGTGTAGGCATCCTGTGAACTAAGGGGTTCATGACTTCTTAACTCCTTCTCGGTCAATGTCTCCTGGCTGCCCTGGCTAGCCACCGTTACGCTGCTAGATCTTTGTTAATCTCTTTTTACCTACCACTTTTAATCTCTATTGCTCCTTTTATCAGATTTCGCACCTATCTTCGTCCACAGAACTTCTACCAGCGGGTGGGGACATGCTCCCTGCTTTGGGAGGTGTTTTCCACGCAGTTTGCTTACTAGGTCCAGCGTCAATGTTTGCAGACGAGGACACAGAATTACCTTCTATTTTCCCAAGGAGTGCAAGAAAACATTTCGATGTCTGCGATTTAAATTTCAAATTGACAATAGATGGATGCTCGATAGCTGGCGGTTGGTTAGGAGTGATATCGTTACTGGTTTTCACCTTCTTTATTGGCAGTTCCGATGTAGTGGGAGGTCCACTAGGTTTGCGCTTTGATGGGCGCCGGGACTTTCTAGAGCGGCTATCATCGTATAATTCAAAGTCCCCGCTGGGATCATCATCAACCCAAGTGGAAGGGCATTTCAATGGGTCTCTGTAGCGAAGGTCGTATTTAATATAGTCCTCCAGGTAATGGTAGGGTAAGCCATCTGGGGTCAGTTTTGGCCTCTTCGGCCTGGTAAACTCAAGAGCAGCTGCAAGATCGTTGTCGGAATACGGCATGGCTGCAATTAGTCAACTTTTTAAAAGCGATAGCGTGATAGTGCAGACTCGCGGTATGGTTGGAACATATCGAACTCAGCTTTGTGAGTAGAATCTGGTGCGCCAGAGCTCGTTTGACCGACTAATTCTACCAAGTGGGGAGTGTTCTTCAGCAAACTCTTATCGTGGAGATATAACTGGAAAGTGAAAGATGCGGTGAAATCAATGAAATTTAGATATGTGATGGTTCAATAAGCCAGGGAAGAGTCAAAGAGTAGGTAGGATATCAGGTGCAAATAACGCGATAGTGAGGAATCGTAGGCCTCACCCACCGTTGGCTTCGTCCAACCAAGCGAAAAACCCGACCGTCCCGTGGAGATGAAGTGACATATATAGAAACTGAACATGCAGGGCAAGCAGCACTTGCTAATTAGCATGTATATATTAGCATCAAGGAAGATAATAATTGAAGCTTCGAAGTAGAAGCTCACAGCCTAAGCTTGAACGCTAGCTTCAATACCGCAGTCACAGCCATTTGAAGCTGTTCGTCGAAGACAAATTCTGCGCCAGCCCAGAAAAATGATACCCTGTGGCTATCACTGTACATTAAGAGGCAGAAAATATATGGAGAGCCATTCGGCTGATATATTAGACAGATTCAACAATGGAAGTGCGAGCTGATGGGAGTAAAAGGTCATTGGACTATGAAAAGGACGTTAAACGATAGTCCCGTAAGAAGCCCTTACAGCTGGGTTCCGTGAGTAATAACGTATCCCTTCCACTAGGCTCAGGAAACGGCGATAGCAGCCTGTAGGAAGAAATCTGATGGAGGGACAGGTGCGAAACCCGGTTATCTCCCTCCTGATATTTTTGCCAGCAGAAGACGGCATAGGAAAGATAACCAAGAGGGAATAGACCGGTCAATTCAAATGCTTCTTCAAGATAGATAAGGGCCTCTAGGGCGTCTGGTGAAGGAAAAGCGTTCTAGGTCCATTTATGCAGCATTATACGTGGAGTAAAGTTATGTGTCCAGGCCGCCGGATTCGCCTTTTTTTCACGCATTATCGGAGTATAAATCCAAGGACTTTCGAGGAAACAATGTAGAGTATATGCTACACGCATCGAGAAAAAGCTGCTGGCTGGCTGTTCTGCCACTGTAGCACGTGTTGTAAGTGGCCATGTTGAAGCGGCGAAGTTGTTGCTGTTTGTATGAGGAAAAGAGAAGAGAGATCGATGCGAGGTCGAGATGGGGAACAATGCCAAGGCGCTAACAGAGCGTGGTATAAAAACCGCGAAAAATTTCCCGTCTTCCTTCAATTCTTGTCTATTTTTTTTCTCTGGATATTTTTATTTATATATTTGTGTGTTTCCTAAACAATTATATACGCAGTATGTCTCTGTGAAAAGATCGCGCCGTCTTCCTGCATGTATGACACTCGACAATGCTTCTACAACTCCAGATAGCTAGCAAATGAACCTCAAGCCTCTCTCTTTCCTTAATTTCTCCCTTCGCCCAGGATGAAACTCTTCCTCATCCGCCATGCCGAGTCAGAGCACAATGTTGCCCAGGTCTAGTATGATGCCGTTTCTATTTGCCCTTTAATCTCTCTGTGAGGGCGTGGGCTGTTGCTCACACAAAGTTCGTTACGCTCTGTTCAGCGCAGGAACAACAGACTCCGCTTTAACAAACCATGGCATGGTACAAATCCAGCGGCTAGCTCTCCACTTCAAGACTCAGGGAATTGCGTTTAACACGGTCTTCTCTTCGGATCTGCTGCGGGCTCGTACTACCGCTGAGGGCATCTGTGGCCTTGCTGGCGGAGAGGGGCGGGATGGAGATTCGCCTCAGTTACAACCTATCGTCCTACCCGTCCTACGGGAAAGGGACTTTGGTGCTCTAGAGGGAAAATCATGGCTTACCGCGCGAGATGGAGCCGCGAATTCCGTTTCTGAAACAGCTGGAGAGCCCGAGTCACATGCCTCGGTCGCCTCGCGGGCAGATTCCTTTCTCTCCAACCATCTGCTGCCAGTTTTGCTTGATGCGGGGCATCCTGCTCAAGCTGTTGCGGTTGTCTCTCATGGCATTTTGCTGGCTGCGCTGTGGGAAGCGCTGTCGCGACTGTTTCTATCAAGTCATGTTGTCCTTGCGCCAGGCGTTAAGGTCACAAAACGCATTTCGACGTGGTCGAACACGGGCTATCTAGAACTTGATGTTGGATGGATAGAAACTGGCCTCATAACCCCAGCTCCAGCGAACGAGAGTGGTCAATCTCACGATACCATGGATGGTTCAAACAGAGCTAAAGCAAAAAATGATGCTCAGAACCCGCCGTTGCATGGCCGTACGCTTACTATCCTAACGATAAATGGGAGAGAACATCTCAGAAATCTTAGGCGGACTCCGGGCGTTGGTAGCTCAAAGCATGATGCGACCCAGCAACGAATTGACAATTTTTTCCAGAAACCGAAGAACTAGGATTGGTCTGGTAGAATTTTTTATTTTTTCTCTCATGGCAAGCCTCCCATTATTAACTGGTATGTTCAAAGACTCCCTCTTATTCAAATATTGATCCCACACACACGTACCAACCTCAATTCATATCCCCTACCCCACTTCCTATGATGAAGCAAATTTTCACACAGACCTGTTCCGAAACAAGAATGTGGATAGTAAACATTACCAACTGCTGTCTGACTCATCCTCTCTCCTTTCCGCCGTTTCTCTCATATCAATCCTCTACAAATCATAGACTAACTCGCCTTGAAGACCTTGTAGATATTTATGTCTTGAACGACATATGGTGTGGATATCCTGTGAAGTTATCAAAACCAAGTATTCTCACTGCGGAATTTAAAGGAGCTTACAATAGAATAAATATTTATAAATTACTTATCTGCCACTTAAATCATATACCGTGCCTTTTTGTAATATATGAAATTAGGCGTTCTGTTGGCCATTAGTAGTTATGCAGCTATATTATATAACTGGCGCTATGTAATAATGTATAGGATATGTAAACCAGCAGACGAATAAACTAGAACGGGACAGAAATAAGGAGGATAAAAATAATGATTTTGCCCGCGCCCGTATGTAAACCCAAAATGTCATCTGGTGGAAAATAGAATGGACAGATATATGTGCAAAGAAATAGAACAAAATAGGTATCTCTAAAACAAAGGAAAAGACCCCATCCCATATATGCAAGCATGATAATTCATATAGGAAAATCATAAAGCATAAGGTATAAAACATGAGCAGCAAATACTCACACTTCAAATCCACATCATCCATTCTCCAACCTCCCTTCATCACTCAACTCCTGACCCCTCCCATTGACATGAACTTTGATCTCAGCATCAGGATCAGCACCCGTGCCTTCGCTTTCACTTCGATCCCTCCTCATTCCCCTCCTCTTCTCCCCGCTTTCATCCCTCTCGTAAAGCTCCACCTTCTTCAGCCCTTTCTGCCGCAACACATACCTCCGGAAGTAGTAAACCAACTCCCCGGCCCCAAACTTCGCATGCACCATCGTCGGCACCGAAAACACCTGATCCAGCTCCTCAAGCGTCTTCCCCTTCGTCTCCGGCATGAACAATAACACAAGCACAAACCCCACAATATTCCACCCAGCATACCACCCAAACGCGCCCTGCGGTTTGAACGCATTCTTCAAACTCGGCCACGTAATCGCCAGGATGAAGTTGAAGAACCACGTCGTCGCCGTCGCCAGCGCCATGCCATGCGAACGCACGTAGAGCGGGTACGCTTCGGCAGAGTACGTGAAGGGAACAGGGCCTTCGCCCGGCGAATAGACGATGCCGAACAGGTAGATGCCCAACGCGACGCAGCCGGTGTGGGCCCTGCGCATGGTCTCGGAGCCGTCAGTGGGGATCCAGAAGGAAAAGCCGGTCAGCAGCTGGAAGAGGCCCATGAGAGGGAAAGTAACGAGGAGAAGGTTGCGACGGCCAAAGGTATCGATGGTGTAGACGGCGGGGATGGCGAAGAGCCAATTTATCACGCCGAAGCCGAACGAGGCTGCTAACGCGGCTTTCTGGGAGAAGCCTGCGTCTAGGAAAATTTCGGATGAGTAGTAGGCTATGACGTTTACACCGCAGAACTGGGATGGAAAATGTCAGTGATGGGTTTGAGTTTTTTTTCTATATATATATATAGAAATGCATGAGTAGGCACATACCTGTTGCATAAACATGACAATTTCCGATGCGATAAGGGCGCGACGATTGCGGGGGACGGTTATGAGTTCGAGGATTTTCGCCTGGCCCAATTTCATCGTCGCCTCTGCCTCAAGCAAGGTGTGCATATAAAATAGGTCGCGTGCAGCCTGCACTTTTATAAACCGCAAGCGACACATGGAGCGATATGCCTTGTAATGGCTGCCTTTGCTCATATACCAGCGTGGTGACTCTGGGCAAACAAAGACGAATGTGCATACCAGCATGGCAGGGAACATGGCTGAGCCCAGCATCAGACGCCACCCCAGGCCCGTTACGCTGGGCGTATCGTGCACATTGAAAAAGACCAGATCAGACATATAACCGAGCATAATACCAAATGCAGTCCACATTTGCCATTGCATCACAAGGGCACCACGAATGGCTGGCGGCGTGGTCTCGGCGGCATAGATGGGCACGGTGGCAGACTTAGGCCCGATGCCGAATCCCAGAGCAAAACGACTAATGAATAAATGCCACCATGAGTTCACAAAGCCCTGCCAGAAACACGCGATGGCAGAGAAGACGCAGGTGATGAAGACTGTTCCACGTCGACCAAACCAGTGGTTAAAGGGTACGGTGAGCCAACAACCGATAAAAGCACAGCAGAGATACGGCGCTGCATTGACTAAGCCGACAAGCCATGTTGAGCGAGAATCGAGGCCGCCAATGCCGAATTGCGATTTGTAGAATATCTGTGCGCCATTCACGACGGATTCGTCTTTAGGTTTATGTTCCGTTAGTTTAGATAAAGAAATAGAGTGCCTTAAGCTTTTAAGCTTTCAGCTCTTAAACGCAAACGCACGGCGAACCACGGAACAAGGGAAAAGTGAAAGGCCGAAAACAAAAAAAGCAAAACACAATCTAGAAAATCAAATGATGGAGGTGGGGGGGAAATTCCAGATCTCAAAATTAGGGGAAATGAAGAAGCGGGGGGGAACAGAACAGACAGTTTAGCAGTCAACGGGGACTCAAGAAAATATAAAGAAAGAAAGAAAGAAAGAAGAAGAGAGCAGTAGTTAGCGAAGGAATAAACGAACTAACCCATTCCCTGAACGGCCGCACTGAGCGAGCAAAGAACAATGACCAGATACATGAGTCGCGGCTGCGACCATCGATTCGTAAATTCCTCCCTCAGCACCTTCATCTCTTTCTCCGTCAAGCCCTCGACACTCTCATACTTCTCTGGTGCCTGCGCCAGCACCGCACCCAGCTCAAAAGCACGGATATCCTCCTCGTCGCCAATCTGGTGCTGACGGGCATAGCGGCCACCGCGCTTCATGAGGGTGCTATGGCTGAGGCCTGCGAGCGGATTGGCGAGTTTGGCATTGAGGTTTCTTCGCGCACGCTCGGCCGCTGTGAGCGATTCGCGGCGGGAGTGGAGAAATGAGTGCTGCCGTTGTGTCGGGAAGGGGGTTGTTGTGTTCGCAGTAGCGTGGGAGGCTTTGCGGTTCGTTGTACCGGTCGTGATATTGTCGAGTTCGGAGGAGGAGCGGTCGGAGGCGGCACCTAGGTCTGTGAAGCGTTCGAGATGCCTCATTGTAATCGCTTGATGGCGAGCCGGCCGACGAAGGGATTTTAGGGGATTGGGGATATCCGTATGCTAATGGAGGAGATCTCTAATTGGAGTCCCATATCGGGACCTCACAATAGGGAGCCGGAGCCAGGAGCCAGGAGCCAGGAAATATGATATAAAGAGGGATCGAAGAATCAATCTCGTAGTTTTATAGAAAAATGGAAATTTAAGACCTCTGGGCCGTTTCGCTGTTCGTTACACGGGATGGCAATAATATGTTCTCGCCGAAGTTTAGCCTCCTGATAAATCGAAACAGGTATTTCTATTAATCTTCTATATTTAAAGATTTGTTGCAGACGCTGCGGGGGGGGAGAAGAGAAAGAAGTTGAATACAGCGACCCGCAAGCATTTAACAATAAACTAATAATAATAATAATAATAATAATAATAATAATCAGGAAACATTTGTGCTCTGTTTCCGGTAGTGGGGAGAGAGGGGGAGGGAGGGTGCTGTAGAAAAGGCAGCTCTCATAGTCACCGAAGTTGACGGATGAAGATTAGTTAAAAGATTCCAAGAAAAGTTGAACTGAGGCCCTTAAACGCACCCGAAATGGCATCAAGCGGGGCCCGACTAGCCCGAGTAAATTTAGTTGATGCTGGTGGTGGAGGGCATGCCCGAATGTTCGGTAAACAACATGAACAAAGAGCAAGCTGCGGGTTTAAAATCAGACTTGCTGTTTCTTCTGTTTCAAAGTTAGTAGATCCCCACGAGGAATGAAGGTAAAATTAAACAACGCGCCGGAAGCGGCAAAGGCTGCTGGTTGGTAAGACGCACCGGAATGAAACCATTTAATCTAAATCGCGTGGACGAAAGGGGCATGGCATGAGAGATAATATCCCAAGAAGCAGCAAGGGAGAGCTAGCTACCAAGCGATGCGTACGTGTATGTTCACAGATCTTTTAATTATTCTTCTCCTTTCAGGGTTAAACCTGGCTTACTAGACCAGACCGGGGGGTGGAGGGGGGGAGTTTATGAGCTGCTACGCAGTAGTTATGTGTTGATGGGGGAGATTGGGAAAATTTAGAATCAAATAAAGCCCAAGACGAGACGGCGGCGACAAGAGCAGCGAGGAATTTAACAGTTCAAACCTATGTCCCAGTTGGGAATTTCAAATGCAAGCCGCTGCAAAAGAGTCGGTCAACCTGGCCCGGTTCGTATTCAGATATAACTTTGCATATTTCAAGAGGATGAGGCTCTCTCTCCGTCGTCCTACGTTGCGTTGAAAACGACAAGACGTGATAGACCGCCCATGTAGTTACTGTATGTACTATAAACCTGTCTACTCCGCATAGCTGCCAAGAGCCATAATGGGATATCGGAGACATTTTCATATCATGGTCCATGGCATGGCATGGCATGGCATATGGCATGGGAGGGAACGTACTACGGATGGGCGGAGGAATGACGCTGAGTCTGAAGCTTGCCAACGAGGCTGCGAGAGGGCTCCGGACTCGGGAACGTTGATTTGCTCGTCTGGGGGTGGTGGCTGGGTTAAACTACTGGGTATCAATTATTATTATCAATCGCCTTGGAGCAAATTCCCGCTGGTCTGTTTCTTAAAATCTTCATCAGGTGATGGGTCTGGGGCACTGCGCAGTACGTACAGTAACTACTACTACTACTACTCCATCCATGGACATGCATGTTGTAGTTACAGAGTCCAACCCCCGGACGGTAATCTGCAGGTGTCAGCCTTGGAGACCATGAGCCAAAGAGAGAGTCAGTCTGGAGCAGTTGGCCGAGGTCTAAAAACTGTGGGATATTTGTTTTTGTCTTGCTCTTGTTCTCTCGACTCTCGAGCGTGCAGTATTTGTTTTTTGTCGTTATTATTGTGACTCCAACATACGGAAGTAAAGTTACTTCTTTCTGATCTGTGGTTGTTTTGTCCCAAAACATCAAAATGAATTAGGGCAAAAATCCGAAAACAGCCAAGCAAGCAGGCAAGCGCCACCTAACCACAATGTGCGTGCGGCAGTACGGAGTACATGATTTTAAAACATCTACACCCAAATACCCGACAATAAGGAAAGTCATTGGAAAGCAAAAAGCGTTTGTGGATAAACCAATCCCCATGAGCTCATTACAATGAGACATTTATTGGAATGTCCGAAGGTGGGGGCTTTGCCTCTACATAGTATAGCTAGCACTATAAAGCTAAGTACAGTAGTTACCAAACCCAATCAGATTTACATAGCGCGTACAAGCCAAGTGCTTCGACTCCCATCATAATTATTTAATTTTATCGCTACATTGATTTATTGAGGTGTCACTCTAATAACTGACAGAAAACCCATTCATCAAAGGCAAATGATTGCACATGTAGGCGGATGAACCCAAGATACATACAAGCAAGCTGGCAAGCGACTGGAACCGCCGCGATGACTTGACTGTTCGTCATTATTGCGGTCAGATCCGATGCGGGAATTGAAGGTCGTTGCCTCGTGAGAGCCAAAACCGGTTGACATGTGGGGCGACCGTTCACGCAAGCAAGAAAGTCGGGCTGATAAAAATAGACACAATCATACGCCCAGTACTACCCAACGCCCCCCCAACGCCCCCCAACGCCCCATTTCGTGTAATTTACATGCTGATCAGTTCCTTGCAAGGAAAAAAAAAAGAGAAACTAGAAAAGCAACAGCATTTTATTCAATGCACGCTCTGGAAAAGGAAATTCTCCACACTACAGATCCCCAGACGGAATTGCGGAAAATAACCATGAATCCGGTATGTCGAAAAGAAATTGCGAGCCCTAGCAATGGAGATACGGATATTAGTATGGCGAATTCAAAATGAAAGAGTCGAGACAAAAGAAACCCCAAACGAAAGAACCAAATATAAAAAAAAAATAAGGAAGGGGCAACTTACCCAATCGGCAAATTCCATCCTCTGAGTCTCAGATTCAGCACTATCACCACGTTCGCCATATATCGTGTTATGGGTATCTAACCCCGTCCCTTCATCCTCTTCCGACGATACCTCAACTTCCCTTTCTCCGAGTAGCTTTGCTCGCTCCTTTAGCCAAAGATAGCACTGGTCCAGTGCCTCCTTCGCCGCCTCCATAATGGGCCCTTCAACCTCTGCCACGCCCGCCTCCATCGCCTTGATCTGCGCCAGCACACAAGCAGAGAATATATAGCCTTTGACATTCGTTTCGCCCGCCCGGATCCGCGCCATTGCTAGCCGCATGTAGTTGTCGGTCGCAGTGTGAAGTTCTCTTCGCCATGTTTGTGTCGCCGACGAGGAGGTGGTGCTTAATGACGCGGGGGTTGAAAGGAAGTACCCTGGCATGTCTTCCTGGAGTTGGTAGATGAGCTCGAGGGAGATGGTGAATTGTGCGTAGATGGCGGAGCTGCGGATGAAGCCCCCGGCGTGGAGCTTTAGGCGGTCAAAGTCATCGTCGTCACTGTTGGTACTGGCGGCGGCATTCTCATTATTATCCTGGCTGTGGTTGCCTTTATTTGGCGAAAGAATCTGGAGAGCTGCATCCAGGCATATTTTACGGGAGAAGTAGTATTTTAGGTTTGTTTTTGCCTTGACAGCGAAAGGGTGATGTAGAGCAAGCAGAAACCTATTGGTGAGAAGGGAGACGGATTGGGTTTGGAAGGCAGACGGTTGCGAGGCTCTGTCTTGCGAGTGATGGGCTGCGTTGAAAAGGTGAAGCGAACTGTCACGCTGGATGGCAGTAAGCTTACTGCTGAGTCTCAGCACTTCATCATACGAAGGCTCGGAGCGTATATCATTCATTGCCTTTGCCATCTGGAGTCTGATAGGGAATGACTTCACGAGCGCGATTTGGACGCTGGTGTGGGTGAATCCGTTTGTGACGTGTGGGACGGCTTCAGGGTCATCAGGATTCATATCATGATCATCGATGTTGGATGGTGACTCGCAGTCATAATCTTGAAGGGAGACTAGAGGCGCCCCTCCCGCATCCATGCTTGACTGGAGCAAAAGTTCCAGAACCGTAGCCCACAACCTTCTCCGTAGCTCCGCTTGAAAGACTGGCATCTTTGGAAGATATTGTGGATCTCGATGTAAACCAACGTACATTGCTGCTCGCAGCAGAGAGCCAGCCGATATCCAAACGAGGTCACCATCAATCGCACAACTCTGCCGGGCTAGAAGTAGAAGACAGTGTATCTGGACGGCAGCAATATTGACGCGAGATTTCTCAGAAGGACCTCCCAACCATGACTGGGCAGCATAAATCCACGGTGCTGCCGTTATCCGGGGCGTAATAGAGCTGCCAGGGCCTTTATAGAAGCAAGTTCCTAGGGCCATGACAAGAAGCAATCGCACCACAAAAGCAGGGCTCGCGGACTGAGGGGGATTCCAGAGTTGGGCATATTCCTGTTGAAAAGTCGGCACGTGTAAGATTCGATAAACAGTCTCGAAGGTGAGAAGATAGCCCGAAACGAGCTGGTCAGCCGTCTCACGCGGTGGAACTAAATCTGTCAAGTCGGATATAGCTGGCTGGCGTGTTGGACGTCTGACTTTTATAGCCCTTGCTAATGTCTTACATCGATCCATCATCCTGGATATCCCGGAATTATCCTCGACTTCAAGCCGATGCCTTAAGTTGTATACCATATTGAACTTTGGCTTCAGTTAGCGAATCCATTTGGCTAAGAGCGTAGCAGGCATACAACTCCCTCTACATCAGCGGCATTTAAGAAGAAAGAGAGAAGGTAAGAATAGGAAATGAATGGGATGGGGCCGATAAAATGAAAAGGAATTGTCCTCACTTCCTTGGCACAATTCATCCAGTGGCTCTGCCCGAAAAATCTGGTCTTCGAGAAGGTCCCTCTCACAGGGGTGTGCAAGGCTTCACGATCCTCCAATGCGTCCAAGCGTCTGCCTCCGGGAGAAGATGAAGCAGCAACGGAGCTCGTGCTCGTAGACTGGGCCAGCTTCTTCTCCAACAGACGGACCCGATCGACGAGCGCCTGAATTGTCGCTGCAGATTGAAGGTCCTGGGCAACATTGCGGATAGATCCGGTGACATCACTTCTTTGATCATCTGCATGTGTACTCTGGTCCGATTCGTTTGCAGTAAAAGGTGAGGGATATGATGGGAAGTTCCCAGGGCGGCTTATCTGTGGAATAGGTACGGTAGGGGCTGGGGGAGCTTGGAGAGCTGAAGGACGTTGTGGCTGTGAGCTATCACAACATCTAGCAGAAGACGAAGAAGAAGGACCAGCAGAAGTTTGGGCATGAGTATATGTGCATGCATGTATCGAGAGGCTCTTCTTGGATCGGTGGCATTGATCGCAAGGCACCTTTTGGTCGCATCTGATCTTCCGGCGACGACACTGATCGCAGGCCAACGCCGGGCGCCGTCGTTTACGTGGTGGAGCATCACCGGTATACGATTGAATCTCATTACCATGCATCATTCCGTAAATGTGGTGCATATTATCGAAGCTGAAGTCTCGTTCTCGCTAAAGGGGCAATCGGCAAGTTGATCAGACAGCCCGGGCCCCACAACCATATCAGATTTTGCTTTTCTTCTCTTTTTCCATGCTTTTCCTTTCTTTGCGGCTTTTGTTAGTCCAGCTAATTCAATTTGATCCTGGATTAGTTGGGGAGGGAGTCGCGGAGTATTCAGGGGCAAAAGTCCGTGATATTCGCTTCGAGCCACGGTGAATTAGTCATTATCTCCGAAAGATCTTGCGATAATGTCATGTGATATGATTCCTTATCAGATCTTCCGCCAAAGCTGGTTCCCCTTTCTGGCAATTTTGACAACATCGGGAGGAAGAAGTTGCGGATATTCGATTTGTATGAATATCTATCTCTGTATCTATTCAACGATCATAACCCTTTCACAAACACCCGTTGAGAGGGGGATCCTGGTACTTAACAAGGTTTTGGAGTTTACAAGCCGATATTCCTAACAGGACTGAATATCCCGTTCTGCATCATCCTCTTATCCCCGAGCGCGGAGTGCGTCGACTCGGTCTGCCGGTGCCCCCAGACCCGACTATTTCGATGCTGCAAGGGTATGAGGGATAGCTGTGGCTCGAAGGCTGCAGTATTTTGCCAGATAATCCATGTTTATTCCGTAGTTGCGAGTCTTTCTCTGATTTTCAGTGCTGTGGTTGCAATACCTCTGGATGGCGGAGGACGGCAGCATGATTATGACGCTCATAATGGCACAGACAAGTGCACACTCACATAATCAGTTCAATCTACTCAAATGTATACACTTAGTGTATATATATATATATCTGAACAACGCACCTTTCAGATACACATAGCTTTCTCAATAGCTTCACCCCTCAAATATTCATAATATCCTTAATATCCTCTCCATCCTTATTTTCCTTCAGTACCATCTCTCTAAGGAAAGAAAGCACGATAGAAAAGGGGCTGCCTGCTTGCTTTGCTACTTGCTTCCCTTTCACACGCAGTGCTCTTTTTTGAGCCTCAGACTTTTCTCTTCTTCCCCCTTTTCATTCAATCTTGTATTCTTTTATTCTTCTCAGTTCCTTCTAGAACTTCGCAGTTAGCCTGTAATCATGGCAGACCGCGTCCACGAGACGTCAAGCACGCCGGAAGTGCATGATCTGAAGAACTCCCAGGAGGGAGACTCCGAAACCTGCGTCGAGACCAAGTCGGAAAACTCCTATCCGGATGGAGGCGCCAGAGCATGGGCTGTAGCGGCTGGCACTTCTGGTGTACTGTTTTGCACTTTCGGAATGGCAAACGCCTTTGGGTAAGCATTTATATGTCTCCTAGCAACATCCGCTGTTGCTATTTTTGCCCCATCTTCTTCTCTTGTGTCTCGTGGCTTCCCTGACGCGTTTTATAGGGTCCTCCAAGAGTACTATACGTCCCATCAACTATCTGAAACGTCGCCATCCGCCATCTCATGGATTGGATCGTTACAGGTCTTTATCCTATTTGCTAGTGCCCTTGTGGGTGGCCCCCTCTTTGACCAATATGGAGCGAAGGTATGTTACAGGAACACGCCCTTTACCCTACGAAATCCTAGAAGGGAACTGACATATCTTTAGGTCATCTGGCCATCAGCAGCACTCTACGTTCTCTCACTCATGATGACAAGCCTTGCGAAGGAATTTTACCAGTTCATGCTAGCCCAGGGGGTATTGGGCGGAATTTCCATGGGTATGACTATGGCTCCTTCCATGGCTGCCACGCCCCAATATTTCGATAAAAACCGTGGAGCTGCCATGGGTATTGCTGTTGCTGGATCTTCCATTGGAGGTGTTATCTTTCCAATTGCCCTCGGGAAACTGCTTAATGACACCACACTGGGCTTTGGATGGTCTTTACGCATTATTGGCTTCTTAATCCTAGCGATTCTGGCACCATCATGCCTAGCTATCCGTGCCCGTCTTCCGCCACGAAAGGGGAATTTTTTGCTCCTCTCTGCATTAAAGAATCGGCTCTACTTAGCTATCATTGCATTTGCTTTTCTCATGATTCTCTGCGTCTTTACCCCAATATTCTATCTCCCGACCTACGCTGTCCAGTATGGCATGAGCAAAACGCTTTCTTCATACCTCGTTGCGATCCTGAACGCCGCGTCTTTCTTTGGCAGAGTCATTCCTGGTGTCTTGGGTGACAAATTGGGACGCCTCAATGCGGTTATAGCATCCGGAGTCTCCTCGGGGATTCTCATACTCTGCTGGCCAAAAATTACAACCAATGCGGGAATATTTGTTTTCGCTGGTCTTTTTGGCTTTTGTTCCGGCGCCATCATCTCGGGCATTGTTGTCTGCCTTACGACATGTACTAATAACCCAAAAAATATCGGTACATATATGGGCATGGGTATGGGCCTTGCATCAATTGCTGGGCTGATAGGGCCGCCGATAAGTGGTGCACTTGTCTCTAGATACCACGGGTTTGACCAAGTATCTATTTTTTCCGGAGTGGTGGTCCTCGTTGGATCAGCTATTGCCCTTTTCGCAAAGACTTTAACAGAAAAGGGAATACTCGGAAGGGCGTAATGAAACCAACTCCCCTTCTTACTTCGGCCGCCTCTCCTATTCGTTCAGCTTCACCCATTGTTACTGGTGGTTTGTGTGTTGTTTGTGTTGGACGTGGAGGGCGTTAATACTTATCTCTACTCCTTGCATACGTCTATTTCCTATATGGGTTTCACGTGGTAGTGCATGTATGAGTTCGTCAAGGGATGGAAAGAAGTCATCCATTATTTTCATCGAGGCGAAAAGATATCCGCTGTTTATTCCTATATGATTTGCCAAAGTATTTCCACCAAAACTGCAATTCGGCATGATGTTATATTTGTCTATTTATTGCTATTTGGGTGCTCGCTTTTATCTATGTTCTTATCTATTCAATCGTTCTAATATGCAGAGTTAATTTATTTACAATTATTCCCTATCCGGACGCTGCAGTTTCTAGCGTTTGTTAGTATAGATAGACAGGGGCTGTATCCTTGGTGAAAAACCCAAGCAAGCAGGCCAAGGATGCTTATCAACAGCACCTGAACGATGACCGCGATCCAAACAGCTAAGGCGATAATACTACAAAGAACGGTGCCATACGTAGCTACCTGGTGATCAGGGACACAGCCCAAATACGAAGCGGGGTTGTAGCTTAAACAGCTTAAGAGCTGCCATATGAGAACGGTCGTCTCCTCTCTCTCATGCGACTACTTTCAGCACAAGAAGAGACAGCATGGCCCCTGGAATTGGACACCGTCGACTGCGGCCAGCTCGGTTCAAGCTTGAACTATACACACAGCATGATCTCGCAGCCATTCCCCCTCCAAACCCCTCTATCCCTACTTTCGACAGCAAGTGTCCGCGCGCAGGCTGTGGAAACCTGGTCACTCGACTGCCCCCAGAACTCACCACCACCATCCTGCTCTACCTGGACCTAAACTCCCTCCTCACCCTCCGGCTCGTAAACACCCTGTATAGAACGCTAATTGACTCGCTGCACCCATATAGCCTCCTAAAACAACATGCCCCACATACCCTTCGCATTCTCCACAAAGTCCAGCTCGCGTCCCACTTCCCCCTCCACCAGCTCTACACCGAATTCCGCCACCCACACTGCCGCGCCTGCGGCGCTTTCGGCCCGCTAGTTTTCTTACCCACCCTAACTCGCTGCTGCGACCGGTGTCTGTGGACGCGGGCACACTTCCAGGTGGCGCACATCGGTTTCCTGGCGGACCAGTTTCCCGGAAACTTGTCGCCTGTCGAGCTGGAGGCGCTGGTGTCGCTACTTAAGCAGTTGCCGACTGTGCATGTCTTTCCCGGGGCGTATGGGAGGGATCGGTTGCATTTTGATATCATTGACGAACCTACTGGTCTTGTTAGTATTGCGGAAGCGGAAAAGGCTACGGTGAAATGGCTGGGGACTCGTGAGCGGTTTCGGGGGAGTATAGCTTCTCTAAAGGCCCCGCGGCTGGGGCGGGGCCAGGGCCAGGGGCGGGGGCGGGGTCAGGGCCAGGGGCGGGGGCGGGGTCAAGGTCAAGGTCTGAGTCAGGATCAGGGGCGGACGGAGTCTAGTATTAATATTCCGCGCCTGATGGAGATTTATGAAATGGCAAGGTCACGGTGGATGGGGATGGGTGCAACAGATTTCCCGTATTGGGATGCGCAGAGGCAGATGGCGGAGTCCGGGATTTATTGTAGCCCATGCACGCTTCAGAAAGAGTATGAGTATCGGTATGAGCAGGACGAGGGCATGGAAGAGGAGGGCCATGGGGACACATTAATATGGGATGGTGATGATCATGGTGCTGATGCTAGGAATACAACCGGCCCGAGGGTCGATAATGCGGCGTTTTATATGGGGGATATTTGTAGGCATTTTGAGGAGTGTGAGCGTCTGAGGAAAGGGTATGTCTTTGGAATGAAGGATGGGATGACGCGAGGGATTGGGAATGGGCCTGATTTCTGGATCAATGCGGACGGGTGCATTGTGTATGATCGTGACTAAAGTAAACTGTTTTGGTTACAATGTGATGATGATCGTGATAAAGTACATTAAGTATCCGGATCCTTCTCCATAGTCAACTAGACTCTACCAGATTCGCCAAGGTCTCTTCGATATTTTTTGAAAAGAGGGGAAGGGGACTTTAAAGCCATTTATCAACTATCCAGCCGAAAATTTTATGAAGGATCATCGAATAAGCACTCCTCGCTGGCCCATATTACAATATTCCTCTTCCCGCCGCATATGCCGTATGGAGATAGGCACTCTGCCACAGGTGTTATTCTGGATAACGTCCGTACCATCATTAGTCACCAAGTACGCCAACTTATATACCCTAACGCCTCCTAAATACAAGCTTTCAATCTCCCGATAGGAAACTCAAGCGCCCATGCCTGCCTCGTCCGCTAATTTCGGCACAAATGCTCCACTACTAATGTTAAACCCAGCATGCGCAAACAGATCCTCCCAGACGACGTTATCCGTGAAGAGCGGTGTAGCGGTGCTCTGGCCATCCATCGCCATGAAGGTTTCGAGGCTGTTCTGTGTGGAGGTTTTGAATATGTTCCTATTTGGAGGTCTGGTATTAATGTAGCCGTTCAACTGCGGGCCTGGACCCTGTGGCATCTGTGGGAGTGGTTGAGGGAGTTGGCGCGGGTCCGGCGGTTGAGCTTGTTCGAGCTGTTGTGTATCGTTTTCGTTGAAGGGATTCTGATGCAATTGCTGGTGTTGCTGTGGTGGCTGTTGTGGAAGGGGAAGCGGACTCTGCTGGTATCCCTGCACATTTCTGGAAGCTGTTGGTGGGGACATTGACGGGACCGACTGGTGCGGAGAATTAAATCTCTGGGATGGTGTATATCGTCCTTGCTGCTGAAGAGGAGGTAAATGGGGAAGATGATGCATTTGTTTCCCGTTTTGCTCGAGCAGCCGATGTTGCTGTCTAAGCCATCTGTTTGCAGGGGAGCATGATTCTTCTTTCGTCTTCCGGTACTGCGCGACAACGTTTGAGAGGAATCTACTTTGGTGGTAGGAGCTAGTGTTTGTAGCTTGGCCTTGTGTGCTGAAATTCTTGCCTGTTTCGCTGATGAGGTCGAGGATCAAGCTTTCAGATTCGCTCGGGAGTTCTCCCGGCAAAGAGAGAAGGATCTAATGTTTATTAGTGATGGTGTGTCTCAACGGCAAAAGACTGTCGGGGAGAATATGTACGAAACGGGTAATGACAGAAGTCAGACGCAGAAATAATAGAGACAACATACTTTGCTCATGACCACAGCAGCGTACGCAACCATTACATGAACAGAGTCTTGACAGAAGCACGAATGGGACGTTACCCCGAGTCGGTCAACGACCAAACGAAGCATGTCCAGAGCACTAGTATAGCAAACCCAGAGTGCTTGTTTGGAAATATTCCCACTCAGAATCGAGAGCTGGAGTCTAAAGGAATGCAGAAGGAGTCGAAGATGGGTTCCGTAGAACCGGACGATAAAGCGATGAGCAACATTGGTGCTGACTAGAGATTGAGAACAAAAAATGAAAAATTGTTAGAATTAACATATTTGATATTGTTCTTTCCCTTGATAAAAATGGCAGAATCTCTACGCGATTAAAAGGGAGAAGGGATTCGATGAAACAGCCTCCTGTCAAAGGCAGACAATTTCAGGAAACATACCTTCCTCTACAATCTGGTACCACTTAGCCTCCCACCTGTCTAAGTCGCCATTGAATAGTTTCAAGATCACTTCGATCTTGATTATCGATTGTGCCGTTGTGGCAACTGGATCGATCCAGAAGAGTTCCAAAATCTCAGATCCAAGAATGCGGAGCTGCACAAAGGCGGACATGATTTGATCACAGCCAGGTACCGCATAGACATGTTGGTGCCAATGTTCCGCGCTGCGAATCAAGGGATCCATTTGGATCATCCATGGCTTTCCCAGTTGTAGGCTCACACTAAAATCGTAGAATTAGCCATTGCATAACTATCAATAATCAAGAGAGGTAGGATTGAAAGGGCTTTTTTTCTCTTTGCAACAAATAAATTTACGTACCTTCGGTCATATACGAATAGCATAAGCCAACTTCGTTCTTTACTTCGCAGTTCCCGCATTTCAAGCTCCGATTCCCTTGATTCCCGCATAGAGCTTGCAGAGCTGTCTGGGCATGATGGTTTAAACTTGTGCCAACCCATCTCTATTGCTGCTCGTATTGCATAACCCACCAAGAGCCATGCGCGTGAGTCACTTGGTTCTTTCCAGTAGGTCAAAAGACAGATTCCTTGAACAATTTCTGTAGATATTTGTCCCGTGCTCAGGATTTCTTTAAGGATTCTTTCTACATGCTCATGAAGTTTATCGTATAAAGATGGCCTGAAAATCTTTGCTGCAGCAGAAAGGAGGGCAGAAAACAAAAAAGACGAGCGTGTTCGTATGTATTTCAGCGTGTGTAGCTTTGGATCAAATTGGAAGATGAAAGGATTCATGTAATTGAAGAAGCTGTATCACAGGCCATGGTCAGTCATTTTCAGCAGCGCTCACAAACTTGTTAGATAGTTTCATGGGATGGCGGAGCTCACCCATCAAACAAATCTTGGGCCGTCAGCAGATCGACAAGGTTGAGGTTTATGGGGTCATTCATATCATGCCTGTAGCTATCTCCTGATGCGAAACTTGCTGTTCTGCGTTTTGAAGAATGGTACGTAGGAGATTCGTCTTCCGCATTCAGTACGTTTGCGATGGAAAATTTCCCAGCTGTAGCAGACTTCCGGAGGCAGCCATATGGCGCAAGGTTCTCAGATGCCAAAGATGGCTCCGAGCCTTCAGGTCGTTCTACGGTCGCCGGCACATCTCTATCGGTTGATGGAGTAGCGAGGGTGCGGTACGTTGGTTCAATGTAGCCTCTGGCCTGCATGCGTTCCGCCTTTGGACGTAACCTGCCAGCAGCGACCAAGTAGTCGGGAGAATATATCAGTGGCCATAAATGAGATATTTTCAATATAGTAGTATATAGCCGTAAAGTCCTAGGCGAGTCCAACAAATACGTGTCCTATTGTGCCGTATGATATTGACAAGAAAAGTCGCATGAACGTGCCAAACCCGTAGGTTTCCCACGAAAAAGAATTCACTCACTTTGTGCCCGCCTTACGACCACGTCGATGTGCTTCAAAAAAACAAGTCAGAGACTTGCGCTTGCACCGAGAACAAATGGTCGAGTTCAACTCCCGAGTACATTTCATCTTGACGGCGCGGCATGGTGTGCACGCCACCATGGATGGGTTTGCTGCACCAGGCGGCATTTCTAGGAATAAACCAAACAAAGTGATAGGCGATTAAAAAGTCGATTCATGCATTTCTCCTGTGCGGTAACAATGTCGTTGCCGTTGGAAGGTCCCGGGAGAAGATCCTGGTGGCTGTGGAAGTAGAGCTGCGGCAGATAGGCTTCGGTTTCAAACCGGCCATTGTTAGTTAGCGGGACATCAGGCGAAACGGCTGAGTTAAGAATTGAATGACCATCCGTCTTTTTAAGCTTCTATGCTCAGGGGATATTTATGTGAACAATCTAACTTTAGATTACGTCGAAGCATCATATTCCCTCCGAACTATAGCGGCGTCTCGGGGGTTGTTGTTCATTCCCAGCCCCTTGCTGCGCTGACAAGGGGGAAACTCAGTCGGCTGAACTATGCCGTAAGTTAGTAGGAAAGGTTAAATACAAAGATGGTTGATGAGATCCTCACTACTCCGTACACTACTATTACTATCCAAGCCAGGGACACTCGAATCAGCTAAGGTTCATCATCCAGGGAATTAATGGGATATATTTGTTAATCCCTTTCTATCCCCTCTTCTTTGCGCTCTATCCTAATAAAAAGAACTTGGGGCCGCTCGATGTACTGTGGTTCCAACGGGGTTAAGGGACCTTCGTACTTACATTATTCTATTCTAGTCTGCCGCCCAGTGAAATACTTCCATGACAGCTGCTGACTGAAATAGGACGTCCAGTTCTTTCGGCAGCAGTTAACTATGGACTAGGCTGTATGGATTGAATCGCCACCTGCTGCGAAACAAACAATACGCTATACCAGTAGGTAGCCTCATAGACATACAACCCCAGCATTGCATCCATAAAACCGGACGCGTTCCACAAGCTGCTGACAGCATCCGTGGCGAAGGATATTAAAAGTTAATTTCGTTTGTGGAATAGATCCAGAATCATGAGGGACACCCATGCCATGTCCTTACCAATCCCCCCCTTGGAAAAGACGCCGAAGCGCTCAATAACCTTAAGAAAACCCCACCTTCAGGGGCCAAGACAATATGTTTGCCGCCCACTAACCAGCTGGGAGCTTACTTGAACACCGGCATTCTCACACTGCTGCCCTACGGGTTGCATCTGCGGGTATCTTTAGCACTTTGTTAGCGGAAGCCTAATACTTCCGTAACTGGAAAAAGAATGCGCGCGGTATATTTGGGCCCCTGAATGGATGCCGACGCTGTATGGACCCATATCCCTGCCAGCGGGCTTCGCGGAGGCTCTTTTTAACTAGTTAGTCCTGCCTACTTTGTTTGGACAACCCAGAGGCCAGGACACGTCTATCAACTAGTTAGCCCTACACAGTAGCACTGGAAGGTTTTCAAATTTCAAAACGCTGCCATTCGGTAGCAAAAAGATCTCACAACCCGCTGAAAATAAATATTTTCCTAGCTTTACCTTGCTTGTGGCGAATTATATATAAATATGTATTTGTGGCTCTATCTAAGAAAGTCGCTGCTCAAGTTCACACGGAAGTCGACAGGATGAGTGCGTCAGCGGCGAGGGTGGCTCATGTCAACCTCATGACAGATACAGTCATCGCCAACCTCAATACAGATACTCTACGAGTAATTCTTCGCTCGATGCTCGTAGCAGATGAACAAGTTGCAGCACCAACCACGTGCAGCAATATCTCCGACACGATCTACAAAGAACGTCCGTTCCGGTATTGTTTCCGGTTACCGACAAATCTACACCAACTGCATCAGCCTCATCTTCTTCACCTTCTTCTTCAACACAGCCTCCTCCAGTCCCGACGCCGGAATTGGCGAAACTACGAGGTACGAGGCCGTACGCATAGTATGCTCGCTCCTCGGCTCAGGCCTAGCCTTTGAAAGCCAACAGCTACTCGCCGAGGTGGTCCGGCAATCCCGCGCACTTCAACTGAATGGCAGGACGTTTGAAGGCGAGCGACTGGCGGAGGTACTCGTGGCCGTAGACGGCGATTTGGTCCAGGCGCTTACAGCAGTGCAGAAGGTTGTGACAACCAACAATTGGGGGAAAACTGGAGAAATTCCGGCTGCACGGCTGCAGATTTTACTTAGCCTTCGGACGGACCTTAAGGAATGCAGAGAACGGAATGAGGGATTGGGAGTGGGATTCGGATTCGGAAGAGGCTCGATGATGCTGGAGAATATTCTCTCGACGATGTCGGAATGAAAAGAACTTCCTCCCCTTTCTTTTATTTTCTCTCTCGTTTCTGGCACTTATCGGAATCTCCAAATACTCCAGACCTTCAGGAGCAGAATGTGATGCCGATCATTCTTCTCTTTTCTTTTCTTACTTCCCCTGTGGTTTTGTGATACATTTACGGTTGCATCATATCCAGGGGCAGATTTCATCAAATGTGACGAACTAGTCTGCAAGCAACCGCAGGGTATCACATATAAATATACCGTACTACACTCAAATATAACCTTATTCCTCCTTCTTGGCCTGCCACGTTGAAATTGCAACCTTAATCATCATTCTAACAATTGCGCTTTGGGATATGCTTATTTCAAATACAGTTCGCGGATCAGCCTCCCAAGGAACTATACAGTCTCGAGGGCCTCTTGTCACTTCATACAATAGTAACGACAGATTACAAATGCAGGGAATGAAAACAAAACATTTTATTTTTTCTCAGCTAATGTAGCACTGCCATTATATCCTCACATAGGTGGGTGAGTAAAGTAAGTGGTCATGAATTATTGTAGCCCCTTGTCTTCTTCACAACCATTATATTTCGGCCCTAGGCTCCCGAATTGTCTCGGTCTCCGAAGCCAAATCGTTAGGGTCCGACGGCATCGAGCTCCCTGGCTATCGACGGGTTGGTTGGCGTATCTTAACTTCGGCTCCTGTTGACATGGCGGGTAAAATTACTGCATCGGGATTGTTCCAGAAATACTACAACATCCATCCATACAGCATTCTACAAAAAACCATATTCGCCGGTCGTATTGTTATAAATAACCCGTCAGATTATTAACTCACTACGTAATTACAACAGACGCAGAAGCTCCATCACGTTGCTTTTTATTTTTTTTCATTTTTATTTTCCTGTTTACCTATATCATTTTCGCCATGCCCGCAGGTAACCCCGCAATTCAGGTCTCAACTATGGCAACCCCGTCTCTTCAGGGAAATGAACGCGCAATTGAGTACTTCCAACTGGGCCCGTTCACTGTTCCAAGACTGTTCATCGGGTTATGGCAGCTGTCAAGTCCAGCATGGGGGTCCGCGAGTAAATCGAAGATATTGAGCCAATTCCAGAAACATGTCGACTCGGGCTTTACAGCGTTTGGTGAGTAGGTACATATGTATATGCGTTTGTAATGGACGAACATAAACTATTGCATATCATACCATATACAATAAAGGATATATATGGTCATTATGCTATCATTACAGGAGGCCAGCACCATCTGCAGTTCTTAGTTCCGGGAACAAATCCTAACCAGTTCTATGAGCAGATATGGCTGATCATTACGGCGATGCCGAAATTGTATTTGTGAGCTTATCCTCTCCTCCCGTCTATTCTGCGAAACGTCCGGGAACATAATGAAAATAATGACCAAAAAAATACCCCGTTGCAAGTAAGGGCTAACCAAATTCTTTACAGGGCGAATTCCGGCTTTCATACTCAGGGCCTAAATCCATCTTCTGCGCCACCAAGTTCTGCGTATTTGAGCATATCACAGTGACACCAGATGGAATGCGTGATGCCGTCTCACAACGCCTGGCAAATATAAAATCGGATAAAATCGATTTGCTCCAGTTTCACTGGCATGATGTGTGTCTTCCGCCTCCAGATCTCTATTGTTTATTATCTATCTCATTTTAGTCGTAAACTTTTTGGTTTTTTCTTAGGAGGGGACATGGCCCCTAACTCTTCTCTCTGTTTTATTTCTACAAATTTCATGTGTCATATATCTCCATCAATGAAGAGCGATGATACTAACTTAACAATCTTTACGTCAGTATAATGACGCACAATATATCCGCGCCCTTCAACTCCTCCAGAACGACGAGCGCGTGGCAGTGCTGGGTCTATGTAATTTTGACACGAAGAGAATGGAAGAGGTTATTGGTGCTGGTGTGAAGATCGCCACAAATCAAGTGCAGGTAATTCAATAACTTCATAACGAAAGAAGGGGGCCCTGGAGAACACTAGCACATCAGTTCCATATAATCGCTGATAGCAGTTTTCAGTTCTCACTCATCGACACTCGGCCAAAGTACGCCATGGCAGAAGTATGCGAGAAGCATAACATCAAACTTCTCACATATGGGACATTGGTAAGGGGTGCTCTCCTCAATATTAACATTGAAACTCATCCCGTTAATATCCTTATGTTCTGCACCGCTAACTCCGCCGCCCTGATATGCAGTGCGGCGGCTTCCTCTCCGAAAAATGGATCGGAAAAGATGAGCCAGATGCATTTGGCGCAGGGATGACTCCCAGTCTGCGAAAGGTACGCGGTATACGTGACAACTCCAACCCTAACCATAACCAATGCCAACTTTCAACCTCCCCACCCAAGCTTAACACCCAGTCTAGTACCTCGAAATGATAAACATATGGGGCCCCTGGTCCCTCTTCCAAACCCTCCTCAAAACCCTCTCCACCATCGGCCGCAAACACAATGCAAGTGTCTCCGCGGTAGCGATACGGTGGGTGCTCGACTTCAGCTACGTGGGTGCCGTACTTGTTGGAGCACGCATGGGCGTTAGTGAGCATACGGAGGATAACTTGGCGGTGTATGAGTGGCACTTGGATGCGGAGGATAAGAGAATGCTGGAGGAGGTCCTGTGCCAGAGCCGAAGGGGGGAAATATTTAGGGATATGGGAGATTGTGGGGCGGAGTATCGGAGGTGAATTAAATGTTCTTTACAAAGCTTATTAGCTATTTAGTAACAAGCCCAGCAAGTTTGGGAAGTATATGTAGGGAAGTGAGGAAGGTATGCGGTGCCAGATGAAAGAGAAATACGCTTGTATAAAAATAAAGGTCGTTTAGGAACACCTCTATTAAACAGGAGCAAGAGCGACAACAATAAAAAAAAAAAAAAATCAATCTCGGCATGTACCGTAGCCCAACCCTAAAAGAACGCTCGGAAGATCCCTTCTAGTAAAAAGTAATCCCCAAAATGAGGAAAGCATTAAACACAGGAACCATGATGTAGGACGGTGCAAAAAAGAATAACTTGATTGCAATTTCCCCAGAGCGAACCATACCGGTCGAGACTACGATCAAACCTTCCCACCGACAAACCCATAGAATGAGATGATAAAGCACGTAATAGAACAAAAAACAAAACGTTTAGCGTCCCAATGCTTAAAAAAAGATATCCCCTCCGTAGTTTGGAAATGAAGGCAGTTAACGAAGGTTTCGTTGATCTTCGCACATCGACTAATTGGCACATCATTGGTAAGATCGTGACAACTTAAGTAGTGCGTGGTACGCAAGAGGTGTGTATGGGAAGTTCAGGCGGGTGAAGTTGGATGAGAACCAAGGAATAGACAATTATCATCAATTGTTAATCATGAACTCACGAGGCTGCATAATACTGCAACTAGAGGGGTATAAAACACAGAATAGGGATCTGGAAATCAATCTTCCTTCTTGGAAGTCAACGGCTCCTGTGCACCTGCATAAGCGGTATCTTTAGGTTCATCGTCGTCTTCTAATGGGACATCCAACACACGATCGCCTGCTTTCTGAAGCACTTTGCGGCTCCAAGCCCGTACGCCTTTGTACACAGTCTGTAGATTTCAATTAGCAGCGACCGAGAAGAAGAACGAGTGGAGAAAACCTACCCAAAGGAATGTTAACACTCCTATCAAAAGAACGATCCAGCTGACCGAAGCCACCCGATCCCTGCCAGTGGCAGCGGGTCTCCGCCCACCGCCAACAAGGCCCGAGTTCCGCAGATTCCACCACTGCCATGGAGAAAGAGCAAATATGACTTTTACGAACGACAAAACGCCCAGAGATGCAAGGCCCTTGAAGAAATGTTCGGCCCACGTTGTTGTTACCGGGACATCCTCTTCGGGATAGATGAGCTTCTCAGTATCATCGGGATCGTATAATCGCGAGAGTATGGTATCAAACGGATCAATATATAGGTTGATTATCGGATCAGCCACAAAACCAAGCAGGAACATCGCAAGCAACAGTATAACGGCCGTGAGGGCAAGTTGAGTTGCTGTGCTCGTGATCCATCGACCCCACCTCATCCTCTCAAGACGATACTGGAAGCCACATGTGGGGCACTGCCAATAGTTCCTGTCCGAATATGCTGGATCCGCATGCCTCCACGAATTCAAACAGCCTTCATGCACATATCTCGAGGATCCTTTACATTTGCAAGGTCTAATGAGACGACCTAGCTCGGGATCGGACGACTCGTATGTAACCCGAGGAGTGGACTGAAGGAACTCCGGGAGGTTCTCTGAAGCAGGCTGGAAGGTGGGAGGAACAGTTTCTAGGCAAATGCGACATGTTCTAGAAGGATAGTATCTGGATGAGCTGGAAGATGCGAACGAAGTAGGTTCTCCCTCAGCCGCTTCCTGCGAACGGGGTTGGGTCTGGCTCTTAATAGGCTCTTTCGATTGCTGCCGTGAGCTACTTGTAGCCTCAGCTGCAGACTCCGTTGCAGGCTCTGGCCACTGCCACAGTGGATCAGTCCTTCGGGCAGAATGAAACGACATTCTGAACTTGCACGGAGAAGAAAAGGGCCTTCAATAATTAAGGATTAAGGATAGATATAGGTTAGGTATTGGATGCAACGGATCAAACCAACAATTAAACAGTAATTATAAATACTCAACCAGCTTCTAGCTCTGGCTGGTTAGTTGACCACCGTTGCAGTGGCACAAACATCATGCGCCAGCAGCAGAAGGATGGTTTGTTGCCGTTGATGAAGTTGATGTTGACAGGTGGCTGCAGGGAAAGAAACGTTGTATGGAAATTAGAAGGGTAAGAGCCGCCACTAAGCTGGAACAAGTTGGGTAAGCGCTGCTTCCTATTATTGGCTATAATAGACGCCCGATCGCGCTTGGCAGCAACACCGCGTCAACAGCCTGTGGCCTGGGGGAAGCGCAGGAGCAACCACCTTCAACCCATCTCAGTCACTCTCTATACAATCAAATATCCGTCCCATTAGAAGCTGTTAGAAGCAGTTATTTTGCCATCTCTCCCTCTTCTGAAGTTCTTACTTGTGCGTCTCATCATGGCCGATCGGTACTCGTTCTCGTTGACTACGTTTTCTCCCAGGTATGCTCTTACCGCCCCACATTGTTGCTGGGAGCTCTAGTAACTGACAAAGAAAATAGTGGAAAGCTGGTCCAGATTGGTATGCGAATATCCCATGATATACACTGGTTCTATGATAGCTAATTTTCTTTAGAATATGCTTTAAATGCCGTGAACCAAGGTGTTACTGCTTTGGGTATTAAAGGTAAGAACACCCAACCCGTCTGAAGCTCCACATGATATATCAACGTCACGAAACTTATTTCTGAGATCTTTTCCTTATTTTCCTTTATTAGCCACAAATGGGGTGGTTCTTGCTACAGAAAAAAAGTCCTCCTCGCCCCTGATAGAGCCTCCTTCTCTCTCGAAGGTCTCCCTAATCACCCCGGATATCGGCATGGTCTACTCTGGCATGGGCCCCGATTACCGTGTCCTCGTCGATAAGGCCCGTAAAACCTCCCACACTGCTTACAAACGCATTTACAACGAATACCCGCCAACGAGAATATTGGTCCAGGATGTCGCCCGAGTTGTCCAGGAAGCTACGCAGTCCGGTGGTGTCAGACCATATGGTGTCAGTTTGCTAATCGCAGGCTGGGATGACGGTGTTGAACCCACAATCGCGGGAAGTGAATCAGATACAGACAAAAAGAAGGTGTCAGGGAAGACAGGAGGGATCCTCAAGGGCGGCCCTAGCCTGTACCAGGTCGATCCTAGCGGCAGCTATTTCCCATGGAAGGCCACAGCCATTGGGAAAAGTGCGACCAGCGCGAAAACGTTCCTTGAGAAGAGATACACAGAAGGTCTTGAGCTGGAAGATGCCATCCATATTGCACTTCTCACGCTGAAGGAGACCATCGAGGGTGAGATGAATGGTGAAACTGTTGAAATCGGTACGATATCAGAACCAACTTGTCCTTCTAATATGACGTTTTCTTGTTCAGCGCAACTGATAAATTATACAGGCATTGTTGGACCACCTGCCGACCATCTATTGGGATATGAGGGAGTTGAGGGCGCCAGAGGGCCACGGTTCCGGAAATTGACCAAGGAGGAGATTGAGGATTACTTGACCAACCTATGAGATAGACTTTCATATTAAGCGCCATTTTCAGGCTTTTGATGCTTTTTAATTATTTGCCTTTAGCTTTGGAATGTAGAAAACCAAAGCACGTCCAGATACATCTTTCTTTCATAACCTCTATTTCAAATGCCAAATAATGTGTCTCATCCCCATCGCAACCAGCGACTTGGAGTCCCTTTCGGCTGGTCGCTGGGTGGGGTTGAATTGAGGCCTCCAGTATATTTCTTTCGAATGTGGTGGTGCCAATTTTTGAGCCTCTAAAATACACCCCCACTACACACCTCACACAGTACACACAGATTACTAATACACTCTCAATGCCCTCTCATAATATATATTTCTTGAAATTCTAACACTTTCTAACTCTTTCTAATATAAATTTCGGGTTTTATTCTGTAATATACACTTATAAACTAAGAAACTGGACGTTGAGAGAAGAGAAACAGCAGAATACGCTTGTAGAGATGATGTGCTGGATATGTCTAGTGGATGTAGTTTTAATGGGGTCCAGGTTGAAATTGGATTGGAACCACGCTGAGCTGTTTTTCCGGCCCGAGCTGGCATAACCATCAACTTCTTTATGCCCCATTTCTCTAGGAATGTATTCTCACAGGTAGATAATTTACTACTTTCAATGTACTCCACGCATTCCCTCCATCAACAACAACTTTTCAAAATTCCCGTCACCATCGCCGATGCCGCCTCCTCGTGAGGGCGACCGAAATGGTCGGGAGCGACACAGAAGCTTGGAGGAATCTGATAATATCCTTGCTGATTCGGAGTTGAAGAATGGAATGCTTGAAAATGGGTGTCGCTCACCCCCGGTTTTTAAGCCACGAGCCTACCAGCTGGAAATGCTAGAGGCGAGTCTCCGTGAAAATATCATTATTGCAGTGAGTAAACTCGTCTCGTCCCAATGTCTTCGAGATGCATCTTTTAGTACTGCCCATGCATGTATCAATGCAGTATTCTAATATATGGATTTGCAGATGGACACGGGTAGCGGCAAAACTCAGGTGTAAGCGCATATATTTTCTGTACTCCCGTCAAGTCTCAAATTACTACCGGAGTATTAAGCGGACCCTGCGCTGTCCCACAGTACTCCCTCCGTCAGGCTCTCTATAGAGTTCCTACACATGAACTTGAAATAGATGCACAAGTGCTCAATTATTTTTCGGATCTGACCATTCTATGGATATTTAGAGCAATTCTTCGAATCAGACATGAACTTGAAACATGCGCTGCGCACAAGGTTGGTAGTGCTACTGTCATTAATTTTTGTATATTCACCTTTCTCTCTTGGGTATCACTGACTCCTCCAATAAAAACCACAGCTGGTCTGGTTTCTGGCTCCCACTGTTGCTCTTGCCGACCAGCAGCATAAAAGTATATCACAGCAGCTCTCTGCGTATCAAACAAGACTCCTATTGGGCTCGGACAATGTGAACTACTGGTCCACCAAAAATATCTGGGACGATATACTCTTGAATATCAGAATTGTCGTTTCGACTCCTCAAGTTCTTCTTGATGCCATGACCCACGGATTCGTGACCATGTCTCGGATCGCTTTACTTGTCTTCGATGAGGGTATGTGTCCGGCATCAGGATCGCCTCGCTGATACGTGTGTGTTCGCTGGTAGCTAATTCAAACTCCAGCCCACCATTGCGCTGAAAACGAAGCGCCTAATATCCTAATGCAGCGATTTTATCACGAACAGCTACAAAGAACAGGTACCGCGAATGATCTTCCTCATATTTTGGGACTCACTGCTAGTCCCATTACTAAGGTTGACCCTAAATATTTGATGTATGTGTTCCGTTACAGATGTCATATACACATGGATTAACTGAACCTAGGAAAATTGAGCACAATTTGAATTCCCGTTGCGAGACACCCAGGATCCATCGGGAAGAACTGATGCGATATGTTCATCGTCCAGAGCTCTGTACTGTGAATTTCCAGGTAGATGTGTCAGTAGGTTCTGACATTCTGCAAAGCCTACATCGAATCGTCGAAACTGTCGATATAGAGCAGGACCCTTGGATCAAGAGACTTAAACAGCAAAAAGACCGAAGAAGCCAAAACACTTTGTTGAATGCTATGGTGAAGCGTAAAACTTTTGCCATCTCACAGATGACTAAGCTTCGAAGACAAGCTACTAACATCCACGAAAACTTGGGAGCATGGGCTGCAGACGCATTCATTTCTGAAGTCCTAAAACGACTTGGGGCTAAACGGGCTAAGCAATCGGCAGATCACCTTGGTACATTGGAAAGAGAACAAGAGAATTTTGTCTTTGAGACTCTGTCACAATTGCCAATATATCCCAGTAAACAGTACTGGGATAGTGAACCGGATCTAGTCTCCAGTAAGGCTAATCTTCTCATAGACCTTCTGGAAAAAGAGCACACGTCAGATTTTACGGGGATTATATTCGCCCAACAAAGATCAACTGTTACAATGCTTGCACATCTTATATCTAAGCACCCACGGCTGAAAGATCTTATTGTTCCTGGTGCCTTTTTGGGTGATGCTGGCTACGCGGATCGAACATCAACGATAACCGAACTGCATAACACGAAGACCCAAAGGGGTTCAATAGATGACCTACGTTCCGGGAAGAAGAATCTACTCGTCGCAACATCTGTCCTTGAAGAAGGCATTGATGTGTCAGCCTGCCACCTTGTGGTCTGTTTCGATGCCATCAGCAACCTCCGATCTTTTATTCAAAGACGGGGCCGAGCTCGGAAAGAACGCTCTAAATTCGTAATATTTTTGAATGGGGATGATAAGTCGCAAGAGAAGAAATGGAACAAGATGGAAGACGTGATGAAGAGTATGTATGAGGAGGACATGCGCAGGCTCGAGAATATTTGGGCGATAGAGAACATTGAAGAAGAAGCAGACGAAAAAGAGAATGAATATCTCCGGATTGAATCCACGGGGTAAGTGATTATAACTTGACTTCCATGTATTTTTCCTTCTTCTTTCTTCCGTTATATGCTAAAATGCAGTAGTGCACTCTTAACTTTTGAGAATGCTCGACCCCATTTGGAACATTTCTGTGCCACTCTTCAGTGTGACTTTACAGACACTCGACCTGTTTTTCTATATAGTGAGAGCGAACCGGGTGGGATGGTCACTGGTAAAGTCATACTACCCAACGTCCTCGACCCTAAATTTAGAGTAATTCGCGGGTCTAAATGGTGGAGAAGAGAGCGAATGGCCCAGCGCGATGCCGCATTCCAGGCATACGTTAAGCTTTATCGAGAGGGATTAGTCAATGACAACCTGCTACCAATACACTGGATGCCTGTGGAGGATCCAGCCCTGGAATATTCTGAGAAGCGGCCCAGTCTTGTGAAGGTAGCCGGACGTATCAATCCCTGGGCTATGATTGCAAGTCACTGGGAAACGACAAAGACTTTCTATCAGAGTCAGATAGAGATATCGTCTAGTTCTCTCCGGTTTCCAAAAATGCGCCTGGTGCTGCCAATCCCTCTACCGTGTGAGATATCATTCACGATTTTTTGGAACGAGAAGAATACCTTCACCGTGTGTTTGAAACCATTGCCGTCGGTGCACCTTAGGACGAGTCTTATCAAATACGCAGCCGACACAACCTATACCATTTTATCCTCAGTGTTTGCTCATAGGATGCTTCCTGAAAGTTTGGACTTCTCGTGTTTATTTCTCCCTGATGTGGAGTTAACTGGCGAAGCTATCATGGAGTGGTGTTCATCTGTGGAAGGAAGAATCCCAGCCAGCGATGCTGCTGATTATGACGCCAAGAGTCTCATGAACTTGGGACTCGTGAGAAGACTTGATAAGATAAGACGACCGTGGACGGTGGAACGATACAGATGGATGAAGAGGACTTATGAAGACACACAACCTGATGGCATTGATGGCAGTTCGGAGGTTGAGGAGGGAGAAATTCTCCACGTTGAGGGCACTGCATGGCCCAAACGTACTGACTTTTTGCATCCCGTCGCTCATAATGATGGCTCCCATCTCCATCACACAGCGAAAAAATGCTACCCCGCCCGCGACTGCTCTATTGATAAATTGCCTCTTGAATTCTCCTTGTTTGCCCTCCTCACCCCATCAATCATGCATAAAGTCGAAATTTATCTTATCGCAGAGCAGTTGAACAAAACAATCTTGAAGCCTGTTGCCTTTACGGATCTGAGCCTTGTCGTCACTGCGATAAGTGCATCTGTAGCGAGGGAAGCAACCAACTATCAACGCATTGAATTTTTGGGTGACAGTATACTCAAATTTCACACAACTCTCCAGCTATCAGCGGCAAATCTTGTCTGGCATGAGGGCCTGCTATCAAGAGCCAAGGATAATGTGGTATCCAATAAACGGCTGTCCTACGCAGCCGTTGAAACCGGATTAGACAAGTTCATACTCGTGGACGTTTTCACGGGTGCAAAATGGCGACCTAGATATAATAAGGTACATCTCGAAAGTGAAGAACAGGGCATCCCTCAACGGGAAATGACCACAAAGACGCTTGCAGACGTAGTTGAAGCTCTGCTTGGGGCAGCCACAATCGAAGGTGGTGAAACGAAGACCGAAAAATGCCTCGAAATTTTCCTTCCTGAAATTCGCTGGATGCCCTTCGATGATCGGATTAATGCGCTCTACAACTCTGTTCCAGAAGCCTATGAAAACATACGCACCTCCTGGTTCCAGGAAATTGAAAGCCTACTGGGATATAGCTTCAACAAGAAAGTTTTCCTTGTTCAAGCCTTCACTCACCCTTCCAACCCTGGCTCGACAACATCGTCATACCAGCGGCTGGAATTTGTCGGCGACGCGATCCTGGATCATATAATTGTTCATCACCTGTTCAATTCATCTCGAAATCTTCCACATTTCGATATGCATTTGATGCGCACAGCACTGGCCAATGCAGATTTCCTTGCATTCCTCTGCATCGGCATGTCTACAGAGCAGGCGCGCAGCGAGGTCGTCGAGAGCTCCAAGAAAAATACAGTGACAAGTCTGACTACCCGCAAAGTTTTCCTCTGGCAATACATGCGTCACGGCACCTCCTGGGAACTTGCAGCTGCCCAGCAGCAAACCGCAGACCAGTACCAAAAACTACAGGCGGACATTTCAGAAGCTCTGGAGAAGTCCAACACATATCCCTGGACTCTCCTGTCGCGGCTGCGCGCGCAGAAATTCTTTTCCGATCTCATCGAGTCTGTTCTCGGAGCCATATTCATAGACTCCCATGGCTCGTTGGACGCTTGCACTGCATTCCTGGAGCGAATCGGACTAATGAAGTTCCTACGACGCATGCTTGTTGAAGAGAGTATGGACATTATGCACCCCAAGCAGCGCCTGGGACAGGAAGTTGGTAGGATGAAGGTACGCTACGAGACGGAGCATGTTGTTGATGAAGAAGAAGAGGTGGGTGGGTTGGGGTTTTGGACCTGTAAGGTCTTTGTAGGGGACGAGTGTGTTGTTGAAGAAAATGAGGGGGTTAGCCTTACGGAGGTTGAGGCCAAGGCTGCAGAGGCTGCCTTGGCAGTTATACGGGCCAGAGAGTGTGTTAATACTTGTGTTGATGTTGGTGTTGGCGGCGGGGCAGATGGTGATCGTGGTGATGTTGGTGTTGGTGCTAATGGAGATGTTGACAGTGACAGTGATGGTGACAGTGATGTTCTCATGGCTCTTAACTAGATAGTCCTTTTCCGCAAGGATTGTGATTTGGTTTTCATGACCTGGGCGCGAATGGAAGCATAGGACTAATGATGAAACGATTTTATTGCACCTTTGTTGAGTTAACTGATTCGTTTTTAACCCAGATATACATATTTCACTTCCACATTTCTACCGATAGCTAGATCATAATAGACGATACATACGTGCTGCGAAGGACTAATTTGCTTGTTACTGTTCATAGTCTCGCAGGTGGCTCATTATATTCTGCCATTTCGTTTCCAAGGCCCGGAAGGAGATGTGTTGCCTTTTGTGGTCCAACAAAATTATCCACGTCCAATAGATACTGCCATGTTAGTCAATTAGTCAAAGAGAATCTCTAGTAAAATGTGAAGATTATTTGTATTAACAGTTTATTCATTAAAGAATTATTTACAAAGTTCGTTACGTCATGAATTTGTCTAGACAGTGAGGGGGAAAAAAGAAAGAAAGAAAGAAAGAAAGAAAGAAAAGAAAGAGAAGAGAAAAGAAAAGAAAAGAAGAAGTGGAGTTGAGAACCAGAAAAAAAGAAAAGTCTAAGGATACGAAATGTGTAACGTCGTAGAAGCCAACATAAAAGAAACCAAACAAACGCGGTGGAGCGAGTCACATCATTCCACAGGCTTGTAGGGAGAGTTGTCTCTGATAATGTACACTTCCCCGATGAGGACAGAAAGGCCAACCGCCATGGAATGGCAATGATGGGTAGATTGACTCGAAGGCTACGGACTCGGATGTGTTTTCGGGCTAGGATGTCTCTCCAGAGCATACCAGCGAGTGAAGCGCTAAAGGCCGTGCTAAATGCGCCGTAGTTGACGCCGATTGCGATGCTGTACACCATCCATCGCCTAGAATGTGCGGTCAGATATGGGGGTGTGGTTCACCTCGTGGATTTTTTGCCATGCTTGGATGACACGGGAGAGGAGAATTGTAGTGCCGATGTTCGTTCCGGTGAACTTCATGCCAACGAAGTTTCGTTTTGATGACGTCAAATCATTTAAATAGGATAGGAGGGAACGACGGAGAACTCGCGTTACATAATATCACTGAGAGAAAGCCCATGCCGCCAATTGCACCGATTGTGCCTGTTTTGTTTACCCAATGGTCCCATCCGTAGGCAAACACGGGCATCCAACCTTTGGTGACAAGCGCTTGCACGAGAATGAACATGGTGAAAGCAAAGGGCACACGTGCATATGGTAAGTGGGCGACTACTGCTGTGACGGTAGGGAAAGTATCCTGAGTCCAGCGGTAGGCTTCCGCAAGGAGCGAGACTATCGTTGCCGGTCCACGATCTTGCTGCCGTGCCAGCTCTTGAGACATTCGATTAGAAAATATCTGTCCTTCGCTTAATATCGTCCCTTGTTGCTGCTGGGACGATGACTGGCTGGCGTGGGTGTTGGTTATTTCCTGTTTCTCGCCTATCATGGTGACCGCGCTCGTGGTTGACCCTTGGCCGTTCGGTAGTTGATTGTCGCTTGGTATATACGCACAGATGAGGGTGATGGTTCACGGGGAGGTGTCGATACGAGAGTTGGTCTGTCATCTGTCTCGGAGGTAAGGATTGTAGGAACTTGCTTGGAAGCAGCGACCGCCAATGTAATATCATCATCAGTATTCGAGGTACTGTGGCTCTTACCGCCGCCACCCCCATCACCGCTGCCACTATGCCTGGACTGGTCTTGTGAATGAGGCTCAGGCGACTGGGTCAATACTAGAGGGGTCCCATACGCATCCATAGAATCCTGCTCTTTCTGCCCTAGAACCGCAAGCCGTAATTCCTCCGCCCTATACATAAGTTCCAGTCGAGCTTTTTTTAACCTCCAGTCGACCTTTGCGAGCAATCTCACGAGTCTCCTCCCGGTGGTACCATCCGAAAGCAACGTCCCAGAAAAACATAACAAGCGCCGCGGGCAAGGTTACCCAAAAAATAGGATAATGTTCTTGGTCGAAGCGTTAAGGGCCAGGAGGGTAACAAGCGTAGCTATCATAATGACGGCTCCGAAAGCCGCGCCGCCTTTGTCCAGGAAAGGGTTCATAATCTCTTCCAGGGAGAGAAGCTTCACCTGATCGTCATTTGCATTGCCCTCTTCCTCCTCAGCCAATCCTCGCGCATGAGGAATATTAGGATTCACAGGCTTCATTGCTTTCGCTTCCTCCGACAATTCGTGCATCTCAATGGAAAATGGGATAGGGGCCGGATCCGCAAAGATGATGTATAGCAAAAAGGGAAATAAAACAATGGCGGTTGCAATGACTGGGACGATCATGTTTGCCGTGTAGACAATGAACTTGATCTCAAAGGACTGGGTTAGTCGGGTTGGAGGAGACGAGAATTGCAGACGCGATGTTGGCCACCGCGAATTGTGTGTGGATCCAGGCTCTAGGATGAATGATATTGCTTGATACCCGAGTCATGTAGGCAAGGAACGCAGTCCGGAGAGGACAATAGGGTCGTTGCCAATGAAGCTCCCCAGGCCGAAGAAAAAAGCGTAGAGGTAGAAGAAGAGCCGATGCCCAACCTTGCCTCCCTTTTGAAGTCCTTTAAATGCCAGGAACCTAATAAGCCCAGACGAGCCGATAGAAATAGCAATGTAGGCCAGCGTAATGAAGAAAGCCATGGTATCAAGCGGGGATATATTGTTCGCACCAATAGCAAGAATGGCCAGCAGGAAAAGATCTGCGATCAAGGGCGCAGTTACAAAATTCATGGGAAAATTCCATCGTAGAAAGGCCTTGCGCTTGACTTTTGCCATTCTGATCATCATCTACATCCTCGCCGTCGGCGGCGGGATCCTGCTGGTACTGGGCCTTCCTGGGCGGTATTATTCTCAACGCACTGAGCGCATCAACGACAGTTTCCACCAGCTGCCGCGGAATGAGGATCGGGATGTGAAAGGGGGCCAGGACGACGATATCTGGGCCATTGCTAGAGGGTTAACTAATCGCGCAACCAAAAGCATGCGCCTGCTGACAGATTTATCTTAAATACTGGTGAGAATGAAGACCAAAAGCGTCACAATTGACCGCCCAATCCCAGATTTCGCTAGTATTGAGGTCCTCTTCTCCTAATTTTTCTGCTGCCATTTTGACGAGTTTTTCCTTTTCAGACGCAGCAAGGTGAGAAGAAGTGGCCAAAATGGCCTGGCGGTTTGGTTATAACCCAACGCAGCTGCGGACAGTTTTGCGCTCGGCAAAATCGAAAATAAAAGAAATGGTAGCTTGTAGTTAGGTTGTGCGAGAAGCAGAATCAGCTAGTTATGTTTCTTTGCTTCTGCGGCTTCAGCCATGAATCTGGACAAGCCGGCCGTACTGTGGTCGCCTCCCGTCTGGCATTGGCTGACATTCCCTTTGAGCGGCGAAACTGCCTGTACAAAAACCAGTGCGAGGATACCAGGGGGGGGGGCATGTGTCATCCAACCCCTTGGTATCAACTCTGCTTCCGGTTTCTCCACTCAAAATGCTAATTGCTCTTGCAGAGTCCCTTTCAAGCATGCCTTTTGGAATTGCAGCAGGAGTTTACTCTACCCAGTAGAGGATTAAGTGAAGAGTGTCGTTGCAAAGGTGTTGTTCAAGAGATCATTTCACTGTTGAATTGGGTTAGATAAAGAGACAACAAGCAAGAAAAGCGCGTTCATCATGTCAACCTCAGTAGATGTAAATTAGATATAGAAATAGTAAGTAGACCCGAATTTTGTCTTTACCAAAGAAGTTAACTCCGGTGATATATTCACATTCCTATTGCATAGACAGGCCCCTATTAGTTTGGTAAGTCCACCTGATTGCCAACTTAAATCTGTTGATGATTAGCAGTAGCTGCTGATGTTACTATTATTGTCGTCCCCTGAGTAATTTGCTTTGAGAACGGTGGAGATTCTTTTGAGAAAACCCCTTTTCATACGGCTTCTACTCAACGTTATATCTTCAGTTCAGCCTTCGATATATATCGATGAGTACCCTGAACCTCCTCTATGAAAAAACCAGTTCAATGCTTCACGGTCATCATCATAATTTCCTTTTTCTCGCCAGTATACATCTTACTACCACAGCCAAAGCCTTCCGTCAGCTGGGACATGCTTTGGTGAGAATCTTGACTGTTTGCGGCTGCGAGGAAGGATGGAGACACATGATCCTCATCTTATATCATTATTAAGACGCAACGGCCCCAGAGCCGAATGACCATATCGGATAGGAAGTTCCCTCTGGCCGAGTTGATATTGCGCGCCCTGCAAATGATTTCAGAGTACTGTTGGAACTAACGTCGCGGTCTTGTTTGCTCGCCAAGATCGTTCCTCAGCCGCAGCGGATTGGTTTATTTGTTAAACTGGCCCCAGACAGCAGCTTAAAGGCGCCGATAGTAGGGCGAACAACCCCGTCATAGCCCGCTAGGGAGGCAATGCACTTGTGGATGGGCCGCAATTGCTAGCTTTTTGCCGCGGCGGAGCGTCGAAGAAGGGACTCAATACTCCCCGAGCCGTTCGTAACCGAGCAGAAATGCAGTTGCTTGGGAGTGGGATGGGAGAGTTGAACGCGAGAAACCATATCAGTTCGGAGATGTTGATGGTTGGTGACGCTGCTGACTAACGAGATCTCAAACAGAACAGAACCACAGGAGTTCAACAACCTCAACAACGTCGAGAAACTCGTTTCAACGGGCGGGCATGCGATAAAGTCAGTTACTTTGCATGAGCAGTATGACTGCCCAAAGACCCTTTCATGCATAAGAATTATTTGGGTTAGGTTGAAACACGATGTGCGACATAACCAACCTGCTTGCTTTTTGTCTGGTGTTGTACGGTGCCAGCTCGACAATCCTGCAGACGTGATGCACTGGGCTGCACCCACCCGGGTTGGGCCCTAGCTCGATGCAGCTGGGGGAAAAAGAAAAAAGAAAAAGAAAAAGAAAAAAAAGATGAAGAGAGAGACGAGAAACAAGCTGGCAGCAACACCAAACGACAACACGAGCCGACCAGCCCCAGTCCTAGTACCAGTGAGGCCAATCCCCACGTTGCATCCATCTGGGGGGGCTACAACCTCTGAAGAACCATGAAGGGGTTGTCCATCATAAGGCTCTCTGTATATGGACGGCATCTGCAAATTGATGAAGACAATCCTTTTGAAATCGCCAACGGGCCCCAAGGGTAGCAGCACAGTGCATTCCTACAACCACCTGCGGGCTCGCCACGTTGCTGGTGTCAGGGAAAGTGGTTGGCGTCATTAACCCATCGACTTTGATAGCAATGACTGAGAAAGACACAAGTCGAGAAAACCATGAGTCTATGGTTCAATCGAAGTACTTTTTTTTATTACAAAACGTCGCTAATCACCTTAGATTTTATGGCCTCTTGCAATAACATTTCCAAAGCTACCTACCCCCCGGTCAAATCTGGGGAAAAGATGTTGAATTGAGCCTCAAGGTCCTACTAACTCAGTGGGGAAGCTCCATGCATCATCCATGAAGCTACAAGATCAATACATATCTCTCATTATAAATTGGGTGTGGCACTACTGGGCTATGAATGGAGCCGTTCATCATTTGGGTTCCCCCCGCTAACAAGGAAATTGCATGACAGCTCATAACTCGAGACAGGCTGGTTGTATCATAGACAAAACCGGAGGGGGTGTATAACAAGCAGTTGGTTCATCCCTCACACTCGTCCTTAGAATGCTTTATCTCTGTCCATTTTTTATCCGCGGGCATTCCTTTCTGCTCCCTTTGGTTCGTGATTTTATTTATATACTTATCCATTTTTATTTTTATTTTTTTCTTTTATTTGTTTATTTTATTTTATTTTATTTTTATTTTTTTTATTTTTTTGGGATTCTCCAACCACTTGTCTGTTCCCCGAGTGAGGTACTTCTTCATGGAGTAGCCAACATTTTCCCGACTTCATCCTGCACCAATTGAAACCATAATAGGTCCTGGTTCTTTCAGATAACGATCCATTCTCTCGGCCAGTCCTCTTATCGCTCTGCACCGCGCTCAAAGACAAAGTGTCTGGACCATCGTTCACTTTCAATACCAAACAGCTCCTGTTCCATTGTCCTCCGACTTGCACTCCCCGCAGATTCCAGACCGGAACTGCCACAAACGTGGCCATCATTCACTTGCTGTGATGAAATAAAGCGTATGCCAATCGTCACACCATATCAAAACGCGTTTATTTGATGTAAGTAGCACTTTATTTCCCTTCAAGAGCCTCTATCGTGTGGGGTTACGGCGAATCCCTACCTACCATTGCCGAAGTATCATGAAATCGCTATAGATGTGGCAAAGCGTCCGGAAATATAAATATCGCGTGTTGGTGTATCATTTCCAACTTCCCATAGAACTAGCTTTTTCGTTTTAAGAAAAAAATAACCTCACCCTGTTCCGCTCTGGTACAGGCCGTTGATACTCTCGGTTACTCTCCTTGTACCATTTTATATTCGTCTTTCACCATCTGGCTACTTCCCTTTAAGACATCGAATTCCGAATAGCAGAATTCTCCCAAGTATACACAGTCATCCACCAGGCTGAGATGTTGGACTCCAAGATACTAATGTTTTGACAGTGGCACCTTCCACTCTAGAGCGTTGGGCAAGTGAAGAATCAGACAACATTATCGAACGTCTTTTGTCGCTTTCTTCCACGCCTACCTCGTCGGCGTTCGTTTCAACGGGGAGCACATTTCGAAACGCAGGGTATAATGCAAGTTCCCGGCGGAGTTCTATGATTGTTGAAAACAACGAAGACACAGACAGTGAATCGTCATCCTCCAGCATGTCTGCACCAAGTACAGCACCGACACTATCTCGGCCTTCATCGTCAGCGGCATCCGATTCGTTTTCGGAATCCATTGATACAAATAACGCTGGCAAGCTTCCCGCGCGATATGCCCTTGAAGAAGATGCAGATGGAAACCTCACTACCCCACCCGAAGCTAACGGCGCAGGGATCGGCCATTATTGTTTCTTCCACATACTGGATTGTGACAAAAGCTTCACTAATCTTGACCTGTGGAAGACACACGTGCTGAGCCACTTCCGCCTACACCCAGCGCCAACCACTGCACAGTGCCCTGCATGCCCATACCGGATATCGGACCCACACCATGGCATTGCCTGGAGAAGGATGCTAACACACCTAGCAGATCAACATCTAAAGCAAGGATACTCCATTCAAAACATCTGCCCAGATTTCGAAACAATGAGGCATCTATATTGCGCCAACATCATAACTCGGGGGCAGCTACGGCTTCTACAACTTCCTGCAGCTCCTGGACGGCCGGGTTATTCCCCGAGTCTAGATTCGGTAAGAGTCGGGATTGGCTCCTCGGACGACCCGTGTGTCGTCTATATGAACCGGCATCGCGAGCGGAGGATGAGAGAACGATCGCGCAAGATCAGTGTCGCTTGAGCTGGTCTGGTCCTCTTAATCTTGTGCCAGACGAGGCTATTATCGCTGAGAATAAGATGTCAAATCGATGAATTATTGTCTTTGTTCTTCTTTAAGCGCCGCAAAACTTGGAGTCATCGGGTGTCATATTGTCATGTGTCGTTATGCAAGGGATGGTGAAATGTGTCTCCTGTGGGAGGGTTATGAAGCAGAAGAGAAAAGTAAGTTATTAGATAGGCCCTTTTCATTTCTCGGACTTTCCTCCCCTAATTCCTTTCTGGTTTATTTAACCTGGCTTGGACGCTTGGGCCTATGAGTGCAGTAGGCTCTTGTATCATCCAACTGCCAAATTCACGTGCAGTCATGGTGATGTCCAACGCCAATTTAACAATGTGTGTTCCGTTAAGATCCATGGATTGGTGCTTACCCCAGACATTTTAGTTGGCCATCACCTACGTCCAGCGCTTCGCAGATCCTAAAGCAATTCATTGGAAGTAACCATGATTAGTTCATTGACTTTTCACGACCCCAGGGTGGCAGCATTGTGTGTGATTGGCTTGGAAGAGCGATGAGCCCTAAATATGATTGTACATTGTAATGTATGTATGTACAAGTACATGTACATGTACATATCTCAGGATGATGGATAGGGGATGAAATATTCGTCGAGTCGCGACTGATTCAGAGCTCATTGTTTTTTATTTTTAAGATACCCAATATTTATGTAAATTCTTATGCTCATTATTGAGATAGCCTCTCTTAGTTAGATAATCGATATTCCACAATTAGATAACCAACTGCACAAAGCACCTGTCATCTTATTAGAGGATCATTTTAAAGTTTTGATTAACGCTAAGAATTTAAGCTGTAATACTGTTACTATTCAAGGATCCTCATTTTAGAACAGCTTGAGACTTAGAATGGCTTTAGTTAAACTGTAGCTGATTTATTCAGGCACAACAGGCATTAACCCCCTGAAAACTCTGGTTAAGAGTTAATAAGAGAGGGACATGGAAATACTTTATGCTGGTAACTTAACAGAGTTCCAACTTAATTCTTAGTTCTTGCTAGATATGGCGGGGGCGCTATTCCCAAACAGGAAGCTCCCAGCAAACAGAGCAAACATGCTAGCAATCCCTCCCCAGACTCGGATTATTCCCAACATACATTGGCAAGAAGAACAACACTGCAGACGACATCAATCTACGCCAGGACCGGACAATATTGCTGCTAGGGGCAAAAAGGAGACACACACCTATACCAAATCTGGGAATAGATCTTGACCTCCAAGCCGCTCAGCCCTACTTCACAGCTCCCGACCAACCAGCATGACTATACCGCCCTTCGCATTGTCCTGATATCCTACCCACCCGCCTATCCACCCGCCCAGAATACCCGCGTTCAATCCCTCCCCGCACTGGCGCTTCCGCAAATCACCACCATCCGCCGCGACATGGAGAACCTATCCCTTCACGATCACAACAACGGCGGCCATGGTGCGCGGCGCGGTGGGGGGCCACCTCCGCTCCCGCACGGCCACCGAGGCTATCATCCGCAGCCCAATCCCCCTCCTCATTCCGGCTTCCCCCACCACCACCAAGTCCCGCCCGGCGCTCCTCCTCCTGCGCCAGGCCAAGCACCCTCGCCCGGCCCTATGATGCCACCAGCCCCTCCTCAGCTACCCCCGCAGATGTTCACGACGGCTGCGCAACTACTAGACTTGACTGATAGTGAGCAGCGTCCCTCTTTGCGCGGTCAGCCCTGGAAGAAAAATCGCATTGAGCTACCATTTTTTCGCCAGCGAATGGAAATTGGTATATATACAGGGATAAGTGCTGACTAAATCTCCACCGCGCCTTTTGGTGGGCTGTGTTTCCAACAGAAAAGCTCGTTCTCGTTCTCCGAGATGGGCGCAAGTTGATTGGCGTGCTGCGCAGTTGGGATCAGTTTGGTAAGTCGTATATATCTCTCACTTCTGTCTCATCATCACACAAACTCAACTATTGCGCATGAAATAGCCGGATTGTACTAATGTATCCGCTTTACTATAGCCAACCTTGTCCTCCAAGGGACTGTCGAGCGGCTTTACGCGGGTAACCTTTTCGCAGATATACAACGAGGAATCTACCTGATTCGGGGAGAGAATGTGCTCCTACTAGGAGAAGTTGTACGTTTACGAACGATCTGCCCAAAAACAAAACTTGGACCACCCCAACCCTCCGGCACACTACTGACTGGCTCAATTGTTCAAATTCAGGACCTAGATAAAGAGGACGATATCCCCACAGGCTACCGCCAGGCGCCATTCGAAGAAGTCTTTGCGTTAAAGAAGCAGGAAGACAATGAACGTAAAAAGGGCGACAAACGCCGCAATACCAAACTACAAACCCTCGGCTTTGAAGCTGAGCACAGTGGAGAGGTTTTGTTTTAAATGCTCAAGGTGGTGGTGCCTTTTTATTGTAAAGTCTTATAATTCTTTCATGATTTAAATGACGGGGACCTTATTACAATCTCCCCACGACGATTTTCTTTTCTTTTCTTTTCTTTTCTTTTTTTTTTTTTTTTTTTTTTTTTTTTTTTTTTTTTTGCGGCACAACATTTAACCAGTGTCGCACATGGGAGCCTCAATTATTTGTTAGAAGAGGCTACGGAACATGCCTTTCACGCTCTGTACGCTCCGTTGTTTTTGTTGTTTTCGTTTCATCGGACTTCACTCTTGATTAGTTTCTAGGGTCTTTCCCACAAGATCGATATGCGCCTTTACATGACTACATTGGACTTCGACGAACCATGAATGAGCGTTGGGGTGCGAGTTGATCAACCATTATATCGACAGAAGATAGAACAAAAAGGGCGCGTGGAGGTTGAAGAGAAAGAGCTGATGGGTGGGTACTGCCAGGCGATGCAGAATATTGTGAAATGCGTCTAACCTGTGCGCGAGAATGAAATGGATGTATGTATATGATGCTATAGCGAAAAGGTCTGATCAGCGGCCTTTAGGGTTGTTGTCTTCGACATAGATATAAATATGAACCCGCTGAGAGCGATTCTCTAGGTTTATAATGTTTATTTATTATACATTACTGTGATCAGTAGCAAGCAAAACGAAAAAAAGAATATCCAAAACATATGCATTTAAATTTATTCCAGCAAGCAAGACTAAATCCAATGCACAATATCCCGCTGTTTTTCTCATTCTTACCTAAATATAATAGTTCTATTTGCTGCCGTTGTGTTTCCCATTCTGCGCCCCACAAAATCTGCTATCGATAAAAAAAATATATATAACCACCAAAAAAATCGAACTTAGTTTTTTTTATCAGCACTCCAAATATCCAAACACCACCCATTCAACCACTCTCAGGTCGTTTGCCGGCACATTTTGCACCAGTGATTTCCCTCTAAGCTAGGGATACACTTTTGCATTATGGCGACGCTGCAGGAAAAGCTCGACAAGATAAAATCTCCAAAGCTGCAAAACCAGCACCATGTGAGGAACACACCGCCGCACAGCTACTCGGGGGACAGATAGAAAGAGAACTCAAGGCTAATTTTCAAAACGATAATGAACATTACAGACTTCAGTAGTCCTCTCCGCAGTCGAAGATACGCTCCGCGACCAAAATGCCGACTTCACAGCAACCGCATACTTCGCTGCCCTCCTCGCCCTCCTAGGACAGGCCATCTCGACGACCCAGGGCATCGTAAACAAAGAGCTCGCTTCTTCTATCGTCTACCTCCTCGACACAGTCGCCCCCTTCGTCCCCGGCCCCCTCCTCGTCTCCAAGTTCTCTCAGATCCTCACCAGCCTTGCGCCTGCGCTCACACTCCCAGAAGCCGAAGCCCCGCTTCTTAAATCGTCCGTAGGATGTCTACAGTCGCTGTTGGTCGCCCAGGATTCGGCGGCATGGGCTCTGCCACCGTCACAGATAGGCCCGCGCAGGGCTATGGCTGGCCTAATGGCGCTCGCGGTAGACCACAGACCCAAAGTACGCAAGCGGGTGCATGATACGTTGATCTATGTGTTGAAAAATCCCCCACCAAGTCCGTCGCTAGACCACCCTGCAGCGGATATGTGTGCGGAAACAGCACTGCATACTCTAAGTGAGAGTATCACTGCGGCAGCGAAGGCCAAAAAGGGTCGACATGGGCAACAGCAGGCGAGCCAGCACGAACCAATGGTCATCCACGCGGTGCAGTTGGTGAAGACAATTGCAACCGCTTCGGGCGGTTGGCCGACGAAGAAGATCGAGCCGTTGTGCGAGTTGTTGATGAACGTGTCAAAATCGTCCAACGAGTACCTAACAATGGCGGCATTTGAAGTTTTCGAGATTATATTTGAGGGCATGGCGGATGATTTCTCCTCGTCCAAGCTGCCGCGTCTTATGGAGACGATTTCGGAGCTGAAGCCCGCGCAGAACGATTCGCAATTACTCCCTCCGTGGATTGCGGTGCTCTCGAGGGGCTACGACGTATCAGCGCAGGTGAACCCTGAAGAGACGTTTGAGAAGCTCCCAGAGCTTTTTGACCTTATCTCATCCTTCCTTGCTTCGCCGTCTCGGAATATTAGGGTGTCTGCCTCTGAGTGCCTCATCTCGTTTCTCGTCAACTGTATTCCGGACACAGTCATCCTTGAACCCTCGATATATGACGAAAAGGTGTTTGAGAAACTGGCTAAAATAGCCACTGGGCTACTTTCTGTCAAATACCAAGCTGCATGGATGGAGGTATTCAACCTACTCGCTGCAATGTTCGATGCTCTGAAGTGGAGATCATTCCCCGTTCTAACGGACATCCTACGGACGGTCGGGGAGCTACGGGGTAATGAATCGTTTACCGGCAAGAAACAAGCCGACCAAGTCCTCGGTTCTGCAATTGCCGCAATGGGTCCGGAGGCAGTATTGCAAATATTACCTCTGAATATCACACATCAAAAGGCAGGCCAACCAGGCCGAGTCTGGCTTCTTCCCATTCTCAGAGACCACGTATCAAATACACGCCTGTCATTTTTCCGGTCTGAATTCGTGCCACTCAGTGAAGCGCTATTCCAGCGCGTTCTCGAATACGGCAACGCTGAGAAAACTGTCGAGGTGAAAATCTTCGAAACTCTCGTCCAGCAGACTTGGGCGATTCTGCCGGGATTCTGCGAACTGCCACTAGATCTTACGGAATCCTTTGATCAAAGCTTTGCTGAGTTGCTTGCAAATGTGCTCTACAAGCAAACGGAGCTGCGTGTAGATGTGTGCAGAGCGTTGCAGAATCTTGTGGAGTCAAATCAAGCGATTAGTTCGTTGGATACCGAGCAGGACGATCTGATCCTTCAGCGACGGATAACGAAGGAAGCTGCGAAGAAAAATCTTGCACATCTTGCTAGTTTCTCTAGTAATCTACTCGCTGTGCTCTTCAATGTTTATAGTCAGACACTTCCTCAATTCAGGGGCTTCCTACTCCGATGCATCAACGCATATTTAAGCATTACAGGCGAGCAGGTATGTATATTTTATTTTATACCGCCATTTTTTACTGTTGGTAACTAACAAAGTACTCTTAGGAATTGATCGAAACTTTCACGCGCGTCACAACGATGCTTGAGGGCTCCCTCAACGAGCCGGAACCCGCAGAGCAGAAGCAACCGAAAGGCTCCGGCGACAAGATGCCGCCAGCCTCTCACACCCTGATGGATCTTGTCGTTACGATATCGATATATCTACCGAGATCAAGCTTCGTCACGCTATTCTCGCTTGCCGCGGTCGTCCTCAACAAAAAATCCTCCGACCCCCAGTTAATCAAGAAAGCATACAAACTCATTCCGCGCCTCGCTACGACCGAAAACGGTGCCGCCGCGCTCCGCGAACGCAGCTCCGAGCTACAATCTCTCATCCTTGCAACAGCGGACCAAACACCAGCCCCAGCCCGCCGTGACCGGCTACTTGCCGTCCATGAAATAGTTACCTACCTCCCAACCTCAGACCTATATTTCATCCCTTCTGTGCTGCCCGAAGTAGTGCTAGGATGTAAGGAGAGTAACGAAAAGGCGCGCACAGCCGCGTTCTCCTTACTCGTCCACCTCGCCCAGCGCACTATAGACCCAGACCTCAACCCGGCTGGCACAGTAATCCGCAACTCGCTCGTGCCGCACATGCCTGATACAGCCCCAGATGCCCCCGCCACGATCGAAGAGTTCTTCACCATGGTCTCCGCCGGTCTTGCAGGCAGCTCGCCGCACATGGTCGCTGCCTCAGTAACGGCATTATCCCGGCTCCTCTTCGAGTTCCACACAAAGTTACCGGCGTCCATCCTGTCCGATCTCGTGCAGACCATCGATCTGTTCCTAACAAGCAACAGTCGCGAAATCGTCCGGAGTGTGCTGGGCTTCGTCAAAGTTGCCGTCGTCGTGTTACCCGAAGACATGCTCCGGCCGCGCCTCGATTCACTCGTACCCAACCTCCTGGTCTGGAGTAAGGAGCACAAGGGCCGGCTAAAGAGCAAAGTAAAGGGCATCCTCGAGCGGTTAATCCGACGCTTCGGCGCTCCGCTCCTGGAGGGCCTAGTCGGCGAAGCTGACCGCAAGTTCGTCGTAGCGATCCGCAAAGAACGTGAACGGCGCAAGCGTAAGAAGGCGCAAGCCAAGGAAGGCGGGGATGAGGATGAAGACGGGGACGAGCATGGTGGAGACGCCAGCCGCGCACGCAAGGGCGCATCAGCGACGGTGACGCACCAACCCCGCGGCGGCGAAAAATCCTTCAGCAGCGAATTCGACAAAGCCGTCTACGGCTCCGACATGTCCGACTCAGACTTCGCAACGACAGACTCAGACGACGCGAGCGAAATCGACATCGACGAGCAGGGCAACATGCACGTATCCTCATCATCCCATAAATCCGGCCGCAAGCAGCAGCAGCAGCAACAACGAGGAGCGGGGGGAGCTGGACGACAGAAACCTAGCCGGCCAGGCGCACAATCGCAAACGCAATACATCCGTGAACTCTCGCCGGAATCGAACCCGCTCGATCTCCTCGCGCCCGATGCGCTCGCGAGCATTTCAACGACGAAGCCCTCCGTGCGCTTCCTGGCGACGAAGACTCGCAAGCGCGCCGCGCGCGTCGATGCGGATGGGAAGTTACTGTTGGGCTTGGATGGGGATGGAGATGTCGGTATGGCTTCTGGCGGTGCTGGTGGGAGCAGTGATCGTAATGGCGGCGGCGGTGGCGAGGGAGCGGGCGAAGCCGAGGGCGCTACTGGCGTCAATGCGTATTTATCTGCTGTTAGTGGGCCGGATGCGGTGCGGAGGGGTCAGCGGGGCCGGCTGAAGGTTAGCCAGGGGCGGAAGAGGGGTGGGGATGAGATGGATATCGATGATGATGAGGGCGGGGTCGAGGATGCGAAGGCGATTGGGAGGGAGGTTAAGGGGGCTAGTGGTAGTGGGAGGAGGGGATTGGGGGCTGAGAAGGTTAGGGGTGAGAGTGGGAGGGTTGAGAAGAGGGGGTCTGGGAAGGGGGGACGGTTTGGTGGTGGTGGTGGTAGTGGAGGGAGGGGTGGGAGGGGGAGAGGGGGGAGGAGGTAGAGGAGCTATGGAGGGGTGATATTGGTTGGTGAATTGATATGATGGACTGGTGATACCTCTGTGTTATCTAAAAATATGGAATTGAATGGTCCACGGAAAAAGACGGTTGATTGAAAAATTTACGCTCGGTGTTCTCCCTGCCCCTTTGATTTGGTTATTTTCTATTTACTTACTCCGTATTTTCGCTTCCATTCTCGCTCTCAAATCTTCAATATGATAAATCAAAATGCTTCTTCCTAGATATGCTGATATACTCCCTATATGAAATCGCCTTAAATTTTTCTCTTCTTCTTTTCCTTTTTTGGTTTATCGACAAATCACGATTTCAATATCTCTCTCCCTTCCAGCCTGCCCAAGCCCCCCACCATCTACGTACATAATAGCCAAAAAAATATGCACGTACATACTTTGTATGTACTGTACATGCATGTATACGTGCAACAACAGCAACTGTCCGACATAACAGATATGCATAGAATCGCATAGCTGTTACCGTTTCTGGTACTATCTTAGGATATGCAGATATGTCTGGGCGAGCGCAGACAGCATAATCTGTGCTTGAGTCGTCTGCCGGCTTCTCTGCGTGCGGGGGGGTTGGATTTGCGAGAAAGAAATGAAGTAACAAGAGAAGGGGAGAGAAAATAACAAAATTCATTAAAAAGGCGTTATCTGGGTGGAATATTTAGCTAATAAAATATTATTAAGTTACCTATTTCTCATCAGACAGACATGAATCAATCAGCCATTGCTGTGGCCCTTTTAAGCACTTCCACTCAAAAGGAGAGGAAAGAAGTGAGAAGAAAAAACAAGGAAAATACAACGCCCTGAACAGGAAATACGTTCCGTGAGTATTAACAAAAATAATATCAGTAATAAATGTACGAGCCAACTAAGTAGTGTATAGTGCAAAGTTATAGTAGTTAGAGCGCCAGCATAAACCCTCCATCTACTAAATATACAATATAAAATATAAAAAGCAGGGAAGGAAAACAGGATCAGAGCCCTGATCCAATACATATCCAGATAAAAAGAGACCGCCAGATATTGAGTTAAAGCCAAAATCAAAAAGCGAAAAAAAATTTAAAAAAATAAAACGAAAAATAAAAAGTCAACCCGGCCGAAACCCAAACACCCAGAACGAAACACATAAATGAATGTAATAATAATATATAAAAAAGACCTCACAAACACAATTCAACCCTAACCACCTCTCCTCTTCTCCCTCTCCCTCTCCCTCTCCCCCCTTCTCCTCGCCCAACAAAGCCACCTCCACCACCAATTCCGCACCCCCAACACCGCCACGCGGCCATCATCCCTCCCCTCGGTCCCATCCGGGTTCCCAAGAATCATGGCGAAGACCCAGAACGAGGCGGCGATCCAGGCAGCGATGAGGAGGGCAGGGATGAGCAGCGGGGAAAGGAGGTGGATTAGGAGGAGGAGTGGGGGGGAGTGGGTGGTGGCGGGGGTTGGTTTGAGTTGTGGGGAGCAGGGGAGGGAGGGGAATGAGGAGAGGGGGGAGGTTGGAGGTGTTGTGTTTGGAGGAGGGTGTCTTGGGGAGGAGGGGGAGACAGGCGGGGAGAGGGGGGAAGGCGGGTTCCCGTGTATTTGAGTGTTTGGGTGTGAGTGTTGGGTATCATTTGTTGTGGCAGTCATGGTTGTTGTAGTCGTCGTTGTAGTGGTGGTGTTGGTAGCCTTCTGCTGGTGAGAATCGATCGTATCGTACGGATGCGTAGACACAGCCGCACCACCGTTCCCATCCTTCTTTCTCGCCCTCCTACAATACCTCGCACAATGCCTCCCATCATGACTATTATTATTACTATTATTACTATTCGTGATATCGACCTTCCTCCTTGGTGATCGCGGTTGTGGCGCAATGAGGCGCTGGTGCCTGCGTAGCAGAGGGAGGAGGAGAGAGCATATTTGTGCGGAGGGAGGGGATTTGAAGAAGGGGGACGGAGTGCAGAGGCGGAGCGGGAGTGTTACGAGGAGAAAGAGGAGAACGGCGAGGGTGTAAAGCGCTGCGATGAAGGTTAAGGTTGGTACGAGGAAGGAAAGGCGGAGCTGTTGTAGACGACGATTAGCAGGTCATTTCTATGCATGATTTGAGTTGATTGAGTCTCTTTCCATCCTCCAATTGTTCCAATTCTTGCGGTTTTGGTGTTGTTCTGATGTTTGTCTTCCCAGCCTTCGTGCTTGAGGACGAGGCAGAAAGAATATCCAGTACAGCTGTTTTCTTCTTTGAAAAAAACAAAAGCTTCGAAAACTCAATTCACCCAAAATAAATACCAACCACAAGAAAAGTGAAAAGTGAAAATAGAAATAATTTATATATCTCACCAGTATGAAAAAAGCATTCTCCGTCTCCGTCGACCTCACCACATCCAACCTATCATCTCCATCATCATCCTCATCCCCATCCTCGTCATCATCATCATCATCGTCATCATCATCACCATCGTCGATCTCTACATCATCCGCGTAAACCAATACCCGAGTATCCACCTGCTGCGCCCGCGGACTCAAGTGCTCTGACATCAATACACCATGATTGTTATGCCCGTGACTGCGCCGCGCTTCCATTCTCGTTTGGATTTGAGGAGCATGCGTCTGCTCTAACATTGACGCAGGATGGGAGATGGTATTTCGCTCAATGGCATGGGAATGCGAGTGGCAGTCGTCCTGGTTCTGGTTCTGGTTCTGGTGCGTCATAGATTGCGGTGCGCGGTGTGAGAGGGTAGGAGCAGCATTGGGAGGTTCTGCGGATAGGGGGTATAGCTGAGGCTGGGGGAGATGGATGATGTGGTGGTTATTACTATTGCGGTTGGGATGAGGGTTGTAGGAGGGATCTTTAAAGCTGTCGTTTCGGGAGTGAGAATGCGGAGAGGGGTGGTTGTCTGAAGATGGGGACTGCTGGGAATAGTAGAGGTGATTGTCGTCGTCGTGGCGCTGGTAATAGATATTATGGGATGGGAACGTTGGGTTTAGGTGAGCTGGAGGAGGAAGAGGACAGGTCGAAGACGTCATGGTAAACGGCCGGCACTGGGCATATATAAGATATGTCGTGTCGCTGTACTAACGTACTAGCAGCTGTAGCTAGAGGCAAGCACTCTGGGGGCGGAGCAGGGCCTGCAGGCAAGACATCGACCACGGCGAGGGTGGGGATTGATATCCATGGACGACAAGAGGTGACGGAGGGCGGAATTTGACTGCGATACTATTGGAGGGGAAGCAAAACGACAAATGGGGGTGGAGGAGAGGAGAGGAGAGGAGAGTAAGCGGCAGAAATAAAAGGGAGCGTATTATTATCGCATATATGTGCAGGTGTTCAAGGTGATAATAATTTATGTATATATATATAGATGAATATATATATGGCCAACAACCTTGGGATATCCACCGGGGGCATATATATAATAACGTAAGAAGAAGAGAGGGCGGGACAGCGCCCAGCGGAAACCAAGCGCAACCCAAGATGGGCCCAAAATCGGCCCCAAAATCGGCTCCAAGAGGGCTCCAAGAGGGGCTCCAAGAGTGCTCCAAGAGGGCTCCAAGAGGGCTCCCAAGATCTCCCAAGATGTCCCAAGATGTCCCAAGATGTCCCAAGCCTGCAAGCAGGCCAGAGCAGGAAAGAAGAGGACGAGGAAAAGCACGGCGGAGCGCCGGGACTGGCTGGGTACGCGCCAAGAACGGCCCTCGCCCAGGCGCCGAGAGCTTGGCGGAGGGTTGCTGGGAAGTGGGCGATCGCCGTTATTCTCGGATATATCGATTATGCCCAAGCCATTAACTATATTATTAGTGTGTGTGTGTGTGTGTGTCTGTCCATCAAGAATCAGCTAGAAATTATTCATCTTAGATATACTCTGTACATTTCTGTATAATTATGCATACATACAACAGAAAGATAATTGCAAGCAACTTTGCACCCAAGCTCAGACAGAAAAATAAAAATAATAAATGATGACGCAGACCCGTTACATATCAGCTGTTGCTTTGGCTGGTAAGTTGTAACTCTCTTCCTTCCGAGGTTTGCTGGTGGAGACGGACCGCCAAGAATGAAACGCTTGGCCTTGGTAACGGAGTAAACCAGCAATACAATAAATACAGTATCGCCCATCCATAAAATACAGCATACAGCACCCGTCAATACTAATAATTTCATATTAATACCATCCCTCCCACACACACGCGTCCCGGTCTTGGCGGAGCTCTTGGCTGGACTCTTGGCACTTCCCTCCCCCCCGACACCTTTCCCTTTTCGGCCACCGCCAGAGCCGCTTTCAGCTCTTGGCAACGCTGGGCCCAGGGCGGAGTCATGTGATATCTGTTCGTCCAATTATTTTTTTAGTATTATTCCCGTCTCTTACATCCAAAAAAAAGAGGGAGTCAATACGATACGTGCGATGTCTAATAATAATACTTGTAGATAGCTAAATGCTGCTTCTGCAGGCTCGCACCGTTCTTCGTCCCCATAATCCGGACCCAGCCCACGGATCGCGGCATTCTGCTGGCCACCCGTCTGTGCTCTGCATATCAATCTTTCATAATGCCTGGCTGTCTGGCTTGTCAGGCTGTCAGGCAGCTAGACAATCAAACGGAAGCCAAGCCTATCAAATATATCTGCATTTCCAGATAGATAGATATGGTCATATATTATGAATTCTTACCAAAACAAAAAGAGTAAGGGTCCAGCAGCGAAATTCATTTAATTACTATTTCGCATATATATATATATATAAAACACATCTCTACCGCCCGTTCTTCCACGCGCCTGAGAGTGAAGGTAGTAAGTAACTATGTTGTAGGGATATATATTATTTAATTATTTCATCGAGTATTCTATGCCTTAGTAGCATTTAAAAGGAAGAAGCAATGGGGTGGGTAAGTTAGACGAGCGGGAAATACAATAAAATTATATATATTCTGAATGGGAAGACAGAATCATCTCTCCCCTCTCACTCTTCTTCTTCCTCTTCATCTTCCTCTTCTTCCCCTTCGCGATAAAAGCACCGTCAGATCGAACGAATGATGGATTGATATCCTCCCTCTCTATCTGCCTGTTCGGAACCAATCCCTTTATTCTTCCTCCCTCCCCCCTCCCTCCTCCCTCCTCCTCCGCCGCCGAGCCGATCGAATCAGCAACGATAGGTAAGGCAGTAACAGTAAGTACTTACGCACGTACGTCCACAGCTGGGGACCGGCCCCCGGGGGGGGGGGAGGGGCTTCGGACTTCAGTTTTAATGTCACACGGAGGAGGAGGAGGAAGAGGAGGGTCTGTCGCTTCTCCCAGCACCGTCCCGTCGCTTGCTGCACCCTTGCCTGTCATTATTTATTGTCGCGAAAGGAAAAGCAGTACTCTGTGCAGAGTACGGAGTAGACAGGTGGTTAAAAAGCAGCAATCCGTTATAGTTACATAGTAATGTACATGTATGTACGGAGTACATGTACATACATAGTACCGAACAAGCCTACTGCTGTTTGGCCAGTGAAACCTAGGTAGTTAGGTATCTATCTACTTAATTAACTATCCATTAGTTACTCACAACCACAGCATTCATCTATCCATCTATCCATCTACTGATTGATCGATCTACTGCGTACACAGGCCGCGCGGAGGATTTTTATCAACAGACATACATACATCCGTACATCCATACATACAAAACCAAACCAACCAAACCACAGACCCATAGTCGACAAAAAAAGCAAACTAATCCCGAGCTTTTCCCAAGTAAGTCCCCCATCGCCCACGGAAGCAGCCGGTCAGAACCCTGTCTATCTCCCGCCACCCACCTGTGCATTCATGGTTCGGTCTTGGATAAACCTCTCGTTCAATTCCCGATTTTTCAATAATGAGATAATTACGTAGGCCCACATATGTTATATTCATACTCATGATATTCATATTCTGCTTTGTGTCGAGAAAGGTCAACAACTATCTAGCTAATCCAAGGCTACCTAAACTAAGTCATATACTCTTATTTTATGATGTTATTCAATGTCAAGTTTTCAGGTTTCAAGCACGAGAAGGAAAGAAGGAAGGAAAGGGGGGGGGGGAATATACATAGAGATATCAATCTAAATTTGAGAAAGGAAAAAAAAGGAAAAAGAACAATGCAAAACCAGCAACAGAGCGTTAGTTGGACTTCGAAAGAAAAATAAAATAAAAAATCCAAGCAAAAACACAAAAGAAAGTCGCATAAAAAAATACTGTACCGATGTAGAAACGAGAAAGGAAAAGAAAAGCAAGGAGGGCGAAAATTCCATTTACCAACCCATCCACCATCCATCCCAGATGGTGTAAACAAAACAAAAACAAAAACAACAACAAACCCAAAACAGTATCCTACCCCTATTCCCTTCATACTTTCACCCACCCTTTCTCTCCTTCCTTAACTCGACGCATCCCCTTTGCCCTGTGCCTGTACTTGCTGCGACTCTCTCCCACTCCCGCCATTCGCAACCCCGTTATTACTCCCGCTGCCACTACCCTTTGAGATACTCCCTCCATTCGGACTAGTGCCTTTCCCACTTCCGCTTCCAGCACCCTTCTTCTCCTCCTCCCCGCCATCATCATCGTAATCCTCATCAACTTCCATCTTTCGCGCTGGGGGTTCGTGCTGCATCGTCTCTTTGCGCTCCCGTTCTCGTTCTCTTTCCCTCTCCCTCTCCCGTTCCCTATCTCTATCTCGCTCACGCTCCCTCTCATCCTTAACCGAACCAGTGACAGCAGCAACAGCCAGACCAGCCGGCAACGACGGCAGTGGGCCCGTTTGATGCGCGTTACTCCCATCAGCCACCATCGGGGCCATCGCGGGGCCTGGCTGTGGCTGCTGCTGCTGCTGGCCTGAAGACGGTTGGCTCTGACCCTGCATATGCTGGAAGGAAGGGAGCGTGGGCGCGTGATGCGCTGCCTCAGATGGATGATAGGGATCATGCACGCCACGTACGTGGCCATGAACGGGACGTTGTTGATCTTCGCGTTCACGTTCGCGCTGCTGGGTGTCGGAGGAATCCCGCCGGCGGAGGTCTCGGGGCGACGGGAGCTGTGGTTGCGATTGTGATTGCAGCTGGGATGACGACGGGGACATGCGCCGGGGTACCGGCTGCTGCTCATCTAGCCGCGCACGACTCTCTTCGTTTGCCAGTTTCTTTACAGGGCCGGGTCCTTGCTCTGGTTCCCAATCACGGCCTCGTTTCATGGACGATGGGGGCCGTTCGTCACGTTCTCGTTCACGGTCGCGCGTAGCAGCTTCGGCGGCACTCATGGTGGATGCGGGTGGTGCGACACCTGCATTGGCTGCAGGGGCCGGGGGTCCAGGGTGATATTGGTGTGGCGGCGGCAGTGGATACGAGGATCCGGGGGAACTTTGGCGTTCATCACGAATGGGGCGTACTTCAGTTGGAGGGGTGTATGGACGAACATAGGGGGCTAGCTGGGGACCTGAAGGGGTGCCATTGGCTGCAGCTGGCGCAGGACCCGCTCCCTGGGCTAATGGTGGTGGTCGCCCGGCGGCGGTATAGTTTCCATTGCTCGCATTGCGGTCATGCTGCTGTTGCTGCGAAGGTGGAGGTGGAGGTCCTAGCTGAGGCAGAGCTTGCGCGCCCTGGTATGAATTGGGAGCAGCCAAGCCAAACTTTGGTGATGGGGAGAGTCCGCCCTTTCGAGGCCCAGGATGTTGAGCTTGGTCGGGGTATGGAAGTGCTTGGTCCTGTCGCGGGCTGGGTTGCTGAGGACCACCCCGCACACCTTCACGGTGATCAAATGGAGCCGGGCGTTGTGGTGGTGCCTGAGCGTTTTGAACCTCGCTGACACCGCGAGCCCAATTGTCGATGCGACCGGGGGGGGCCGGACCTTGTGGTAGTGGGCCACCACTTGGCGCTGGAGGACCCCATTGATGACCTGGAGGCATACCCACGCCAGCTGCTTGGTATGTGTGAGGATTAACATCTTGTGGAACAGGGGCAGTAGCCTGGTTGGCGCCTCCTGCCTGGCCGCTTTGCAACAATTGCAATCGAGATTTAATGTGAGCATTTGTGGGGTCGAGATCAGCGGCACGTCTATACGCATCCAGGGCATCGTTCGTCTGGTTGTTGCATGATTCATACTGAAACGAAGAACATCGTGTTAGATTTCGCGGGCAAAAAGGTGGATCGTGAAATAAGAGGCCACTTGAGAAACTTACCAGAGTCCCTAGATCATACCATACTTCCGAGATGTATGGGTTCAAGCGAATGGCTCGGGAATAAGCATCGAGCGCATCGCGGTACTGATTGATTTGATAGTAAAGCACGCCGATGGAACACCAGAATGTAGGATTCCGTCCGTCACGGTAGACAGCTTGCTGGTAAGCCTCATATGCCTTAGGGTATTTCGCCTGAGACATGTAGCATCGTCCAAGGAGGTACCAACTCTGGGCGTCGCTGTTGTCTGCAAGGTTGTTAGCATGTATCGCCTATCAATCTCCCTAAGATGTCGGCGCAACTGTGTACAGTAGGAACATACCAGCTTTAACAGACTTCTCCAAATACTCAATGGCCTGTTCCTGGCTGCTGTAACTGTTGCTCAGTTGGTGGTGCAGCCATCCGAGTTGCTGTAATACTTTTGCATGATTGGGATCGCGGTCAAGTACCCGCCGGTAAGCGGCCTTGGCAGAGTCGTACTGCGTAACCAAAGTCAGTATATAAGAAAAGGTAAAGATAAACGGGGTAGGGGAGGAGAGAAAAGAGCTGCTCACATCTTTTTGTTGTTCATGGACATGGCCGATCTGGAACCAGATGTCTTCTTCAGTGAGAGGACGGGGTGGGTCGGTGACAATGTATTTGAAGCACTAGAATTATCGGAATTAGCCCCGGTGCTCAGTGGTCTTTATTTTTATCGGAGGCCAATTAACCAACCTCCAGACTCTGATTGAATTTCTGTTGTTGTTTGTATATTATGCCAAGGCGGAAATAAATCTCGTTGGCCTTCTCGAAATCTGGCTGCATGCGCATGACTTGCGAAAAGGCCTCTTCTGCGTGGTCGAGGGAGCCGTAGCGGTCATATAGAATGCCAATGCCATACCACAGTTTTGGCTCCTACAAAGTTGTTAGCAAATAGATAATTTTATTTGACGCACTAAAAGAAAGAAAAACAAATCAAAACTAACTTGAGGATCCCTAAGATGGTACAGAGCCTGTTGATAAGAGGTGTACGCCTCTTGTAGATTGTCAATCATAAGATGGCAATGACCTGTTTTCTAGTTAGTAAAAAACCATACAAGCTACATGTACAAACAAAACACATCAAGTATGCAAATACTAACCTAAGCTCCCCCAAGATTCGCCATTTGTGGGATCCAATTTCAGGATATTCTGCAGATACTCAATGGCCTTTTGGAACTGTTCTCGGGTACGGAGGATGCAGGATATAGCGCTCATCGCGGGAATTGACCATTGATTATGCCGTAGAGCCTGTTCGTAGGCACTCATTGCGCCATCCAGATCGCCCATCAGTTCAGATAAACTCCCTATAGTACTAGTTAGTCTCTGTACATTTGTACCAGTTGTAGGTGGTGGTTGGGAGGGGGAAAATTTGGCATACCAATTTGCAGCCAGACGCCTTCATTGAGCATAGCGATTTTCTGACTGATGGGGTTGGGAATAGGCTTCTGAGGCTGTGGCTGTTGGACAGCGACAAGGCCGTTGACTTGCTGTTGTTGCTGTTGCTGCTGCTGCTGCGGTTGCGGTTGTTGTTGTTGGGGATGGGTGGTAGAGAGCGGCCCAGGCCCAGGACCGGGACCGGGGCCGGGGCCAGTGCCGGGGCCGCCATGATGTGGATGGATGCCGCCCGGGGGTGACGGTTGTGGATGGGCGGACATTGTGGAATGGAAGTGATGGTTGTGGTTGTGGTTGTGGTTGTGGTTGGGCTACGGCTATGGCTGTGGTGTTATGTCTTCCACAAGAGACATGGACAGCAAACACAAAAACGGGAATCGCGGCAGCACGAAGGGAATCACTGAGTCAGCAGCAAGACCCTCCGGGGGCGTGGAAAGAACCAGGCATCCACGACGAGGATTGTTGAGAAGATGGTAGAGGAGATGACGGTAGTGATAGCGGTGGGTTGGAGGGGGGAGTGTGGAGTGGTGATGTGGTGATGCGATATGAGGCAGAAAGGGGAGAGGGGATTATGTAAGGGAGGATGAGAAGGAGGAGGAGGAGGGGGGGGATATGATAATAGTTAGCTAGTGAGTAGTTGAGGGGGAAGATGGGATGTATGAAGGTATGATACTTCCAAGATTGGGGGATGGGAGGACTCCAGGCAGGGTATAACAAGAAAAAGGAGGAGGAGGAGGAGTAGGAAGAAGAAGATGAAGAAGAAGAAGAGCAGGAAGAGAGAGACAGAACAACGAAGAGAAGAGAAGAAGAGAAGAGAAGAAGAAGAGAAGAAGAGGAAAGACGCAGCAGCAGCCCGAAGCAAAAAGGGCGAGCACAGCGAACGGGGCATTTGGCGCTAGTGGGAAGGGACTTGGCCCAGGGCCAGCAGCAGCCGATGCCACCAAAATAAAACACACACACACACACACACACAAACACACACAACACACACACACCCCACACTCACTGCAGCGACTGCAAACTACTCGCCTGAGGGGGGAGGGAGGAGTGGGAACGGACTTCTGCTTCCCCCTTCCTTCCTTCCTTCCTCCCTTTCCTCATCTGCGGCCTTGGCATCCTGGCGCCATTGCATGGATGGGGCCAGGTTGGGCCAGGATGGCGGGTGGTGGATCCAGACAACTCTGCGCCAGGCTAACCCCCGAGCCAAACCTTCCCCGGGTGCATCATGTATGTACAGTACAGTACTAAGCACTTCAAAGAGTAGTGTAGTAGTAGTAGTAGTAGTAGTAGTAGTAGTAGTACACAGCGCACTACTGTAAATCTTATGTCAACAAGGCAAACTGCACCCTCTTCCCTTCAGCTCGACGAGCCAACTGTGGTACAACCCTTGCCCTGGCCTAGTGCCGCCTTGGCAAAGTCTTGGCGGCTTGGCGACCTCTGCCTGGGGCTTGGAGGTCTTGGAGAGGCAAAAAGGGCACTAGGCCTTGTCTTATGTAAGCAGAAATTAGCATCAATCGCGCCGTCCTGGGCTGGCTGGGGAGCGGGTGGGGCGTGTGGGGCCCATGTGGGGAGCTGGTGGGACAGTATGGATCAATAATGGAGCTTGCTGGCTTAGTGCGGTAACTGTACCTTGGTTGGCTGATGACACCACAGAAGCTGCGGTTGTGTCTTGTGTGTCACGTTGAGCAATTAATATATAATTAAATAATCCAGTCGAGGATGTTTAACCTAGGTATGAGTAGGATAGGGTAGCCACCCTCGGCAATCCACAGAAGAATAATAATGGCTGGCGTGAATGCCACAAAAAGCTACTTAGCAAACTCCGGCAAATTATTCTTCTCACCCACGCACGCGCGCGAGCGAGGGGCCAAGCTCCCGATGCGGCGATGCCCAGCATTATTATTATTAAATGGATTCTGCAAACACCTTCCTGTAAAATTGACGTTTGGGGGAGTATTTAGTGCAAGCGATGTATTATTGCTGTTCATTGCGATGTTTCAGCACTACTGAACAATCACAGTATAGTATGAAGTAATTAAATCTGATTTACTCTGAATCTGATTAGATATGTAATTTATCTGTAATATATACACCGCCATTACAGAAACAAAATTACAGGCAAGACTCCATTCTATTTAGCATCCTGCCATAAAGGGCCGCAATCTGGGCATTTAAACCTAGATAGGAAGGCGGGTGCATACTAAAAATCATCTATTATTATTACGCAGCGTATTGGTGTTTGATATTGAACCCTAGCCGCCTCCTTGTTCCTTGGTTCCCAGCAACCCATCAACATGGTAATAATAATAATGATATCCACCACTGATTCTGCCTGGTCCAGCTTTTTTATCTGATCACGAATGCATTTCGTCTCATTCTTCCCCCCTCGCACAAACCTCCGCGAAGAATAAATGCATCAAGGTCTAAAAAGGAGCATCCGAGCACTCAGCTTACTCATTCAGAGTCTAGAGGAACTTAAAAGGAAAATTCACTATTGTCAAACTCTATCTTCATCCCCCTATCATCATCACCTCGCACACATCATCAAGATCCAGGTTTGAAAAGAGCAAAAGAGGAAAAAAGGAAAAAGAAAAAACACGCAGACGCGCACAAACTGTGTGATAGGTGACAAGCCACACTCATCAAACACATCATTCATCAGACACCAATACGGGGGTACTTATTCCTATTCGTGTGGCTATTCTTCCGACAGAAATAAGCGCCAATCTCTAGGAGTCTTATTAGTTACATGTTACAAACATCCTGCTCGCAATCCTTTTAGCTCCCTCTTTCTTAGCTTCCCCTCTAGCCCGTCCCACTCCGACCAATCTGTTTCCTTTTTTTTTTACCTTTCTTTTTTTTTCTCCTTCCGCTGACTCCCGTTAGCCGTGCCAAGAGGATGGGGCCTGCAAGCAAGCAAGTCTAGTAGTAATACGCAGTAATAGGCCCCAGGGTGTGCCCTGTCCAATAAAGCGGCATTGGTCAGGTGGTTTTCAGAATCATTCCCTGTGGGGGTTATATATGCAATTAAAAGCCGCGTGGAGCCGACTCTATAGGGGCTTGGTTAACCACCTAGCCAGCTAGCGGCTGGGCATGCATAAGCTCCGAACTACTAGTGAGCTTGGCTTCCAGTGGCCACAGCTCCCAAACTTATAGTTAAGGCCTTGGCATGCCAAGCCTGTTAGTTCGGCTTGACCCCTCTAACGCGGGGGGGCTTCTACCCCGTAGAAAGGTGGGTAATGCCAGCGCTGGGATTCGAACCTGCGCTTCTTATCACCGACGCCAGTATTAAAAGACGCTCAGAAATTCTCAAATTGAAAAGTATATCAAATCATTGACGAATATAAAAGAATTAAATCTATTCTTCTTCTTCTTCTTCTTCTTCTTCAATTTACAGATGTATGCAGTCAGAGGCTGACATCTGTCTGATAAAAATCGGAATTTTCCTAGTTACAAAGTTAAGAATATATATATGAAACCAGCATTTATATATACATCAATAAATATCAGAATCTCATCTCAGAAGCAAACAGTTACTCAAATAATCAATTTGAAACCCTTTTAAATCAATTTAAACAGCACTTTCAATCCAAATATCAAACAACTGTAAAGAAATATCAACAAATGTTCAATAACAAAGAAATTTCTCAGACAATATGGAAAGCTACAAAACAAAAAAACCCCCTGTAGTCTACACCTTAAGTTATATAATATACTTATTTTAACACTCTATATGACGGCTCATCTCAGGGGTTCTTAGTTAAAGCCTTTAATCTTCCAGCTGTCAATCTCAATAGCTTAACTGGTCAGGCCTCACTGACTCTAGGCACCCATCTCCAGGGAATTACTCCGTACAGCGTAGGAAATAAAAACCATCTGATTAAGGAATTTAGAGCACCCTTGAGCCCAGTGAGGACCGAAGATGAGATGAAGCCTAGGCACTCTGATTCGTGCAAGCAAGATCATGACTGTCAAATTGATAGACTGAAATCGACGATGATTTCACGATCCTGCAGGCCACCCTAGGACCCCCGAAGTCGAGTACTTGATCTCTCACTACTTGAGGACGTCATCGGAACTTCCTCCCCTCCCCTCCCCTCCCCCCAAGACGCGCGGGAATCGGGATTATCCGAACCCGTAGATCTACGCAGTAGGGCCAAGCGCCAAGCGCCAAGCCAATATGGCGCGAGCCCTGTTGGGAGAGGGGGGGGAGTCACCGAAGCCTACCTACGGAGTACCTACGATGCCAAGGGCCCGAATCAAGGCAAGTTACGGGTACGGGGCCAGCCTACGTAGCAGCGACAGACAGCAACAGGTTTGCAACGGGAACTCGAGTTGGCCCAGCACACCCCCTCCCCCCTCCCCCCCCGGGTCCCTTTGCTGTACGTGTATGCACGCAATGCACCCCCCGTGTGGGTGGCGATCATATATATATATATATGTATCGCGCGCGACGACCGAGTATTATTATTGTTTTATGTATGTATGTATCTATGTATGTATCTATGTATGTACGATGCTTACGGGCTGCTGCGATGGGGGGCCCTTGACGAAGCTCTCTCGGGGGGTGGGATTCGAGCTCCTTACGCGTTAGCCAGGCAAACCAGGCCAGTGACAGGCAGGGTAAATGAAATGCATGCATGCAATGCCTGCCACTGCCACAGGGCAGACGGACGCGCACGGAAATTCTTACGTACATGGGACAGGCAAATAATAATAATAATAATAGACAGGTCTTGGTTCGTCACTGACCCGGGGGGGTTGGGTTAGCCAACAACGGAGTGTGTGCCGCTGATGGTAACCCAAGGTATTAACCCATTTATTATTAATAATATTATTATTATCCTCTTGGAGGCTTGGGGGCAGGGGCAGGGGTGAATCACCCGGTGGTTGGGTGGTGGAGCGTCGTTTAAGGTTGGCGCGCAACTTTGTGTGACTTGGGCGGCGGTTTCATGTCCAGGATGCAATACTAATACGATGCACGGCGTGATTGGGAGGGGAGGTAGGTTGATGACGACGAGTTAGAAAAGCCTGCTCTGGCGCTGTCCTCGGCGCAAGAGCTGGAACAGAACAGGAACAGCAAACTGGTGTTCGCCTAATAAGAAATCACGAGAGCTGTCACGATTTTTTTTTTCTATTTTTCTTTTTCTTTTTTCTTTTTCTTTTTTCTTTTTTTTTAAGAAACAGTCGAGGAGTGACAGAGATAGGATAGGATCGGTTGCAGCCACGGCTGACGGTAGAGTAGGGCCACAGAACAAACACATCATTACTCCGTAACTACATCACATCATGATGGGCAACCATTAAAAGGCTCCACAGAAAGAGACAAAGCTCTTTCTTTTCTTTTTCCTTCCCCCGCAGAAAAATCTGGTAACTTGCCGCAAAAGAACTTTTTTTTTTTCTCCGTCCGTTCCCCAACACACACACCACCCACCCCTGTGCCGTCAAACGTGAACAAAGATAAAAAAAAAGATACCGTATGAAACATATTATTAAGTTCCGGTTGCACTCACTGTCCACGAGCCACGAGGCCTGTTTGCCCTCACTCAAGGGCATATTATTATTATGCACAACATACATAACTCAATCAGCTCCAGGTCGAGATCGACCTTGACCCGAAAAGGCCATAATGACGATGGGGTGAGTGAGGTTGGTTGGAGACTTGGGAGTTGAGTTGAAACTACTCCGTAGGCATAAATAAAATAAATAAATTCATGGCGGCTTGGGTTGATCCTCGCGTCTTTGAGACCGACCGATGCAAAAAAAGAAAAAAAGGAAGGGAAAAAGAAATTAAAGCTAAGAAAGGCTGCTCAAAGCACCCACACTTTTTTAAATGATTTACTTTTTTCTTTTTTTTTTCTTTTTTTTTCTTTTTTTTCTTTTTTTTTCTTTTTTTTCTTTTTTCTTTTTCTTTTTTTCTTTTTTTTTTTTTTTTGCAATCCATCACGACTGAAACAAGCCGAAGCGGACGAAAAGGTAAAAAAACTGGCAGTTTGTACGAGCTTGTTGGTGAGAGGTATGGTATGCGGAGGTAGGTATGCGGAGCACATCCACCGGCGCTGCAAGTGCCCAAGTGCCATCGTGCATGGATATGACGGACGGACGCGAGGGTGACGCTCTTAAGTCGTGCTTGGTGCATTTTATTTGCAAATTATTTTTATGCTTTGATGGTTGCATTTTTATACTCTTGTGCTCCGTAACTACCGCTGCACATGTACTCCCGTATGTAGGTATGTACGGAGTCCGCAGTTGTATGTGCACAGTAAGTAGTGGACGTGGGAAAAAATTTCCGTGTGTGACTAGGCTGGCCAGTTAAGAAAAAAAAAAAAAAAAAAAAAAAAAAAAAAGCTCGCGCTATTCTTGGTTTCCGCAGAGGCTAAGAACCGGCAGAAGGGAAAAAAAAGAAAAGAGACATTGTTCAATGCATATTTTTTGGTCCTTGGATCGTGGATTTGCGACGTGGTAATTATTACTTATTGGATCTATCGAGTAGTCCTCATTGTTGCTTGTTGCTCCTGCAGATGCAGAGTACAGTGTACAGTGTACACAAGTTCTGTTATATCTGCACAAACAGCACCCCCCCTATATTATTACTCAACTACTTGTACCCATCCATTGTTAGGTGAGGGAGACTCTCCCAGGAAATTTGCCTTCGAGGCTTGTGATAAGTTAATGGAACTTTCGTGAGCCTTTATAGTAGCTGTAGATTGGGAAACGAAGAGTCTACTTTTTACAATTCTCTCAATATTCTCAACCGCTCCTCAACCACATAAACGGTCGGTAAATTCTGGTGTTAAATATCTAGAGTTAGCTATTTTGTTGACTAGATTTGCTTAGTAGACATTCTTCAGATACAATATGAGTGAGGCTATTATTATTGTTCTTCCATACTATTCGGCTAGCCTCTATCCATCTCAATATTACCGTATCTGCATTGGTTCAGTTGGAGAAAACACAGCTATCAAGAAGAAGAGATCAGATTGTCATCTATATAGCACGAGATAAAATATGACGATATAGAAATCGTATTTCATTGCCTGTCTGTCAGTGATAGAGAAATTCAGCGTTGTAGAGCCATCTTATCCATAGATAGATCCATGGATCTCATATAGAGTTGAGCCCCTCAAATGCTCAGCCCTCAAAATCCCCAACCTGTTTGCACAACAGGAGAGAGAGGATGAAAAAAGCAGTATTAAAGAGAAGGTCAAAAAATATAAAAGTTAAATAGATAAATAGATAACCATGTACTCACTCCTCACCAACTCCCGTTCGGATACGGCTCACTTCTCGTCCCCTTCTCCCACCCATTATGGATACCATCCCAATACTGCAACCGAATCGTACTCCAATCAATCCCCTGGTCCGTATCAATCGTCAACCCATTCACAACCCAAAAATACATGTCCCCATACTTCCCAAAAATGAAACAGGCGACCCCGCACGTCTGGCAGAAGTAATGGCGCATTCTCTTCTCGCCGAAGCTGTACTCGGTCAGCTCGTCAACTGTGGCCGGGGAAAGCAGCGTGATGTCCTCTCGTTTCTCTGGCCGGACGGATATCGAGCCCTTTTTGAGGCAGATGGTGCAGTTGCAGCGGCTGGGGGGGATCTGGTTGATGTCGACGTTCACGGTGTATTTCACGAAGCCGCAGTGGCAGCTGCCCGTGTAGAGCTTTTTGGACGACGGGGGCGCGGTTTCGGTTGCCATGGTGTCTTCGTTGGGCTTTTGTTCTTTTTATTGACCTAGAGTGTGATGTATGGAATGGAATGACGGCTTTGATAAATGAGTATTGTATCTCTCTATATATATATATATATATGTTTGGATCTTTATGGGAGACGGGCGTATCTGACTTCGGTCGGCTGTGCTTCAGCGGGAAAATATAACTATTGCTCGAAAAGGTTCTCCCAGTGTCTCTGCTATATTCTCTTCTTGAAACAAATAAATGGAGAAAAAATATTTGAATGAAGAGGGATTGCCTGCACTGGGTAATGGGACATTTATATACTCTCCGGCTGAGTGTTACTCTGGTGTCAGCAACCCGGATGGACACCCAAGTAATACTCGTACCAACTTCACTAATGTGTCCGACTGATGGCAGGGACATCCACGAGCATCCATATGGTTCCATGCCAGGGGGTCTACAGGCTAAGAACGGGGAGCTGACAATAATGGCACCGAGATGTACATGTACATACAGTAAGTACATGTACAGTACATACACAGATAAGCTCGACAAACTAAGAGATGACATAGATACACATTGCTGCAGCCTGTTATCCTTCTGGGAGGTTTGCTTATTTTGATGCCCGAGGTCACTGGTTGAATTAATTAAACATATGGGTATATAGAATGCGAACGTATAAAACCACAGAAAGTTCACTAACCCACAAAGGAAAAAAGGTGTTCAGCCAAACTCCTCTCTACCAAACTACCATACACTCCAAAGTAACTCTTATCTATCTAGACTAAACCACCTATTTTTGGCTTCACTCCTTCTCCAAGACGCCTTCTCAGGCTCGACGATGACTCACCAACGGCCTGGTTTCTATAACGGTTAGGTGAGGGAGGCATCTGTGATTATTGGCGGGAAGGGAATTGATAGCAAATGCCAATGATCCTCCTTTTTTGTATTCGTTTCTATCAAGAAGAATCAAGTTGGAAGGCATCTCGGAGCTACTTGTCATATTTCTCTTTATCTTTAACCTTTGACTTTGCGAAGTCCCAAGCCTTAGGACACCAGAAGGTTGGGGGTGGTGATATAGAATCCGGTGTCAAATTTTGATTCCTGAGATTGGTTGTAGGGAATTTGATATCTAGGTCAGACGCGGTGGTAGAAGATGTGATGGAGTCCAGTCAAGCTGTCCAACGCAAAGCAATACCAGAATGTCCCTTTCTCCCACAATCTTTTCAAAAGCTCCGCATAAGAAAAGTCACATCCGACGATTGCGATGCTCCTCCCATCCCGGCCCAACATGGCTTTCTCCACCTGCTCGAAAATATCTATGTATTCAGTGCACATCTTATTGTACTGCGTTTCGTCGATCCTATCTACTGCCTGACTTGTCAACCAGTATGGGGGGGTGTTGCATTTCAATAGGACGAACGCAAGCCCATTCTAGGGTCAATAAGTTTCGTGATATGCCAGTTATCATCATCAACAAAGAAGTTGCTAGCATGCAAATCAGTAAGAGTAAGCACAAAAGGCCCAGAGCGTAGCTTGCGGTCCAAAAAATTAGAATATACGGTTCTCATCGTTGTCAATGCACACATCTGGCTTAATGCAATCTTTCATACTCGAGGCGCCATTTGGTTGGTAGCGTAGTCGGTTATCATGGACCGATAGAAGATCATGGATGTAAGTGTCAACAGTCGAATACGAGGTTTTACGCTGTATATCGATGGGGATGTTCTCGTTTTCAAGGTGGCAGATTTCCAACATTAACAGCCTGTTATTGATATCCAGGATGCACTCATTGTTGATTGTCAATGATCCGATGCGTGGTAATGGCTTCCGGGAGAGAATAAGTTGAATTCTAGCCAAATCGCTGAAAAGGTTGCGTCTAAGTGTTGTTTCATGACATCACTCAGCATATGACAGAGAGAGCATTTTCCCGTCCTTCGACGTAGTCAAAAAGCATATAGCCAACACCAAGCCCATCAAGAGCAGAAGCCTGGTGCTTCATGTACCAGCAGGGAACAGGACACTGGAAGAGGGATAATATCTGTTTTTTAAAATATTGAAAGCATCTTGTGAAAAAGGGAGCATTTCTGATAGCTGTGAGCTGCATCTATCGTTAGGCTTCTGGATACCTGCAGTATTGGTCTATTGAGTGTTCAAACTTGGCATACTTACTCGCTGTCCAGTTGACAGGCCAAAACCATGAAGAGAAGCAATTGGAATATCAGGGCATTCTTTTATTAAGCCATGCATAGGTCGCCGCTTCACATCGAATTTTTTCATCCCCGTTGTCCGGCCCTGCAACCTTGTATGGGAGAGTAAAACGTATGAGTAGCCGACTACATTCCCGACCCGACCTTTGAATGGACGCTGGAACAGAGAGATTGAAGCTACCATTTAGCCATTCTGAGCGGTTGGAGATGTGTGCTTCGCATGCGACAGAAGACAGGCAGAGATGACGAGCAATAATTGCTTTGATCAGAGGGGATCTTTAGCCCAATGTGGTCTCTGAAGACGGCTGCTTTTGTCACATAGGTCAACTCCTGCAAAAAATTTATAGTCTCTTCCTTTCTTGCCTCAGAGTAAGTGAATTGCCTTTTGAGAAGGCTCCTTGTCATTGGCATGGCTGACTGTTGATTTTCAAACCAACCCAACCAGAGGTTCCACCATTCCATCCATCTGACGCTAGTCTGCGTCAAGGCGTCCAAAATCCTTAACTACTTGAATTCAGGGAACATCTTTTCAGATTTTGAATTATGATGACTAGCTGAACCATCCAATCAATTCAGTAATCAATTAGTGGCGGGAACGCTGGATGTATCGGTTACTTTTTCGATAGAATACCATTTGTATCCCCATATCCTGGCTTGTCCATGATGGTTAACTACTCTTTCAAGAAATTTATGAGAATGGATATCCCCAACACCCTCCAATAGAATCCACCTTTCAGAACTCGCTCTATACTCTAGGTTATGAATCTTCCATATTAGCATTTATATCAGTTACATAAATGGTTTGTTTGGGAAGATAACCAGCGGGCAGCGGGTGATTTCTACAGGATAAGCTGTCCTTGTATGGCTGAATGAATGATCACATTGTTCTTATTTTTATTTTTATTTTTTATTTTCTTTTTGTAGCTCCAAAGGTTGCGGGTTAGTTTCATAGCAATAATGAGATTGAATTGTCAGAACTATCATAATCATATCATATATTAAGGATAATTACTTGTTTCTCGGAGACAAAAGATACGGGTTGATATTTTTGATGTACCTTGATGCGATGTGCGTGAAAAAATCCAACCAAAAGCGGAAAAGCGGGCCAAGACATCGCTTAGCTCAGCCCACACTCGTTAATTGGGACAAAATAATCAAACCTCAACTCTGATTTTTGTCGACAGGACGGACAGACGGACAACCTCTCACCACCTCGTCAAACTAACCACAACAGGGTCAAGATGTGAGTTGCTTCCTGGGTGGCTGCCGTTGCGATGACAATTGAATCTACCAAGACGCAGAATGCTGATGTTTTCTCTTTCTCAATTACAGGAGTCACCGGAAATTCGAAGCGCCTCGGCACGGTTCGTGGGAATTCCATCCGTCCCTCTCTCATCTCGCTGGAATTTGGGAACAGTTGAAACGCAATGTGTGCGATTTTTACTGATATGCGACTTTTATAGGCTCTCTTGCCTTCCTTCCCAGGAAGCGCAGTGCCAGACACCGGGGAAAGGTCAAGAGGTTAGTCAATTTGTTGAAATTCTGGGTACGGAAGTTGTCAGCGAGGAATGGAACACTGAGAAAAATTTTGCCCAACCCAAAAACAGCTTCCCCAAGGATGACCCCAAGAAGCCAGTCCACCTTACCGCCGCCATGGGCTACAAGGCCGGAATGACCACCACCGTCCGTGATCTCGATCGTCCCGGTGCCAAGATGCACAAGAAGGAGATTGTCGAAGCTGTCACCATTGTTGAGACTCCTCCGGTAAGACTGAAGTTGCTTGTTTTATCGATTGGCGTTCGGTAGGGAATTTAACGAATCTAACACCTGTCTTTTCGTCCGCGTTTCTAGATGATTGCTGTTGGTGTTGTTGGATACATTGAGACTCCCCGTGGCCTCCGATCCCTCACAACTGTCTGGGCCGAGCACTTGAGCGACGAGGTCAAGAGACGGTTCTACAAGAACTGGTACAAGAGCAAGAAGAAGGCGTTCACCAAATACGCCAAGAACCACTCCGAGAACAGCGGCGCCTCCATCTCCCGCGAACTCGAGCGAATCAAGAAATACTGCACCGTCGTCCGTGTCCTCGCCCACACCCAGATCCGCAAGACTCCGCTCAAGCAGAAGAAGGCCCACCTCATGGAGGTCCAGGTTAACGGCGGTAGCGTTGCTGACAAGGTTGATTTCGCCCACGGCTTGTTCGAGAAGCCCATCGAGATTGACAGCGTGTTCGAGAAGGATGAGATGATTGATGTCATTGCCGTTACCAAGGGTCACGGATTCAACGGTGTCACTAGCAGATGGGGAACCAAAAAGCTTCCTCGCAAGACGCACAAGGGTCTGCGAAAGGTCGCTTGTATTGGTGCCTGGCATCCGTCCCACGTCCAATGGACTGTTGCTCGTGCTGGTCAAGACGGTTATCACCACAGAACCTCCTGCAACCACAAGATCTACCGCATCGGCAAGGGCTCTGATGAAGGTAACGCCTCGACTGAATTCGACGTCTCGAAGAAGCAGATCACACCGTAAGTTTACGACTTCTCCTCCCACATATCACTCCATACCAAGAAAAAACAAAAGCAAATACTAATAATACCCTCTGTCTAGAATGGGCGGCTTTGTCCGATACGGCGAGGTCAAGAACGACTACGTAATGATCAAGGGCTCCGTCCCCGGTGTCAAGAAGCGGGTTCTCACTCTCAGAAAGACGCTGTACCCACAAGTCAGCCGCAAGGCGTTGGAGAAGGTCGAGCTGAAATGGATCGACACCTCGTCCAAGTTCGGACACGGAGTATTCCAGACCCCAGCAGAGAAGCGGGCCTTCATGGGCACCCTCAAGAAGGATCTCGTTACTGCTGCATGAATTTCTTAATAAAAAAAATCAAAATATTAAAATATTCTGGTTGTTACGTTTATGCTGGCCTAGCTTTTCTCTCAGACTTTTTAGCTTTCCCCTAGTTTCTCCTCTTTATCATTTTTCTTGTCTCGATCGGTCGGTGTAGTGTGGGTGCAAATGCATATTTCTGTTTCTTATTGATCCGATCAATACTTGTTATGGTCTCCATTTCCCTTGCAATTTAGCCCTTGTGCGCTACGCCTGAACGGAACGATAAAAGAGGAAGCTCTCATGGACGGTGTATACGTGTAAGTGACGATAGAAAAGGGTGGTAAGGGCTGAGATGAAGGCGGACGAAGTTTACAATAAAACACCACTGTAACCCCCGTTCAAAAAGAACGACGACTAGTTTTCGTGTTATGTACCGATCTGCCTCTCATGGCCATCGTAACAGATGCCAGTACTCCGTACCGTGGAACTATTTATATTGTACACACCCAACCCACCCAGCCAATGCTGACGACGTCCATATCATTTCTTGACACAATAATAGCACAATGCACTACGAGTTGTTTCTCAACTGAGCATGTCTAGTCAAATAAGAACATCATTAGTTTAAGTCTCCTTTTGCGATCGTTGCATGTCCTTGGCATTTAGTTATTGCGTCATAGCCTAGTATCGTCGTCCCTCTCGATGCTTCAAGCCAGCCGCCGCCTTTCAGCACCCAAATAAAAACCGAATAAATGAACATTTCCCCTCTTTTACGTGGAAGAACACTTCAAAAATTCAAAAGGAACCTACACCTAAGCAATTGGACCGGTGCCTCTGATGGTTGGCCTCATGCCAATAGTCCCGTCGACCCATGCAACGTGAACAACACAGAAATATCCTGCCATGAAGCTCGACCAAGCAGTGATAGACCTCCTCAGTCTAGACACAGCAAATACCACAGTAAGCCGCGCTGGGGGTGGCTGCAGCAGCGCGTCTGCTGCTAAAATAACTACGAAACTCGCGGATGGAACTGAAAAACGCTTCTTCATGAAGACCGCAACGGGAGAGGAGGGGAAGGTAATGGTGCAAGGTAGTAACTAATAAACCCCCCCCTCCCGGGCATTCCATATACTATATTTACAGTACAATTGAAATCATTCCTTAATTCTCCTTTTAACTCCCCCCCCACGAGAAGCCACCCCTACAAAAGCATAAGAAAATCACACATAACTAAGCTCAAAAATAACAGGTGAAGACGCCTCCTTAAAAGCCATCCACGCCGTCGTACCGACTCTCTGCCCCCAATCATTCGGCTGGGGAGCCTTCTCCTCCCCTTCATCACCGCCAACTTATTTCCTAGTCGTCGAATTCCTCGAACCATCCTCACCCCGCAACGGCAGCCCAGACACATCCCACCATCAACAAGAACCTCGCAAATCCCTCGCAGAGAAGCTAGCACAGCTACACACAACCCCAGCTCCCGTGCCCGACGGCTACTCCGCGCCTCAATTCGGCTTCCCCGTCCCAACCTGCTGCGGCGACACGGCACAGGATAACTCCTACAGATCCTCCTGGGCCTCCTTTTACGCCGAGAACCGGCTCCGCTTCATCCTACAGCGTGCCGAGGCGGGGAACGATTTGGGCGGCCAACGTGATGGCGAGTTACGGCGGTTGGTGGAGCGGACGATAGCGCAGGTTGTACCGCGGCTATTGGGGGATGAGCATCTGAATAAGGGGCGCGGGGTGACGCCGGTGGTTGTGCATGGGGATCTTTGGTCTGGGAATGCGGGGCGAGGGAGTCTGGCGGGAAGAAAGGTTGAGGAGGTGATATTTGACCCGTCGGCGTTTTATGGGCATAGCGAGTATGAGCTGGGAATTATGAGGATGTTTGGAGGGTTTGGGGGTCGGTTTTTGGAGGAGTATCATGAGCTGTGTCCAAAGACGGAGCCGGTGGAGGAGTATAAAGATCGGGTTGCTTTGTATGAATTGTAAGTTGTTTTTACTTTTTTTTTTTCTTTATTTTACCTTCCCTTTCTACTTGGAATCTCTATGGGATAACTAGATAGAGTTGACTTTGGAGGGAATTGACTGATTGTTTTGGCTGCGCAGGTATCATCAGCTCAATCATTATGCGCTATTTGGGGGCTCGTACCGATCCGGGGCAATGCGGATTATGGAGGAGCTGCTACAGAAATATGGATCTTGAGAAATCCACTAGCTAGCTTGGATTGTCAATTAGACAATTTTTGGAAGATTTTTCTACTGCAATTACTTTGTGCTTGAACACTTGTAATTCTGTTCTATTTTTCAGGACTGAATCAACCGTTGGAATGATCGCGCGATGACCTCATAGCGCTGTGGAATCACATGACCTGTCTTTCGTTCAAGCAAAGAGTAAATAAACAGCATCCAGTTAGTATCCATTGACTCTATAAACATTGAAAAGGGTGCTCTAAAAGGCACTGAAGGAAGAAAGGAATGAGGAACCAACTTCCGAGATCCTTAAGAATAAAACCCCGCTTCATCCACCACTGCATCAGTATAAAACAGGGACCAACGCCGCGCAGGCAATTCCCCGCGCCATCCTCACTGCAGCTTCACCTCCACCACGTCATTGGACTCTGCCGTCACATTTCCCTCTCCTCACCCATATACCGCAACCACAGCCCACCGGCCAATCCCCCTTCCTCACCTCTTCCATCATCGTCACCATCGTCATCATCATCATCATCATCAGAAACAAAAAGCACAATAATGTCCTCCGACGACGCCTACGCCGCCTTCCTGGACAAGGCAAACGAAGACCCCTGCAAAGATACCCCAGCAACAAATCAGCAACAGGAAGGTTTTGTACAGACAAAAACTACAGATGCGGCTGCGGCCGTCCCCACCGTCCTCCGCGACGTGGAGATGTACTATACCTCCGACACAGACGAGGTCTTCGAGCCTGTTGTGCTGGACTATAGCGGGGCGGCGCAGGGTCGGTGGCCGAGTGCTGGTATGTTTTTGGTTCTTCTCTCTTCCGGCTTCTTCGTTTGTATAATATATATATATATATATATGCATTTTTTACAATATATGACATATGTAAATCTAAACTAACCGCGCCGAAAAACAGACGAATTCAAATCCCTCATCCTCCCCAGCTCCTCCGCGGCAGAAACAGCAGACATGCAAATAACAATCCTAACCCCTTCATCCTTCGATCCGAAAAACCAATACGCTACGGTCCTGCATGCGGTGAAGATGGCGGCGGGCGGGGGCGGGAACGAGCAGGATATGGAAAGGGTGGAGGTGAAGGTGTATCGGGTGCAGATGGGTCGGACGAGAGTGGAGTATTGGGTTGTTGGACTGGATAGGAGTGGGAATGGGGGAAGGATTGTGGGGTTGAGGGCGAAGGCGGTTGAGAGTTAGAGAATTAGGGAAGGCTGGAGATAATGGATTGGATCAGATTTGGATTGAAGGGTTTGTAAAATTATATAGTAACTAAATCCCTGTATGATTTAAATATCTATTTAGCGAAGGGAAATAATGCTAGTTATGATTACGGATATGGGATATTAATTAGTACAGTACTACTTCGAGGGTAATTGGGAATGTTTCCCCTTGTCCTGATTTCAGTATGATATTCCATTCCAGTGTATCCTGTAGTATCTTATCGAACCTACTAAATAATCCAGGGAGGAAAAATCACAATATACTGAAAACTGGCTGATGGTCAATAGATTCTAGCCCGCACAATGACTTATACCCCCGCAATGCGCGTGATGGGGCAGGTTCAGTCCAACAAATATTTATCTGTAGAACCAACAACTTTTGGCCCCGTTACTCTCGCTCCGCTCATCTTCCCTAGTTGGCAATTCTCTTCTTCCCTTTCCAGCCGCCCCTACTCGCTCCCACGGTATCCTCCCTCTCTCTAGCCTGAAGGAAACCATAATATTGTTGAGCTTCTCGGTCAAGCTGTTTCAGGACTAGTTCTATGGAAGTAGATCTAGCGCTTGCCAGGAATAAGGGGTACCTACCGTCTGTCAGTCGAAATGAGCATCCCCCTTCTTAGCACACATAAGCATGGCTGATCGTGTTTTCGATGCTTTGGCGTGACTGGCACCATCACTGACTGCTTGTTGGGGGCTTGTGCACCCGCTTGGGCAAAACTTTCCAAAATGTCCCTTTAGAAAATCTCGATGGTGATAGAGAAGCTCGATGGTTTGTTACCCTCTCGTTGGTCTCCTTTTAATTCTCTGGCTTCAGTGGTCCGTCGATCTTCGACCATCGGCATTCTCATAAATATGCGAGGTGGTCAGATACCATGACCTATGAGGCGCTGTTGGAATTCACATTTAGAAGCTGTGATAGTGGCCTGTTCAGCACGAAATTGTAAGCCCGTCCAACAAAATAGGGAACCAATGAGAATTGACCAGTTTACAGCGTAAGTTCTCGACAAAAGTTTCAACAAAAGTTTCGACAAAAGTTTCGACAGACGTCATCATCATGGACTGACTGACTCTCTTAGAGTTGCCTAAATTCCATTATCGCGGGGGAGAGAGAGGCGCGATTACCTAATCCTCCCCTCCCTCTTTTTGCGGGTATGTAATGTATGTAGTGTACAATACATACATTACAGTACTATGGTTGCGACCTCTGTCAGCAGTATGTATGGTATAGTTGATAGGAAAATGTGAAGGATCCATGGCGCGGATGGAGTACTCAGAACACCAAACAGTGGGATCGTTAACTTTATATATCTGAGTGCGGTGTGGCAGACAGCGGATGGGATGTTAGGGCTACCTCCATGAAATAATAGCGAAGAAACTGCTGGCTTCCGCGTCATTGATCGAGTTTGACATATTCGGTCTTTATTGGCAACATAACATGCTCCACGCTCCACGCCTGAAACATCCTGTTTGGGGGAGGAGGAGGGGGAGGTGATATTTATTTTACGCTGGCTTTGGTGGAGCAAGATCGCAGGAAGTTTTTCATTCTTGCTAATGTGGCAGTTAATAATTAACATTTTTTTACTGTTGGAAACCAGACCCCTGATCTCCGTGGGTTGAACCTTGCTGATGTCACTGTCTCAGAAATTGGCGCATTGTTTTGTAGGCGGATACATAAAGCTTGGATGGAAGAAGTCATAAGTCATGGAAGGGTGTGTCTCGCTTCTCTCTATGCGCGCCTAAAACCAGGTTTTGTTCCCAGGTTTTACTTTATTTTTCTTATATAGTTACCTATTTATTCAATTGACGCAGCACATGAACATGTACATACATCATACATACATATATATGTATATATATATATATAGGGAGAGTACAATTATTACAATATTACTACTGCTAATACACGCATACTGCTGAGTAGAAGCTGCGACGGGGCATACGTCAGCTGTCATTTATAGTTATCCCGCCGTTTTCTTTCTTTCTTTCTTTCTTTCTCTCTTTTGTCTGTCTCTCTGTCTGTCTTTCTTTCTCTCTTTTGTCTGTCTGTCTGTCTGGTCTGGTCTGGGCCAATCCTGGCTCAACGGCGCTGCTCTGTCCACTCTCGTTCTTCGGACCACGCAGACTGCATTGTATCACCCTTGATCCCGCCCCTGCATCCCAGCCGTAACAGCCGTCGAATCAAGAGGAGAGAGTACTTTATAAAAAGAGCCCAGAGAGTGATCACTGATCAGCCACCTGATTAGCTTCTCACTGGTCTCCGGCACTACTGCAAACTCCCGCTGGTTTCGCGGCACTTGTCAAGGCCGATTAGCCTCCTGCAACGAGCACTCCTCCACACCCAAATCATCGTCAGGTTCACAACTGCTGGGGACTCCGTCTGCGGGAGCGTGAATTGAGGCACGGCACGCATACTGGATCAGCCTGGCTGTTGTCAATTGATCAATCGAGTCAATCCATCCTCTGCCTTGCCTTGCCTTGCCTATCGACGCAGCCTACTAGAAAACGGGCAAGAATTCTGCTGGTATTCACTCAATTGGTAGGACAGCTGCAAGGTACGCCTTTCATCTCTTTTCGTTTTATCTGATGTCCCCTTCTCTCCGTTTATGATTAGTCTTCTTTGTGACTCGTTTCTCCATTCTTGTTTGATCTTCCTTCGTGGGATCGTGGCTTGCAGAGGGCTTCGTTTCACACACACACAAAAACACTCTCTTCGAGTCCCTTTGCCCCGTTACTTAACCCCCATACTAGCCCCTTCCCTTCACCTGGCTCCCAGAGTAACCCTCTGTGCCATTTGATCATTATTCCTACTCTTAATTTTTTCCTTCTAACAGCCTTCTAGTCTAGAAAAACTGAGATATCGTTCTCTTGCCGCTCGTTTTATCTGCACGTGCCGTCCCCGTCTGTCGTTACAGATCGCCTGCTCGGCACGTTGTATCTTGTCGTCGTCTCCCCGGCTACTCACGACAAGCATCGCATTTCACATTGCGCGACTGGAGAACTTTTCTGGTCATATTCCTAGCCATTCTTAGGTCTAATTATGGACCTGGTGGAGTCAAAAAAATAATCAATCGGTTCACCCTCGATTTCTCCCTCTTCTAGGACATGGTCTTTCCGGAATATTTGGTCGTGTTGGGTTTCTCCTCTTCAGATATTTCCCGGTGCTTTTTCCATTCCTTTTTGGCCCCTGTCGGGTAACGAAATTCATCGAGTAGCGGAAGGGGGACACGGTTGCCCTATTGCAGGAGTCTTTCCTCAATCCCGTCCGATTGGGAAGGGACGAAAAATAGTACGCAAAAGTGACCCACTAATCGACTTTTACCTCGACCAAAGATCTTAGCACCATGCGACCAAAACAAATTGGTAAAGCTCCTCCTACCGAGCTGACGCCCACATTCGAAGTAACCTCTGGCCAGCCGGACCCTTTCTTAACTCCAAATGCCTCTTCTTCCTCCCTGATTTCCCCTCTGCAGCCTCCTTATTCCCCAGCCTATCGACCGGTCTCTTCGCATGGCACTGACTCCTCAGAATACCTGGCACTCCCCAATCCCCCGCAGCGGCAGCGCGACGAGAGGCATGGCTCAGCTGAATATTCGAACTTACCGTCACGAGTAACAAGTTGGAGCTCGGAGGGAGGTGTCGTTCGAGAGGGCACCGGGTATGCTTTCAATCCAATGTGGGAAAGTCGGAGTCACTCCCGAATAGCCTCAGACGACGACCCCGTAACGACTCAGACTGTCGTGGAGAAATATGCCATTTTTCCAAATGAAAATCTGCTGATGTTTCCCGAGGATGTAGAGAAGGATGACTATTTGCATAATCCGGACCCAAACGATGAGGATAGAGACTGCACTGTTTGTACTCGGAGAGGTGCCGCTAATGTGCTGGGGCTCGCAGCTGTGGTCTTGGGGAGCTTGTCGCTTCTCATTATTTATCCCATATTGTACGAATGCCCTTTTCCTGAACACAACGTTATCCAAAATATGTTGAAAGAAAAAAGAAGGACAGAAAGAAGGGGAAAAGAAACAAAAAGGAAAGGATGATGGATTTACTTACACACTTTTTTAAATAGGACGCTTATGGAGAGGTCGCGCCCCAATACATCCGTTTGTGCTGGCAATCCGCTGTGTTTGGATGTCGGCCCTATTCCCCATCTTCAAAACATTCGAACATCCCTTATAGACCCGGATACGCCGGAGTCCGCTAAATCAAAGATATCTGCGGATGGGAAAAAGTGGAAGTTGGTGGTAAGAAGCTCTAATCCCTGACTAAGTGGCTTGGTTGGTGTGCCAAGACTAGCTGACATTCATTCGCGACTACTAGTTCTCGGATGAATTCAACAAGGACGGACGAACGTTCTATGATGGGGACGACCCTTTTTTTCAAGCCGTTGATATTTGGTATGGAGTGACGCAGGACCTAGAGGTAAGTGAATAGTCTTATCAATAAATATAAGTTTTGTACTTAACTCTATTTCTAGTGGTACGACCCAGACGCTGTTACCACCAAGAACGGGAAGCTCGAGATCCGCTTCGATGCCTTCAAAAACCACGGACTAGATTATCGGTCCGGCATGGTCCAATCTTGGAATAAACTGTGTTTCACCGGTGGGCGTTTGGAGGCGAGCATATCACTTCCTGGAAGGGGTGATACATCTGGGTTCTGGCCTGGGTTCTGGTCCATGGGCAACCTCGGCCGGCCAGGATATGCTGCCACGACGGAAGGGATGTGGCCGTATAGCTATGCCGATGTATGTGATGCGGGTATCACGCCCAACCAGAGCTCGACGGATGGGATTAGTTTCCTGCCTGGTATGCGCCTCCCCGCCTGCACGTGCAACGGCGAAGATCACCCGACCCCGGGTAAATCACGAAGTGCCCCTGAAATCGATGTTATTGAAGCAAATGTGCATGCCTTGGATCCGGACACCCCGTCCAATGTGGGAGATGTATCGCAGAGTGTTCAGGTTGCGCCGTTTGATGTGTGGTATATGCCTAACTTTGGTATATAGGCCCTTCTATATTCCTCTGATTCTTTCATTTACTCTTCTCTAACTAGCCACAACAAATTCTTAGAGTTCTACGAACTTTATGACCCCAGAATAACCACTATAAACAGCTATCGAGGCAGTCCATACCAACAAGCAGTCTCAGGCGTAACAAACTTAAACAATGACTGGTACGATGGCAAAGCCTACCAAGTCTACGCCTATGAATACAAACCCGGACCCAAGGGTGAAATAAACTGGTTCGTCGGCGCGGATAAGACCTGGAAAGTGGACGCGCGCGCCCTGGGGCCCAACGGTAACGTCGGCCAGCGCATCATCCCGACCGAGCCCATGTCGATCATCATGAACTTGGGCATGTCGAATACATTCGCGTACGTGAACCTGACTGGGTTGACGAAGTTAATGCCGGCTACAATGCGGTTTGATTACGTGAGGATTTATCAAGATCCGGATGCAGTGAGTGTTACGTGCGACCCGCCCGGGTGGGAGACAACGGAGTATATTAAGGATCATCTGAATGCTTATGAAAATCCGAATCTGACGAGGTGGTATGTTCGTGTTTGGAAAAATATTCTCTCTCTCTCTCTCCCTTTTTTTTTTTTTTTTTTTCTCCCTTCAACTTCCCCCTTTTTCTTTTAGAGAGCTGTTGTTGCTGACTGCTAACTTGTTTGGTGGTTTAATAGGGATGACACGGGCAACGCATGGCCGAAGAACTCGTTCATGCACGGATGTTGATGAAAGTTTTGCTATAATGTTACGTTATACCGACACGCTATACCGACACGACACGATAGGACCCAAGAAGATAAAAATGACCTAAACTAACATTTTCGATGAAGAAACGGACGGAAGTTGTAATTATTATACCCCTCGGTTGTTTATCTTCTTTTTTTTAAGCTCTTGGACCTTGTCTTGGTGGATGTTTCTTGTACTCTTCTTTTTTTCTCTGTGTATATTTACCTTTTTTTTGTTAGCTTTCTTGTATATTTTAGGGAGTGCGAACACATACACACTGTATATGTATGTACGTTAGTGACACGCGTCGGCGTCAGATTGACATATTAAGTCATTCCTGTGTACTATCATTAGCAGCTTGGGAGGGTTTTTCATTTTGTCTTCTGCTTTTTTTTTAATTTCATTTTCCATTTTTTCATCTGCTGAAAATGTAATTTTAAATAACGACGATCTTTGCAGGTCGGGAGCCGCACTAGACCCAATACAACCTAGCGTTTCTACCCCACACAACAACCGCCGCAAATAATAATAAATGATGACATCGCCGGCGCTTTGGAGCTTCTTACACAATTCCCCTTCCCATGACAGTGCTCATTCTTACCACACACGCATACCACGTTTCCCCATTCCCCTTTCGTTATTTCTCGTTGGAATTAAAAAAAAAAAGAAAAAAGAAAAAAAAAAGAAAAAAAAAAGACCAAAGCCGATGCGAGTTCGAGCTTGCCCCGCGCGCTCTTAAGCTACATTTTTACTAATTAGCCCGGCAAACCTTCTTTCCAAAGGGAGTGGAGTTGGACGGGGGGACGAAGCTTAGGGGAAAGGCCTTTTTTTGCATTGGAGTATTTTGATTGTGCGGGTCGGGTCGTGTAGTCGGTTTGATTATTTGTTAATTCCCAGCAACTGTCTTCACTCACCCAACGCAGGTTTGGTTGATTCCAACCGTCGTTCCGTCCTCGTTTCCGCGCGACGCGCTATACTCCTTACCCCCCGGGCCTTTTTTTCCTTTGCTTTGGAATTAATAAGGAAAAGAGAGATACTCAATCCCACTCAAAACCCTCCCGGGAAAAAAAAAAAAAAAAAACCATGAACGACAACCCCGCCATCCACCTCCCCGCAAACCTAAGCCCCCACGCCCGCCAAATGCTCGTCAACGCATACGACCGCGTCCTCGAAGCGCGCGCCCTCCTCTTAGCTGCATCGGATATCGACGAGCATACGGAGGCGCATATCCGATTAGCCCACGCGCAGGAGCGTGAACAGCAGATTAGGACACAGGTTCTTGGTGGTGCTGGTGGTGGTGGAGGTGGCGGCGGGAGTAGGAGTAGGAGCAGGAGAAGTGATGATTCAGATGTTGTAAATGCGGAGGAGGAGGCGGAGGAGATGGAGACGGAGGAGCGGTTGGGTGAGTGTCAATTACATATAACCACTTATCTTCCTGTAGTTATACAAGTCAATTCTGCTAAACTAACTAACAAAATCTTACTTTTTTATAAATAAAATCGTAGACTATAGGGGCAATCATACACCCACCAAAAACGCGCAATCACAGAACCTTTTCGGCTCTGCAGACTTACCCATCCATCCTCCACTGGTCGGCCATATGCGTCTCAAGTCCTACATGCGCGAACGTCGCCATGCTGCTCTCAGCGTGTTGACAGACCAGGAGCTGTTATTGAACCATGCCGTGGCCAATTATGAGGTTCGTATTGTTCTGTCTTGCCCATTTGCGGGTTTACATACTTGGCTGGATACGATGGGATTTACAAATATTCTTATGGAATTATCTCTACAATACGTTATGTTATTGGTGCAATATGCAACAACATAAAAAATCTTGCTATGCTAACCTTGGAACCTTTGTGCCGTCCGTTTTTAAACCGAAAAGACAATCCCCGAAACCCGCCGCCGCTTCCAACACCATTACATAGGCCTCAGCATGCCACAAAACTACGTACACGCCTTCGCCCTGCAGGAGAAAATCCTAGGACCTAAAAAGACGTCGTCTACATCTCAGGCTGCCGCTAGTAAAGCCAAGGGCAAGGGAAAAGCAGCCACATCCACAGATCCTACGCATACTCAATTCCCCCTTCCAGCTGCAACCATGACGACAGGCTCAACCTATCCTTTACCAATCGAATCACGCCTGCCCGTAGTTGATATTCTGGAAGTCGATGGCGGATGGCGGAATCAAGGCGCTGGGGATGAGGGGTATGGGTCGGTCGCTTTGCCTGGATCCGTCACTGCGTCTCCATCGGCTGCTGTGGCTGCTGTGGCTGCTGTGGGTGGTAGCGATGGTGGTAGGAGGGGGAGTAGGAGGGCAAGGGGCAGGGGCGGTGCAGGTGCCGCTGGTAATAGTGGTAGTGGACAGGGGCAGGGGAGGAGGAGGAGTGCGAGGCATTCGGCGGGCGCGGTTGGATAAGGCTGAGTGAAGGTGAAAGTGCGGTTGGTTAAGTCAGGCTTAGGTCTTTCGTTTCAAGTCTTTTTATATTTTTTTTTTAGTTTGTCTTAGGCAGCGGGGGACGACGTCACGGCGTAATGGATTGTGTGGGGTAAGATGCTTTTATCATGTCTATCATTTGAATGAGATCTGGCTGCGGAGTTCAGGAGCCTTCTGACCCTTTTATTTTTTCTCATTTCCTTTTCTTTTCTTCTTCTTTATTCTTCTTCCTTTCGCTGCTGGTTCGCATGGGGATGTATGTAACTAATAGGTATGTACATAATAACTTCCAGGATATATGGAAATAATGTTGACAAAAATGCCACAGCTTTTCGCGAGGGTGAAAACTCTGATCTGATTTCCTACCTCGGGGAGATTTTTGCACCAAGCTAAATAGCTAAATATACTGAATACCAGCGAGGGAAAGCAAAGGAAAAAAAACGGGGTACGGATACTCGAAAGAATTCAAATTCAGCACAGAAACGAATGGGACAAGGTTGACCTGCATGCATGCGTGCAAACTACCGATCCGTCCTTTTATTAGCAGGTTTGGTTCTGGAATATCGAGCTCGATTGGAGGGGAGTTCGATATGGTAGCTAGGAAAAACCATCGGTTCGGAACAGCTGGTGATTGTACATTTCCATTTAGTTCATTTTGAGTCGATTTTTCGATTGGCTTCGCTGACGACGGAAGGGCAATCGATGGCACACCGCTTTTTGAGCCGATATCCCGTCAAGATGGATATGTTGACAGTAACTAAAATTCACCGAGCAATTGCGAGTTAAGTTGCCGGAAACAATTCAGCTGGTCGTCGGTCACAAGGTCTACGGGGTATGGGGTAGGAGGTAAGCGTCCGGGTTTAACTATACCATCCATCGTCGACCGTTATGTTATTTTGATACCAGAGGATATCCGGAGGAAAACATTGCTATGCTCCTCAGGAGATTTAAAGCACAATCTCAGGCCGCGCATCAGACTTCATTGATCCCAGCTTAGTCCCTTATGGGAAACAGGCTAACATTCATGCGTAAGATCCAATATCTATATCTTCATCGCCTCAACGATTCCATCACCACCCTCATCGATCGGGTCGCACAACTTAACCACCGTAAGCCCAGCCTTCTCCAACAGTTCACGTCACTGCTGTGCCGTGCGCTCCATGCCGGAGTTGAAAGCCATCATTGTCATATCTAATTGTGCCTGGAACTGCGATGCCTCTTGTTCCCGGCACAACCATCTCATGTATAAGGAGCTTCGAGTAGCCTGGTGTCACTGCCGCTGTGGCATTTTCAAGAATCTCGAGGCAGTAAGAATCTGACCAGTCGTGGAGGATGTGGTGATAGAAGTAGACCCTTGCACCTATACGGTGTGAGCAGAATATATCTCACTTCCTTCCCCCTCCTCGATTCTCAACGGAGAAAAGGAGAGAAACATGTGAATGAAATAATAGAGGAGGAAGAAAGTTTGGGGAAGTAAATAGATGAGATGAGAACCCTCTTATTATACCTGTTACAGGCTGTTTGGTTCAAAAATTATATATGTAACCTTCTCAATCACCTCCTCCAAGTCTCCTGTGTCAGGACCTTTCCTACACCCACATCCACAATTAGGGCCCTGTCTGTAGCTGTGCCGTCCAGAATCTGGCTCTGCTCTGCCAATCAACCCAGTACTTCCGCGCACCCATTGTGTTGGCCATGAACATATTGAAGTCTCTGCGCAAGGATGGAGAAGAAACAATTCATTCGAAAGTGGTCTGTTTCAAGAAATAGTGAAAAAAGGGGGCGGGACTTTGAACTAAAAAATAGAATTAATAATTACTCACATCATTCGATGGCCAGCTGTAATTTCTTCTTCGGTCGTCATGGCTTCTGTGACCCGTGTCGCTTTCCATGTTCTTGAATCGACTTCTTCAACTAAATGCACTGCTGCTGCCAGAGGACGTAGAATAGCTCCAGATAGCTCCACCAACCTGGCCGATGTGACATGCCCTTCTTGAATGATGTGCTTAAATAGCTTCAAATCCACAGCAATTCGCGCTGACGGCAATCATGGGTTTTGAAAGAGTGAGCAAAACTCCAATGAAGATGGTGCAGCTGGGTTATGATACCCCTGAATTCCTTACTCTCTCTTCATGTAAATATCTCAGAGCTCAAATACTTACTCCGTACAGAGTAGAAGGCACTTAAAGAATTAATCTCTCGGACGCTCTATTTTATTTTAATCCGGCTTTCTTCACTCCATTGAGGGTTATGCATGCTTATTTTTATTTTTATTTATTTTATTTTACATTTTTTATCACCACATAACTCCAAAACAAGGTATATCAAATCGCCTTCTTAAATCCAAAGCCAACCTTCCATATCCTACTCGCAGCCATGCTAATAAACGAAGCCATAAGCAACGCGCCACACCACACAATAAGCCCAACCCAGCCGCCTCTGCCGCCCAGAATAGCCCCTGCAATGGGGTTACTCACGAGGACACCGCATCCCACAACGGCCAAGGACATCCCCAGCCGGGCACCAATCTTGCTCTCGTCTGCTGAGAGGTTCACTACGCCGGCGGCCGGTAAGCCCATGAAGGCGCCAGCGGAAAACCCGTAGATAATGTAGTAGGTGACCAGCCCAGACGAGTTCCTTATGACAATGAGGCAAAATGCCAATATCGCGCCGGTACAAGCGACGATGGTTTGCACATTGATCAATCCCATTTTTTCAGCGTAGTAGCCAGGGATTAGGCGGCCTGGTAAAGAGCTGGAGTTGATGAAGACGAGGAGGTAGGGTTGGAGGGCCGCTCAGACGCTGCTTTCTTGGTGGGCGTAGAGCTCGATGTAGTAGAATATGATGTAGAAGCCCATGAAGCCGAAGATGAGGCCGATGTTCAGCAGGATGTAGGGCACGTCTTTGAATGCGGTTCGGTCTACCAGGGTATGTTTTGTCATGGGGCTGGCTCAGGATTTCATTAGGATCAAGGGGAGGAGTTGGGTCGCCAGTACGATATACCCAAGAACTCGGGTTGCCCACGCGAAGCCTATCCGCGGTTGGAGACGTGTGAAAATAATCAGATATATTACGCCACCTATGATGTCGAAGGTTAGGGGAAAAAATGAGATGGTTTTTCTTTTTTTTAGTGACGTTCCCTAGATACATACCGAGAGCACCACCAGCCGACGACGCACCCATCGCAAGTGTAGTACTAGTATGAAAGTACTGTGAGACAATAGTCGGAGTAGGTACATAGAGGTAACCAAACCCTAGACCCATGGTAATAGCCTGAGCGAGAAACACCTGCCAGTACTCATTGCAGAGGCTTGTCATGAAAATCCCGAGAACGGTGAGCAACAATCCAATTCCGAGCAGCGATCTTAGATAGTCTGTGTTGATGATTGGACCCACAATCATGAAGATGATGAACATGAGAAACGTCGAGCCAATCCATGATATGTTCGAAGAAGACCTTGTAGCCAGCAAGTCAAGTTCATAGAAGGCTTGAAAGACGCTGTAGGCGTTCATGAGTCCCCTAATAAGTAAAACAGATCAGTTTCTTTTTCTTTTTCATTTGTATTTTGTAAGCCGTATTGGTAAAACATTCGGGTGACGTCCAACCTCTCCCCCCCTTCCTTCTCCGTACGGAATGGAAAGTGCAAATGTGCGCGCAAGCTTTGTTTTTACCATGTATTCAGATTCAAGCAAAAAGCCCCTAGAACTTCCATCCATGTGAACCAGTCTTCTGCTGGGGGAGAGGGTGAGGAGCCTTCGACAATGTTGTTTATATGTCCTTGCGGTTGAGCGCCATCTTCCCTTCCAGAGCTGTTGTCAACTTCCACAGGTGCAAGCCGTGATTTCTCATCCGTAGTAATCACTTGCTCCATGGACACAGACACAGCGATATATCTATCATGGCAACTGGTGAGCAGTTTTTCGTTCGTAGAATAATCGTAGAGTGTTCTCTTCGCGCATGCTCGCTGTGTCGCTGTGGAACGCTGACAGCTTAAGATTTGGGAGAGGTAGACTTTGTATGTCAGCTCGCCGCCCGCTGTTTCCCCTAGCTTGGGCAAGGCATATGTGGGCATACTCCGGCCGGTTAAAATGTTTAATCACCGTAGGAAATCTCCGCCCATGTCCGAGATGTCAGATGGCCTGTGCCAGGATCTGGCTGGCAGAGGTTGGTTCGAATCCGTTCCTGTAAGGTTAGCTAGTTGCTTACCCCCTCCTCCCGGCGGGCAGCCATATATATACCATCATCCCCAGGGGCCCGGCAGTAGGAAAATGCACAGCAGAGTACGGAGTACTAAGCACTAGACACTCGAGTGGCGACGGTTGCACTTGCACCAACTTTATCGTCCCTGGAATGATGCCCACGGCCACTTTCATAGTTAACCGGGGATGCAAGTTATCGGCGCCGTCAGACGATCTTCAATTGATTGGGGGGCAGTAGGTAGAGGCAGAGTACGTAGAGCCATCTCCCAACGAATCATGTTCAACTAAACATGAAAGAGTGTTGATTCCTAGATAGCACGACGGCTCTGTTTTCTTGTCGTCCGCTCTCATCTTTTCTCTATCAAATGGCGTGCTCTTCCCGTGACCATAACCGTCCGCAACGAGAAGTTTTGCCGGGGTAGAGTATATACTGTGCGTATATTGTTGGTTAAAGAACTATCAAGCTGTAGTTGACTGACTGTTGATTGTCGAGGAGCCCCTAAACTAAATAATAGGCAAGTTTTGCTAGTTGACTAACCCGACCCTGACCGTTAATCTTTGACTCCTTCTTGATTGATTGCTTATAAGTGTAAAGACATTTTCCACTAGTTATTTGTTTTATCTATTTATTTCATTCATTTATTTCATTTGTACGTACGTACGTACGTACTTATTTTACATCGGACCTTTTCACGAACTATAACTATCAATCTCCTCCCCCCCCGCATCTTTTCTATACATATAGAGATATGGATATAGATACATATATATACATAAAAGTTATGCACGCAAAATTTGCAAATCCAATTTTTATTTACCTCAATGCAACGCGCATGCAAGCATTGTGCATGTCAACAACTCCCTTTTACCCCTTTCTTTCTTCCAACTTTTTGACATTGATGAATGAATGAATGAATGAATGAGTGAGTGAGTGAGTGAGTGAGTGAGTTAAAAGTTGTCCCGGCCTTGTTTGTTTTGTTCTTCAGAGTTTTCTGATATATTCAGAGATTCCCAGGATTTATTTCTCCCAAGGGCATTTAGGGAGAAGGGCCATCCGATGTAAAGAATCTCCAAATATATCCATTCTGCCGAATTTATCTTTCACGTGTATTTCTTCGTAGGTAGGGCTGAACTCATGCCTGTAACGGTCGTGGTAGATTCTTGACGATTCAGTGGCTAGGGTTGTACCCTTTGCCCGCATTGAGAGGACAACGGTGGAGGTCGAGAAGTAGGTATCGGTGTGAGTGTGTGTCGCGAGGCGAGTGAGAAACAAAAGGCGTCTTGAGTATAGCAAGTAGTATTTGCGGAGTATGTATGTATCGTATCCACTCGAAAATTTTATATTCCGCCGGGAGAACGAGCTGGCTGCGTGGGCGTAGGAGGCTGTGGAAGGGGGAGATGAGGAGGACGGAAAATCAGGGCCTGAGAGGGATTTTATCCGTTTCTGGCTCTCAAGTCCCCATGCTATATACAGCCCTACTTCGAAATGAAAGATGCAGAGCGATGTTCCCAAATCACCAGATATGTGGCACAGGGGAGAGCAGAGGAGCAGAAGAGGAGCTGCGGGGCTGGAAATGGGAGGGAAGCGCGATTTCCATCACATGGGAGCATTCACCTAGCACATTCCCACACAATCCCCAAACAAACTCAAACGGTACTCATCCCTATAGGCCCTTCCCTCCCTTCCGCCCCACTAACCAAACTAACTGCGTCGCCCACCTGCTTACGCTCCGAGACCTCCCGACCACCGCTGCTATGACCCCCGCGCGAATCTCGTTGGTGGGCACGTGCACGTCGGATAGCTTCGATGTTCATAGGTGTCAATCCTTGGGATACCACTCGCGAGCGGGTTGATGATGATGATGATAATGATAATGGTGATGGCGATGTATCATGCAGCAACGGGTAGAAGTGTCGCGAGGAGCTCACGAGCGGCTGGCCATCCCTCATCACCGGTAATTGTCACTGGAGCGGTTCGGAGCTGGAGGAGAGGCGGTTGAGATGAAGGTAGACGTCGGTGCCGTAGCTGTAAATTTTGGTTAGTTAATTAGTTGTTTATAATCACTGGGGAGAGATTGTAGGCAAGGGGTTGATGGTTGAAACTCACCCCTCCATACTAATCAGCTTCAAATCCCCGCCGAAATACCTCGCATAAAGCCTGCTAATAGGCAACCCATACCCAAACCCAGCCATCGGCGCTTTGAAATCACTCTTATTGAAATCTGGGTCCAGATTCGGTGTCTGATCAACGGTCGTGTACATATACGTCCACACAAGCGGGATGGACGAGCGCGGAATCCCACCACCCTCATCCGAGACTTTAATGGTAATATCCTCCCGCCCCTCCGCAACTATCACTTTCGTAACGGGGAACGCCTCCTTCTCCGCCCCATGCGTCTCCACCACGGCCCGCAGCGAGTTCTTCAATGTCTCAAAGAGCATGTGCGATAGGTGGCCGGGGACGTACATGAAATTCAGATCCGGCTTGCAGATCAGCTGCACCTTGGGCGCATCGAAGAGGCCGTAGTGGTCTTCGCAGACGAAGCGGGCATTCTCGATGGCCTCCTCGGCCAGTTCGCGTACGTTGGTTTTTGTACATATTATGCCGACGTAGTTGGGGTGGTGGACGTGTGTTTGGTCGGTGAGGGCGACATGTTGGCCGATGAGCATGCGGATGCCGATGCGGGACATGTAGAAACGATCGAGGAAGGATTGGATGTTCGAATCGATTTGCATGCGTTGGCGTTTGCGCTTGTATTCCAGGATCCCCTGTGCGACCGTCGTTACGACGGCGTCGTGCCGCCGTTTGATGTGTTGGAGGGTCTTGGAGAACTTGTTGTTGTATTCATTCAGCTCCGGAGGCCACTCTTGGCCATCGTCGGCGGATACGAAGTATCTTCTGTTTCCGGCCACTGTCCTTCTCCCGTTCCCATTGCCGATGGTGGTGGCTCCATTAGTATTGGAGAGCGAGCCGTTTGCTCTTAGGATTGAGGTTGTCGAAGATCGATATCGGTCGTCGCGTATGCTTGGATTGCGGGTAGCTTCCTCGAGGACTCTTACTTCTCGGCCATTGGGTTTGCTAGGGCGAAGGAGGCGAGCTCTGACTTCTTGTGAGAGAGTTGGGCGGGGAAGAGTGATGATTTCCTAAAATTCCGGTGCAATGAGTCAGAAATATCAAAAAAAGTATAAAATATGAATAGAGAGACAACCAAAAAAAAAAGGATGAAAAAACAAAATAGTAAGAAGCGCATACCTCGAACGACTGCGCATACCAATCGCGGACTTTCTGTATGGACGGCATTTCGTTCAATCCATCTGGCAGATCGTCCAGCTCCTGGACGCGGTGTGCAAGGCGAATGGGGAGCTCTTCGGACAAGAACTGGGAGGCACGGAAGAGAGTTCCTGAGTCACAACGACGAAGGCCGGCAGATAGAAAACAAGTTAGTAAATGTTAGAATTATATAGATATAGGACCTCGCTGTATAGGGAGGGAAGGAAAAGAAGTTCACAAACCCGTTGACGGCCTGTCGCCGAACTGGACCATCTGCCTGAGGGAGACACCGGTTGCGGGAAACGAGGCATAGTGACGGATGGTGTCCATCAGCTTCTCTGAAGCCCTCCACATGATGCCAATTGGGGTCTGCAGGCACCGTGGGGAATGAGTTCAGAATGCCTCGAGGGGAGGAGGGAGAAGGGAGGAGGAGAGGGGGCGGAGAGGATGGGAGAGGGGGAGGGGGGGGGGGGGGGGAAGGAGGGAAGGAGAGGGGAGGGAGCGATGAAAGCAGAAGAATCGTGAGCAAGAGGCAGAAGAAGAAGACGATTTAGATGACGGATTGCAGATAGGAACTAGTTAGCGGCAGTAGTCGGAGTGTTATTTAGCAGTCGAGGGAGGGGTCCAAAATAGTAGCCGGGTCCGGTTGCTCAGCGCTGGAGTTGGCAGAGGAATTGGAGAGTTGTAGCAGCAGTAGAGTGAGTAGGTAGTGGTTGGTTAGTCGTCGTTGCGGAGTACGGTAAGGTAAGTAGTTTGTGTAGTTTGTAGTTAGTAGTTAGTGTAGAAGGGTCGGAGGAGAACGGGAAGCTCCCCACCAGCTTGGGCGGTGACTGACTGGGCGAGGATGCGATGCCGAGGTCAGGGCTGGCGAGGGGACATGCTGCGGGCAAGCGGGACGATGGCGGAGGCGGATTGGCTTGGCGGGCGTCAAGGTAGGTAGGGAAGTGTGTATCTCTCTAGCTGCATACTCCGTAGATGGACTCCAATGCCTGCTCTGTCCGGGGTAACTCTATATATACTGGACAATGCTGCAATATAATAAATACTACAGGTTGATTGTTGTAGAGCAGTTATAACTTAGACCGCAAGAAGATGGGGATGTGGTGTAATGTACATGTTACATGTACCGTGGAAAGGCGCTTGTATCGCCGGTACCTGCTCTGCTGCTTCAACATTGCACTCTGTAATGTACAGTACATGTACCCCTCAATCAATCACCTACATTACATTTATCCACGCGAAGATTGTTGTATTATCGCGGCTGGTTTCATGTGTCTGTAGCTCGAGATGTATACGGAACCTGCAATATGCCTCCAAAAAGAAGGATATCCCGGGTAGAGGGAACTTTCTGCTACGATTGGGGGTAATTTACGCCGTATCGTATCACACAGTTCGATACAGAAATAAGTAATACTACAAGTCACATGACATGGCCACCAGGCCCTACTCTGCTTTAGGAAATAGGCAGAAACTTCGGACCAACCAACGCAGAAAGAGAAGAAAAGAAGATAATCCGTGATATTATTGAAGTCCGGAAGACAGGCTAAACAGAAGAAACACTGCCAAGACAGTTGTAATCATTAGATATACACCAGCTGCAGGAGAATTCGTTGCCGGCTCTCAGTCTCTCTTCTCTCCAAAATTTGCTCAACAAACGACGTCATTCCCAATTCCCGTGTCTCGCCCATCCAGTCCAGCCTACAGCCTACAGGCTCCTTCCCCGCCCTTTCTCATGTGCGCCCGCTTCATACTAAGTCAAATAATGGACCAATCAATGGCCCACTAGCCGCTCTGCTGCTGCTCTGCTTTGAAAGTTTCGCCGAGTAGAATATTAAATATTGCGGGCAGAATATTGCAGGGGAATGTTGCTGGCCTGGCTAGAGATATGATCTATTTTATGAATTCCCTGGTCATTTGTTCTTTTGTTTTATCCATCCTCCCGGTTAATTATGGCCTGTGTAATTGGTGGCTGATAACCCATTAGTGTTATGGTGCTATGTTTTATATTTTTTATATATTTTTTGGGGCATGTTCACATGTAATTATTCCAAATTTCTTTTTATTTCTCCTTAAAATTCCCCTCTGCATGTTTTGTAGCGTGCTGACCTTGTTACACCTAAATCTATCTAATGATAACCGTAGTGATGAACAATGCGGAAAACGTAGCATGGTATGATATAAGGATATACATGTAGAAAGTTTTTGAAAAGGAAAAAATATGCTGGTAAACCCTGGGACACGAGCGTATGTATATATTTCATGGGGGGAATAAGAAAAGAAAAGTTCCTTGCCCCGTCCCCTATCTGGGAAGTGGACGAGGTGGAAGGCCAGGCGGCGGACATCAGCGAAGGGAATGCTGGTGTTAGTAATTCTGTCCACTGCAGAACACACGTCACTTGCATAGGGCGGATATGGGCGAGATTCGCAGATGCCTCAGCTCTGCTGGTGCACTCCTTACATCCCCCTGGAAGTATGGAATGCGGCTATTTTGACAATATAATCTTGAATGATCTTGCTTCATATGTCCCCAGCAAGTTTCAGTATCATCAGCAAGAGCACGAGCGCCAGCACCAGCGTCATCGCACACCAGCAATAAATGGCCCTGAGCTAGCAGAATCGTTAAAATGGAACATGTTTTTGATCTAAATATCCCACATATACACGGTGTACACTCCACGGGCAACGGACGAAGGCAGTGGTCGAAGGGAACACATTTGGCCGAATGGATTTCCCGCCTCAGGCATGCGTGGCACTCCGACCAACCGTCTTTTCTCTGGATCTACCCGACAGCACGGAAAGGTGCACGCGTTCGTTCCTGATGTCATGTAGATCTGCATAGCCGAAATCCTGGGGTTGCTGTTGCCGCTGTTGCTGATGGTAATGAGCATGAGCATAATAAAATGCGGAATCATATAGGTATACATATAGTAAATTTTGATTTGCGTATGCCCTAAGATGAACGGGACGGTGGACGAGAGTGGGGTAGGTGTGATGATAATGGAATTGGGAGAAGTTGTATGTGGTTGGACGTGATGGTATGCTGACTGGTACGGTGCTGCGGAACTTTATTGGTTAGCTCTGCGTTCTGCCGTCCGGATGGTTGGTCGGTTGGATGATGGCGATGATAAATTCTAGTGAATTCTTTTTTTTTTTTCTTTTTTTTCTTTTTTTTTTTCTTTTTTTTTTTTTTTTTTTTTTTTTGGTTTGATCGGTTGCCATTTTTGTTCGTCGTTTGGAAGTACATTCATGAGATTATCATTATTATCATTTATTATTAACTCCCGATTTTCCACTTTCAATGATCATGCATTCATGATCAGAGCCAGAAAATCATAGAATGAAAGGCTGGTGGACTATCAAAACACATTCCAGTGATAGAGAGCACTGACATTCCTTTATATGAAGAATGAGCTCCTCATATGTTGGAGTCTGAAAATGTTAGGATGGGCATTCATACATGATTGTGCATGCCCTGTTTCACCAACTCCCTGCAGTTGGTGTTGGTAGCACGAAGGAGAGATTTTGGCACATGTTACTTGTTCAGCAAAACATTGTTCTAGTGATTTCTGTATATGTACAGTCTGTACAGAACAAGTCTCATGGTTAGTTCAAGTTTCCTTGACAGGAATAAAGATAATATAAATGAAGAGTTATATCTCACTTGTTATATTCCTTCCACCTGAATTCATTTCCATACATCTCAGTTAGTCTCTCAGCATTATTTCAGTTCCAGCTGTTATTTGGCTCCAACTTGGCGCTGAGTCTCCCTGTACCATAGTAAAGTAACAATGGGGGCTGTCCTAAATAACTCATTCTGGACACTGCATTGTACAGTCATTTCAAAAAACTGAATCGAAGTTGTGCATCACTCACACAAATGCAAGTCAGCTAGTCCATGGCGCAACGTCGTTAGGTTGGGTTTGCCCAGACATATACAGTTCCTTTTACCCCCTTGACGAGGGGGAACCTCAAGAAAGCGCAAGAATAATGATAAGAGAGGGGAGCTGATCAGTTGATATGAGTTGTTGCTAATAATAGCGCTGCATCTCGAAACCCGATCCATCCTTCTCTGCGCATCACTGGCGGGAACAGAACGGAGTTGTTCCTGAGGAATTTTTAGAAAGATGTGCACTGCCAGCCGAAAGCCGAAATGTGAGGGTGTAAAGCCCATTAATTAATTCCCCTGGTGTTTCGCCTGAACTGACCAGGCTCAAGCGGAAATATTATTCCTCCACCACGTTTTCTGATCCCATGAGGTCGCTGGTTGTGTCTGATGTCTGATCGCGCTTTTTATTAGAGGAAGGACAAGCGAGCCTGCACGCTGGCTAGTTCGATATAACGCCTTAGTCCTATGACCAATGGCGTTCCTTTTGGGAATTGAAACTGCTCGGCTGTCCAGTGGGAACGCGGACGTCGAGGGTGGAGGAGGCCTTGGTATGCGGCTGAGAGGTTGTTTATCTCCCAAATAGGAAAGGCGGGTTTGAGGCCAAGCGGACGCCGTCTCGAAGAAGACCTCCATCCCATCTTTGTTTGTTTAGGGTCATGCAGCCACCAAACGCCAGAACCCCCTTTCCTGTCCTATCCAGTTCTGGTGAATTGCTTGTGCGCAGCGCATTCCTGACGAAATCCTGGGTCTGTTCTCATGCTGTTGAGACCAGTGGAGGGGGGTCGGAGTCGCAGCCTTCAGGAGAAGGGAAAAGGACATGGAGACACACATTATTTACCCGCCAGAAGGCTTTTTTTCAATCATGAACAGCAGAGCCTGTGGGTCGCAGTCGATCGTGCAAAAGGTGTGATTGCAAAAGGTGTGATTCCGCAACTGTCCATCTGGTCGGGTTCGGAACTTCCACTCCCTCTCTTTGGCTCGAAGCATTGACCCAAGCAACAGTAACACCGCGCTTGAAGCAACAGAAAATGATACAAGGACCCCTTGGAAGTGAAGGAACTTCCTTTGCTAGCCAGAAATAATGATGTCCAGATGTCCCGCTTGGTTGGCGAAACTCGAGGCAAGGCCACGGCTGTGTGGGCTGTATTGTATGGAAGGTTGCTCGAAAACCCCAAAGATGGCTCAGATGCCCACCACAAGTTAGCGAGAGCATCCTACGAGCTTAGCGCTGTCAGGGTAGGAGGCTATGTGGACTAACAATCGAAGTACACCGCTGCCATTGGCACGAACCTCGTGTTTGTTTCCACTCCACATCCACTGACTGCGCTGGCAGCTTTCCTTCCTTCCCAAGCACTGGTCAATATGGGATGAGGCTCGGCAATACGGGCGTTGTGTTAGTATCCCGTTCTGTTTGATACCTCTTGGTGGAGTTTGCCCGCTTTTCGCATCTCCTCCTGTTCTCATCCTTCCTTGACCCTTTGGCTTTGATTCTCTCGTTTTTAATTCCAATAAACCCAAAGCTCAAGGTGAGTGTCTCACGGCTCCATTTTGATTTCTCAATTCACTTTTCATTTATTAATCTTATCCATAGTCCACGCCAATCGCCTTTGGCTCCCTGTTTTGCCGCCTTCATTCGTTTTCTGCGACCACGCCTTGAATCGACTAGCAACTGTTTCCTCTGGCAATTTCGGCCTACCCACACTATCAACCCGGCCTTGCCTTTGTGCGTAAGAGATCGTGCTCTACAACGCGGGCCGGATCTGGTCGATTACAATGGTTCGCTTGAGCTTTGTAGCGGCTCTGCTCTCCCTCGGGGCAGACGCCCTGTCGGACAGGTTACTCCCTCGTGAAACCGTTAATCTGATGGTTGATTCTTTCGGCATGTCTCCTCGCCCGACTACACCGCCTCTAGTCCCCCGTGGACTTCCAAAGGAATTAGCGAAAAGGGCGTCGCGAACAGCGATTGATTTCCCTGCTCCTGGATACTATTGTGGTTTGGTCAACAGTGATATTAGTTAGTCATAGTTGTTCCTTCTCAGAAATAAGTTTCGCAATTTGATACCTGACCTGCTAACCCATGCGATGTGAATAATCAGATAACCTGTTGACATGTGCGTATGCCGGGGCAAACTGCGTACAGTATGGCACGGCTGTTGGTTGTTGTGCAAGTTCGAATATCCAACAATGTACCGATATCGCGACCAAGTGTCTGAATTGGGAAGATGAATGCGATTCCTCTTGTTCAAGTGACCCTAGGGTCACTCGATGTGCAGAGACAACTAGGCCTTATTGCGGGACATATTTCTTCGGCGGTGGTAAACGCCTCTTTGGTTGCAGAGCATCGATAGGTGTCTCCTCGCAAGTTGTTCCAATGTCCGAATACTTTTCGTCGCGCTACGGACCCAATTATCACACCCTGGCATCTGGCTTAACAACATCTGTTCCCTCCCTCTCTATATCTGTCGGCTCTCCCTCTGCAACACTTCCAGGGACGTCCTCCAGCTCACCTTCGAACCCTAGGCAGAGCGACGAGGTAGGTGGAGAGGATGAACCTGAAATCGGCACCGGAGGCGGCAGAAAGAAGAAACTAGGAGGTGGTGCTATTGGCGGCATCGTTGCTGGAGTAATTGTAGGCGTTGGTGCTATTGTCGGATTTATTGTGCTATTCTATGTCCGGAAGAAGAAGAGCAATGCTGCTCCACCAGGCCCACCTCCGTCCGCACCGTTGATGCATGAACAGCATGCTCCTCACTACGGTGGACCACCGCCAGTGGTTGGAGCAGGATACTACCAACCGGAACAAAAACCCCAAGGAGAAGCGCCTCCTTACAGCCCGGGCTATGCTCCTCATATGCACCATCCTATCCCCACTCCAGCTCCTGCCGAAATGGGAGGCTCACCTGTCCATAACCCTCTCCAGGCGCAGTCGCAACCACTTTTGGGCCAATCAACTGAATATTACAATCAAAATCGCGGAAGTTATATCCAGCCTGGAAGCCTGCCTGCAGCCTCTATCAGTAGCCCTCCCGCAGCCGGCACATCCCCCCCACCTCAGACAGTGAGCCCGCACCAGCTGAGTGCAACGCACACCGGACCTGTTCCGGACAACATATACGAAATGCCTGGTACCGCACGATAATTTTTGTAACTCTCATGCTGGCATCCTTTTTTTTTTTTTTTGTGGAAATTCATCTCTTTTGGATCTGGGAAATACGTGTGGAATGGAATATCTTCACACTTGGAAGATTATTTCCTTATCCTCCCTCTATATACCTCGCTCCGGAATGTTTCCTGTCGACCTAGGAGCTCTGAATACGTTTTTATTTGACGTTTTATTATTTATAGGGCTGTGTTGAGCGTTTCATTATGTTTTACTAGTCTTGTGATGAATACCTTACCCTTACCTCTTTAAACTTTTCTCTTTTTTGTCATACCCCATTTATCGTATGTCTTTCCCTTACTAGTTATCATTATTACCCCCCCTTGGATGATTTCCGCAAGGAACTCATACATCTTCTCCTGTTCCCTTTTCCTTTCTTGTTTTCAACTACAGAATATATATATACTATATTGCAGGCCCAACCATTTGGGCGAATATACTGTTCTCGATGAAGCATGATGACAAGCGGAATGGGGCTTGTTCGAATCCATGGCGATGTATATAATATATATAGGAAACTCGCTGAAAGTCAACGGCTCTGAATTCCCAGAATGCGGATTCAACCCCCTTGTGCCATGATCGCATCAAGGGAGGCACTCGAGGTAATTCGAAAGCATAAACGATTAGCAAATATATATCTACATACCACCATGACAAATTTCCGAGAACAGATCTTTCCCGTCGAACCACCTCGCGCTCCCGCTTCTAACCATCGTCAGATGAAACAGCTTGAGCGATGTGATGTGATATTAGAAAATTTACCTGAGTTGGTATGTTTCGATACAAGCACTCGCCTGATCACTCGCTCGTCTACTTCTCTCCTTTTTCGCTTTTATCATATATATCATTTTGTCAGCTACTGGGGCAAAAGAGCTCAATCACCACCAGTTAACACTGGAGGAAGAGGGGCTGGAATACACACAGGAGAGCTAGCCTTGGTTGACACATTTTCCGTCACACTCAACCCTTTATGTAGTATTTACATGTATATATGTATTGCAACCCCCCGAAATCGTTCCCAGTTCTCAGTTCCGTAGCCCTGGATTTCTTTGATCATACCGATTTCACACGCGAGTGATAATAGAATGGCACCCGTTTATTCCTTCTGATTGACAGACTGATGAACCACTCTTAATTTAGAACCAGCCCACTGGGATGAAATGAGCATGCGGCGAGCAGATACGTACGTGCTAGACCCCTTTTAACTCTGTTACCTGTGCTTGTTCTATAACTTTAAATATTGTTTAGAGCAACGAAGATGAAATTTGTTAAAAATAAAGGATATTGAATAATCAAAATTGAGAATTGGAGGATAGGGGAAGATTAACAAAAGATTCCACGCAAAAAAAAAAAAAAAAAAAAAAAAAAAAAAAAAAAGGCAAAGCAAAACTACATAGAGAGGGATATCAAGTGCTGTAAGGAAGCTGGTTGAGGCAACTGGAAAGTGGGAATTGGGGAGTATGAAAGGCTAAAGCTTGAGGGGATTGCAGGTGAGAGAAGGATCGAAGGGTTTTTCACTGACACCATAACTCCAGCGAAGGAGCATCAGGAATGTCAGAATTAGTAAGTCAGATGGTTATTCGAAGATGGAATAGCCGGGAAAGAAATAGAACAAGAGGCTTGGACGGCTAGGAGACAAGGAGGGGAATGCCGCTGTGATTTTGGGAGGAGAACCGCGCGTAAAAAACCCCTTCACGAAGATAAGGATAATTTACGCCAACGCCGCCAACTGTGCGGACAATGTTGCCTTGTCGTACTTGACATATTTGCCCTTGCCTTTATCGATCTCATGATATCGATCCCAGAAGCGCGCGTACAAGGGCTCAATAACCGCTTGCACCTCCCTGGCCAACATACTACGCACCTCCTTCTCCATAGTCAATGATCTATGGCGAATAATCAACTCGTCGAAAGAAGAATTGAAAGCCTTAAACTTATCCTTGATGTTATCTTTATCCTTGGATGAGAGTGTTTTGACAATGGCACCGGAGTCTACTTGGCCCCCAGAGGTGGGACGTGCACCAGCTCTGCTGGTATACTGGACGTCGAGGAGGTGAGAGGATGGGTCTCGCCAGGCATCAAGATAGGTGGAGACTCCCTTTTTGCGCCATAATTCTAGTCGACTGCTGTTTTCCGGGGTGGAGAGGTAGCGGGAGAGTTCACTGCTGTTGCGGATTGAGCGGTCGACAATGCACATGACATTTGCCAGAAAGGTGCCGAGGATGGGTTTGGCGCGATGCACGGATCTTGCGCGGGCTTCCAGAGCGGAGAGCAATGCTTCGACCACGTCGAGGATATAGTGGGAGAGGATGGCAGAGCTATCGGGACTAACATCTAGTGGGGTGGTGTTGGGTTTGCTTGATGGTTTCCAATTTCCGTCTCCGAGGGATGTGAGGATGGAGGCTAGTGGTTTGGAATACGCCGTTAGGGCGGATAGTGAATTCATGACTTCTGCTACAAGGGGGACGGCAGCACCATCGGGGGGTAAAACAGTCACAGCTGCGGCTTTGCGGCGTGTTTCTTCCAGCAATTCAGACAACGCTAACTTGGCAGTCTCGCGGATCGGCCGTAGGGCTTCGAAAAAGCGGGTTTTTAATTGTTTAGTGGCTGAATCGAGTCGATATGAGAGCCCAGTGACTATCTCGATTATTTCAAACGCAAGGAAACAGTCTGTCATCAAGTTGGCTTTGATATACATGTTTAGTTCTCGTTGGGTTTTTGAGAACTCCGCTATCGCTGGTCTACTGGTTGCTTGGAGCGCCTTTCCTTGCTCTTCTGCAGGGAATATTTGGGAAATATTCTCATGCTCTGCCAGGAGCATACCCTCGAGACCGCTAGCGTACATCCCTATACCGTTGGTCCCTTGCCGATATGGGCCATCGCTTGGTTTCCGCTTGGCTGTGTTGATAGATGCAGTGGCGAGGTTTTGCAAGCTACTTGTGATATAAGGAGCGCGAATATCGGCGTATATCCTGATAGCGGGATTTTCTGTTTGTCCAACTTGTGGACCATGGCTTGCGGCCGAGCTGATCGCGGCGCAGACAGGCGAGAGCTCCAAAACCGTCTCACTCGGAATAGTGGGGAACGGCAGTTCTATAGGTCTTTTGAGTGGTATTCCGGATAAGCTAGGGTCATTGGTAGATGCTTACGTTTTGTGATATAATGCAATGGTTCTACAGTGGCGACATTCTCTCGTAGAGTTCCTTTGAACATCTCCTGAAGTTTACTGCTTCCGGTGCTAAGCAAGGTGCTAAATTCCGACACGGCTTTCTGATTCGAACGAAGGTTTGTAGAGTTTAGATCTGAGAGTGCACGATCCAGTCTTTTCAGAGCCCCCAGATATTGGGCCAAACCAGCACTCCGGGGCCTAGAGAATACGTTAATTATTGCCAAAAAAGAGATTGATAATTGATCTAAGCTGACGGCTTACCCAGCCCGAATAATAGCCTCCTCCTTCCCCTTGACATCTAAAGGCTGCCGAAGTCGATCAATAGCTTCGTTGACTTTATCTATGTTTGCATTTGTGACCTGCAACGATTGTGTGTTGCTGTAGATTGGCCCAATGGCATCTCTCACCACCTTTCCACTTGTTTCAAGGCGAGACATGGAACCTTGGATCTTTTTGGTTAGGATGTTCAGCTTTTCAAGATTTGCGTAAAGCACCTCCACCTCCGCACTCTCTTCTGCGTGGACCGTGTTCCGCATCCCGACCATGGCTCAGGTAAGTAATCTGCGCCCTGGCAATCCTAGGTGAATGCGCCCTGCTTGAGGATTCTAGCGGCGTTTTCAGCCAGCAGACGCTGTTCCAGGAAACAAAGAAGAAAGTTTTTAAAGCATGATCAATAGTGGCAATAGGGAATGTGCTGTATGTAGCACAGATAGCGGCTGTTACCAGCCCTATCTATGGTTGTTGAATAAACAAGCGGGATTCAGACAATGATATCGCCGAAAGACGGCCACTAGTCCATAAATGGAACCATCGGAATAAATATAGTCCGAAGTCACTATCACGTGCATTGCGTCATCCCGCTGGAGTCCTAGAATTTAAGAATTCCAGGTTAGCAGAATTGTTGAATATTTCGCAACATTCTGAGTATTCTGCTTCCTAGCTAGAGTCGTGGTTCATGAATTACATAAGATAGTAGAAGCCGGTGGTGTCCTCGTTTCAATGGGCACTGCTAGAGCTTTAATCGCAAGATGGAGACTGCCTTTAACGTGGACGGCGCTTTTTGCAGCTGGAGGGTCCTATTATCACTCAACGGGAATACATTCGATTAAAAACAACTCAGATCGGGATTGTGGCACATGGGAAAAGCAGGATGATTCCAAGGATACTCCGCTGCCATTAAATCAGCCATGCAAAAGCTCGAGGATATCACAGGCCCCTCCTGATACGTCTGGCAGGACACTCTTGCAGCCACTGGTGAGCGATCGCCTTGCCAAACCGCCCAAGGAGCTGCCAATCGAACTGCCAACGTCCCAATCTGCATGGGATACGTTCACCTCGAAGATCAGTGTGGCCAAAGATTCTTTTGTGTCTCCGAATTGGCCGGAGTTAATCAAGCAATATGTCGCGCCGGCATGGACGGCGCTGCTTCCCGCGACTATCCAAACACTCCAACGAGAATTAACAATGTCGGAAGGGTCTTTGGCCGACGAGATCTGGTCGGAAGCTCAAGATGCTGAATTGAATCCCGAGATTACTCGGGAAGCCCGGGTTCGGATCGGCGAGGGTCTATGTCGCGAAGAGAGGTATTTCCAATGGAGGCGTAGACAAGCTATGGTCAAATCGCTAGCAGCTTATCTTGGCTTAAAGGAGAAAGATGTCCATCCCGACGATATACCTACAATTGCCATGTGTAGTTCAGGTGGTGGCCTACGCGCCCTTGTCGCCGGTACAGGCTCTTTTCTTGCCGCGAAAGAGGCAGGGCTTTGGGATTGCACCATGTATACTGCTGGTGTCAGTGGGAGCTGTTGGCTGCAGACGATCTACAATTCGTCATTAGGGGGTCAAGATTTTGGGAAGGTAGTGCAACACTTAAAAAAGCGGCTTGGAATTCACATTGCATTCCCACCCGAAGTACTTAGACAACTGACAACAGTCCCAACTAATAAATACCTACTGAGGGGCTTGGTTGAAAAACTGAAAGCCAGCCCGGAGTCCGAATTTGGATTGGTAGACATCTATGGTCTGCTCCTGACTTCTAGGCTTTTAGTTCCGACTCGAAACCCGTTGGATTTACATGATCGCGACCTTAAGCTTTCGAACCAGAGAGTTTTCATTGACAATGGCGCGAATCCTCTCCCAATATACACTGCTGTGCGCCATGAGATCCCTCCCGAAGATACAACTGTACCTGGTCTCTCTATGAACCTCATATCGGATGAGCCAAAGCCAGAGACAAAACAAGAAACATGGTTCGAATGGTTCGAGTTTACCCCGTACGAATTATTTTGCGAGGGGTTCAGTGCAGGAATTCCTATGTGGGCAACTGGGAGGCAATTTTGGAAAGGCCTAGACGTCCCCACTTCTAAAGACTTCGCCGTACCGGAATTACGGATCTCAGTGTTTATGGGTATCTGGGGGAGCGCATTCTGTGCCACTCTTGCTCATTACTACAAAGAGGTGAGGCCAATTTTACGAGGACTTGCCGGATTTGGTGGCATCGATGCCGTGCTGGAAGGGAAGAGTGATGACCTGATTCGTGTTCACCCTTTCGATCCTGCGTCGATACCGAACTTCGCGCTCGGGTTGAAGGATCGACTTCCAAAAACGTGCCCAGAGTCGATTTTTACGGACAAAGAGCTCCGTCTTATGGATGCTGGAATGAGCAACAATCTACCTATATACCCTCTTCTCCGCCCCGGCCGCAATGTTGATATGATAGTGGTTTTTGATGCGTCAGCCGACATTAAGGAAGAAAACTGGCTTTCGGTCGTGGAAGGATACGCGCGGCAGAGAGGTGTCAAAGGGTGGCCAATTGGGTCTGGTTGGCCAAAACCAGGAACAACAGCTATAGAAACCGCGAAAGGCATTGAGGACGCTTCGAGTAGCTCAGTTAAGGAATCAGATGAGAGCCTCTTGGTTGCCAAAGAACAGAGTCGGGAACCAAGCACCAAGAGTAAAGGGACACATGTGGGGAGCAGAGGAACCACTCTGAGCCAAGATACTACGGGATCATCACCAAACCCAGAAATGACCGATCTTGGTTACTGTAATGTTTGGCTAGGGACGACCCAAGAGCAAACATCCACAACAGAACCTCCGCCATCCAAAAGGCTGTTCCATTTGCCTCTGCAAGACGATTCTGACTCCGACTTCAGTCTTATGCATCCTGATGCCGGAATTGCGGTTGTCTACTTCCCACTTTTGAAAAACCCTGCCGCTCCCGCGGTTAAACAGGCCGCACCCTCAACTGCTCCAATAAGTAGCTCGGAAAACGCAAATACATCTCTAGAGCAATCGGGATCTGTGGAGCCGATAGACCCTGCTAGCAACGATTTCATGAGTACTTGGAATTTTGTTTACACACCAGAACAAGTCGATGGCGTTATTGGGCTTGCCAAAGCCAACTTCGCGGAAGGTGAATACCAGGTGAAGCGCGTAGTGCGGGGTATTTACGAAAGGAAGAAGAGGGCCAGGTTACAGAGGATACGGGAAGGAGAGTTGGAGGGCGTGCGTCTTACTTGATATTTGTTCTGCTGGTGCTACCCCTTTGGTTTTAACTGTCCAGATAATCAATACAATAAGTTGTTGGCGCAAGCTATTGGCATGGGATATCCATCGGAGGAACTCTGGACGTTTAGACCATGTTTAAATTACACATGTAGGAAATATAATAGATTCATTGGACAACTGTTAGTCAATTGTATGTACATGTATTTAGGGCTGAAATTTTTGAAAGTAGTGATGACTAAGCATCATGGCCTGAAGAACCACTTTTGCGCAAGCTCAAACGTTTTGAAGCCATTCCTCGACATCCAACCAAATCATGCCTGCGAGAACCATTGTAGCTGACGGGTTATGGCATTGCCTCTGTCCGTCCTACAAACAGGCACCCTTGAGGTGGCCCAACTTCCCAAGGCGGCTGAAACAATATGTCAATCCCCCCGTCAGTACCTGCTCCGCCGCCCGATCCTTCACGCGAACGAGAGAAGTCGCTCTGCTCTCCCCGGAGGTGAAATCACATCTCGAAACGGAAAATGGCGCGCTGCCTGGGAAGTATGATCCAGAAATACCAGGCGATATAGACCAATATTTTACAAAAGCCCCGCGGAGTAAACATTTCCCTCACAGAACCTTCAAAGATTACACGCATTTGGATTGGTCTATTCGAATGAGAACAGATGGACACATTGAAAGGGCACTACGGAAGACGGTCGAGGGAATCCCGAATTACAAATTGACCATGAAATTAATGAGGGAGCTTATCCGGAGACGAGGCTTTCAGCCACAAACATGGCACTACACCGTGCTGATAACGGCTAATACCGATGCGTTGATGGGATGCTCCAAGCACGTCCGAAGCCTACTAAAAGAGATGGAAGAGAATAACATACCAATTGACTCGGCGACTCTCCATGCAGTATTGAAGGTATCGGCCGCCCCTTGTTTTAGAGATGCCCTTCTTCTCCTCGTTCTCAGAAGATTGATTTGCACCTATACTAATGCCGGAGGGCAATCAATAACCAGGTTCTCGCGGTGCACCCTGATTATCTCTTACGCCAGAAAATCCTTCACACCCTACGCGACCGCTGGTTGACAATTTCGCCTGAAGGATGGCATAATATCGTAACTGGACTCATCCGGGAAGGACAGTTTGAGATGACGCTGGACCACATATCTCGCATGCAAGCCCAGAACATCCCAGTCGAACCATGGCTCTACAGCCTATTAATATATAATCTGTGTGAAGTCGAAGACTTCGACATGATCTTAGAATTGATGGTTAAATGGATAAATAGCGGAAATGAGCTCTCACCAAACTTGTGGTTTCACATCCTCGTCACAGCCAGCGAGTCATTCCACGAGAAATGCGTCGGCTTCATATGGAAAGAGCGCGTGCAGCCCGGCCTCATTAATCCGCCTTACGGGGTCTGCAGCAACATCCTCATAATGACGTCGCGGACAGGTAATACATGGCTAGCCGGCGAAGTTTTCCGAGTTTTACGAGAGCGCCAGGGCATTTTCCTACTAGAAGATTATAATTGTCTTGTCGACACTTACCTCGCCGCAGACGACCTTGACTTTGCTTTGCGCGTCCTCTGCACTGCCCAAAAGGCCACTTTTCAGCTTGGCGAGACAGCCACACGGTCGATCTTCACCTACTGCATCGAAAAGAGCATCCGGCCGCGGACCGTCTGGCAGACGCTGGCAGATATGAAAACGAAAGAACGCCTCAAAGTGCCTTTGGTAGCTGTAAACGCAGTGATCGAAATGGCGGTCCACCACAAAAGCATGACCGTCGCTCTAGAATTTTACCATGAGTTAGCTCACGTCTTCGAACATCGGCCCTCGGCCACAACCTTCAACCATCTTATCCGCGGTTGCCGCGTCACAGGCGCGCACGATATGGCAAATTTCTTTGTGCAGGAGATGGTTCTCCTGGACGTCTTCCCGGACCGGATGACATATGAATACCTGGTACTGCTCTGCGTAGATGCAGGACGGTTCCGCGAGGCACATAGGTATTTCGTTGAGATGATGGATAGCGGGTTTTCGTTGACACCTGGGTCGAAGGTTCATGTTCGCACGCGATGTTTCGATTCTGATGATCAGTATGCGAAGCTTTTGCAGTACGATTCCGAGATACGTAAACCGATTTCTAGACGACCTACGGTTCGTTAATAATATATATCGTATAAGATGGAGAGCTTAGAAGAAGCTAGGGGGAAACAGATCCGGATGCGATTGTAGGATATTGATGTGGTACTTACTATAGTAGGTAATAAATACATGCGGGAGCCTTGTAAATAACGATTTTTTTATACCCGAGAAAATTCTTTTTCACTTTCTGAAAATTATCCTTTCAATTTCGCCTTGTAATTGTAGCTGCGTTGTGTTAATTGCTGGAAACAAAATCACCGAAATCGCAGCAAAATTAAAATGACATCATCGGCGCTGAGCAAATTGAAAGCTAACCACGAAGGCCAACACAACCATTTTCAATTGACCATCGCAGTCTATATTAGGCAACATCTTTGCCAGTTGATAGCTTGCCTAAAACAATGCCTCAATTTATAGGATGCCCCAAACTATGTATCCAGTAACTTGACATAGAAAACGAACTTACATTCAATAATTGATCCCGGCGATCAAGTTACCTCGTGAAGCTGCTCCGTTTTTTTTTTTTTTTTTTTTTTTTTTCCATGGTGTGTATGCCCGCTGTTAAGAACTTGTGCTTACCGGTCCAATTGATCGGCAACTGGAGGGTCTCTTGAAGTAAATTCATGACTCTTTAACCGACTAATTTCATTGACTGGATAGTAGGCCTCCATTCTCCGCCAGATAGTTGCGGGCCCTCGACTCCGTCATCCCGAAGCTGGTCTTGATTTATGCTATGTGACGGACGAGAGTACGTCAAAGCTATCCCATTACATTTCAGTACTGTGTCTTATCAAATACTGATTTACTTTTCCTAGTAATTGTCACTTCCGGACCTTCCTCTACCTATCCCCGCCGTGTGTACCGCAACCCTACAGACTCCCTCGTCCGTTTCCTAGACCTCAAACACGGCGAAAATTGGGCAATCTGGGAATTCCGGGCGGAAGGCACGGGATACCCAGATGAAGAGGTCTATGGTCGTATCCACCATTTCCCATTTCCGGACCACCACCCACCGCCCTTCGCACTTATTCCACATATCATGGCTAGCATGCGGAATTGGTTGCTAGGGGATGGGGGTAATATGGGGGAAATGGAAGGTGAGGTTAGGGATGACGAAGGTGATGGTGATGGTGATGGTGATGAGAGGGGGAAACGGGTGGCTGTCGTGCATTGCAAAGCTGGCAAGGGGCGGAGCGGGACGATTGCGTGTAGCTTTCTGATTAGTGAGCGGGGGTGGGTAGCTGAGGAGGCGCTAAGGCGGTTTACAGAAAGGAGAATGAGAGCGAGGTTCGGGGAAGGTGTGAGTATACCCAGCCAACTGAGATGGGTGGGATATGTGGATCGGTGGACGAAGGAGCTGGGGAAGGTATATGTGGAGAGGCCTGTGGAGGTGTTGGAGGTGCATATATGGGGGTTGAGAGATGGGGTGGAGGTGGACGTTGAGGGATTTATTGAGGAGGGGAGGCGGATCAAGTGTTTTCATCGGTTTCATCGGTGTGAGAAGATTATAATGGGTGGCGAATGGAAGGGGTGTGAGGATGGGACGGGGAAGGTGAAAGCTAGGCCGACGCCAGAGGAGGACGATGATGAGAGCACGTTGAATGATACCGGTAGCCTAACTATCCCACCAGATACGTCACCGCCGCCCATACCTTCAGACATCGCTCCGCCATTCCAACCCATCACCACACCGAAACCCTGGTCCAAAATGTTCCAAAGCGTCCTATCTACCTCTACAGACATGGAAACCGTCATTCCAGCCATAATCCTCCGCCCACAAAATAAAGTCATAATTCCCACCTCAGACGTAAATATCAGTATCGACCGGCGAGCCCTGTCCACATACACTAGTTGGACGATGATTACATCCGTTGCGCACGTCTGGTTTAATGCATACTTCGAAGGTGGGCATGCGTATGATTCTGGAGTCTTTGAGGTGGACTGGGAGGCGCTGGATGGGATTCGAGGGACGAGTAATAGGGGCGTGAAGGCCTTGGATCGGCTGAAGGTTGTGTGGAAGTATGCGGAGGTGGAAAAGGGACCAGAAACAGAGGCTGGGGTATCAGCTACTGCAGGGAAAGTTATTCGGGAGCCAGCGCCAGGAGAGCCTGTTACAGAGAGCCATGCGGCAGATTGGCGAGGTCGGGAGCAACAGGAGCAAGAGGTTGTTGATCCCAATGCTCCAAAGGAGGAGCTTTTGAGGAGGTCCTTGTAACCTCATTGAGCCTGTGCGGGTTTCGAGGTTGAAGGACCCCGGGGGGTGGGCGCTTCTGAGATAAACCTGAGGTGGCAGATGTCTAGGCTTTGGGGGCTGATGACGCCATTTCGGAAGGGGGTGATTACAAGAGAGATTCATAAACGGGAACGGTTCTGACCCTCGGCTGTACTATATATTATGCGAGGCGTTCGGGGAGTCGGCAGGGGATGCATTAATGACATAGAAAAGCCTGAAAAAATGTCCATGCCCGCTATAATTCGGATGATACTGATGTATAGGGAATGAAACAATTGTCCATGTCAGATAGAGATAGATGAGCAGTCAATACATCATGATCACTTTCGAATATTAATGTTGCCTAACAGGTCCATCGATATTGTAACCCGTCTCAGGAAACGCTGGCGTACCCGCCGGGGCCGACTCCGTATACATCAGTTACGCAGAAGCTGTAATGTATCAGCTAAATGCAGCCAGAAAAGAAAACATGATGCTCATTTTTGCACATAAATGCATATATCCCCCTTTAACCCCATACCGACAAACGCCGGATGATTTTTCCCAGAAGAGTAATAGCCATGCATAGTGGACATATCCTTGAAAGGGGATGCCCAAAGAGAGCAGGTCTCATATTCATTAAAAACACATGCGCGCACAGAGACACACGGCCTCCCTATTGACTGGGTATCAAAGCAGACGGACGGATATGAAAAGGAGTTATGACAGAATATCTCTGAATTCAGTTGCCACCTCTTCCCCTTCCGCGTCCCCTACCACCCCGGGCCCCACCTCTCCCGCGATCTATCCTGCCACCATCCCCGCGATGTTGTTGACCACCACGGGCACGATTCGACGGCTGGTTCTGCTGCTGGTCCTTTGCTAGGTCGACGACTTCTTCAGGGACTCGTAGGTATTTGATCTAATGATGTTGAGTTAGCCCAGATCTATACATATATGTGTGTATATATATTAATGCGAGTTGAATTGGTGATAAGAGGCGTACATTATTCCCCCTCACATACATCTCAGGCAATCTAAAAAAGCGGTCACCTTCAGGGCTTGTTTGGACGACTTCTCTGAGGATCAGGTTCATCCAGTTGTCGCAGTTAACAAGGTGGCCGTTGAGGGTTTCGCCATTTTTCAGCTCGACGAGCATAGGATGGCCTTGGGCAGCTGTTAAAAGGCCTAGAGGGAGCTGGATGAAATAGAGGCAAGGGTTAGTATAGGGGTATCTGCTGCTATATGGTTGTTGACAGGGCCGGAGGCGAGGGGAAGAATTGCGGAAGGCTGGGCAGGGGGGTTATGAACATACCATGATCAAACGATGCCCATCCAACTCAGTATAGATCAGGAAGAATGCTCTCTCAAGTCAGCCAGCGCATTCTCTTTCTTTTCCTGTTTGATAGTTACAATTCACGTCCAGACAAACCTCCGAACTTACTAATCCTGTATCTGGAACATGGTTAATCCGAATCTGCTAGTTGCAAGCTGCGGACAATTAGTCATCCGGGGGATACGATACGCAGCCATGAGAGCTGAGCCTCAATCCAACCTGTGCTCAATTGACCGAGTGTGCAGATAATGTTGGAGCAGAGATACACAAATAGAGTATCTCCGGAGACTTGCCGCTGCTTAACAATGGTCAATGACTGAGCGTGGCACCGCGCTATGATCCAATATGCATGTGCGCGCCTCCTCCCTGTTGCTGTGGTTTTGCTCCTCCACCTTCGCACTCTCCCATGTCATTCCACACGGAAGGAGATCTTTCGACGATGATGAATATACAGGCAATGATGATCTTGTGCAGACATGGTCAGGTCAGAGTGATTTCTCTTTTTTATTCTACACTGTTAGTTATAACATCTGAAACTAACCTTTGTGTCGCCTGTAAATATATAGATAGTGACGATAGCACTTCTGTGAGGTTCGCGTCTCTATGTGACAATTGCTTTGGCTCCATTGATATTAGCTATGTATGTTAATAAATTTCTGCCGCTTCTTCTCTATCATAAGTAAGTTCTGATCTTCGAGATACCAGATATTTGAGATTCGCATCTCCAGCACACAATTTGCCTGTGGGGAGACAAATGTCACCCTCAATCATCGGGACCTGGACCTCGTATGGCATGGCGACAATGGGATCGGTTCCGGAATTTTCCCTGCTAACATGACCAGCGGATATCAAACCCATGAATTGTCTCTCAACTACCTCGGGTTTTGCATATCTAGCCCTCAAGGTGTTGGAGCGCAATACACTGCCCAAATACTCACAGTGACTTTCCAGCCAACAAATCAGATAACGGACAATGATCGTACGTCGGGATTCGCGGTTTCGTTCAACTCAGTTGGAGCTCCCCGGATATACCATCTAGTGGCATCTCCTATTGAAATTTCAGACGAGAATGCATTTGACTCATGGGTAGACCCTCTTGACCCTTTCAATTTACCGATCTCTACGGACAAAACCGCGAGCAGCGACTACATTCTGTACGATGACCTTAAAACCTTACATTCCCTTAAAGCCCAGGCCCAGGAGCTGCAGGAGAAGATTAAATCCAAAGAACAAGAAATCCGAAAGCATCTACTCCAGGACTGTAAATCCATGGCAATGCGGCTTAAAGAGTGCACAAGTTTATCTTGTTTCATCAGGACCTCATTCGAAATAGTTCCGGACGCATTTCGCCTTGTAAAGCACCAATTTGGCCCACTCCCGTCTTCTCTCTCAGGCAGTCCATGTCGCCCACCTCCAGATGCCTCATATCAAGCCCCTTCCTCCCAAGACACAGGATCACCTTCCAACAACCTGAATCCGAACGCGCTCTCAACACCGCAATCCACTCCGTCTCCAAATCCCTCTAGCTCTACTTCCACTCCTCAATCCACCACCATCCCAACACACCTGACCAACTCTCCCCCTTCTAACTACTATGACGATCTCCCCAACTGTCACGATCAACATCCACCTAACCAAAACTTTCCCCCTAAGTGTCGCCATGTCCTACATGGCCATAATATCCCTAATAGTCACGATATTTCTGTTCGAAACCCTTCCATCCTGCTAAAGGACCTTGCAATAATCCTTCTAATCGCCTCTCTTTTTGTCGTCCTCATAAAACACTGCCGCAACTCCCCCTCCTGGCTGCGGCGACGTGTCGATATCGCTACCCGTCGCGAGGAACGCCGTACGCGGAATGCGTACCTAAATGCCGCGCGCAGATATAGATGGCGTCAGTGGTGGAACAATCGTTTTGGGCGGGGCAGGGGACGGGAAGTGGAAGCTTCGAGACATTCGCAGCAGGGGCGGCAGCAGGAACGGAACATGCTTATAAGGGTTAATGAGGAGTGTGGGAACGGAGGCGGTAATTCTAGTAATATGACAGCAGTGCGCGAAGAGGGAGCTACAGGAGCAGGAGAAGGAGGAGGAGAAGCCATTCAAGCAGAGATTCTCGGATTCCGTAGGGTTCTCGAGTTCGTGGGCGAACTTGTCCGGCCAGATTACATGCATTTTAACTATGACGACGACAATAACAACCGCAGTAGCGATAATTCGCGCCGTCGAGGAACTGGTAATCAAGGGACCGGGAGCTATCAAAGCGATATTTCCCAATTACCCTACCCCGCCACAGCTCCCGGTGTTGGTGTTGGTCGCTCGTCGACGCCAGCGCCATCGTCGGTTGCGCCGTTGACTACCACCATCTATTCGCCGCGGACAAGCACAGTGTTGAGCATCGAAACGGATTCCTCACTTACATTGGATAGTTTGGATCCCGAGACGGCGACGATGTTCAGTGGGTAGCTGTACAGATTTAAGAAAGAGAAAGCAAGGGGTTTCCTGGATATAACGATTTTTATATACTTCATTTTATTTATTGATGTATTACTTTGCTGCCGGTCTTTCAGACGTAGCTTTTATTCCGCCCCATTGAAAAGAGAGGGCTGGATGGAGAGCCAAAGTTCAACTCTGCCTTTACTTCGCTTCCCTTCACTTCCCCTTTACGTTCTTGGTATATCCCATTTCCTACTAATATGGAGTTCTAACATTAGCCCTAGTTTGGTTTCTGGTTGGGACTACCTAGGTATCTATTCACTTCCTAGGTTTGTCCTGGTAATAAGGGGGGGTGTTGTCCTTTTCCCTACGGCTGTATTTCATGTTTTCTTCTAGCCCCTACCTCTGATTTTTCCCCCGTTTCCCCTCTTATTTTAAACCAACTACTTTTTTTATCTCTTCCCTTTTGCGATCACCCTCTTGTATACGTCCCACTGATCTGGATGCCATATATCTTAATGTTTGACTTGTTCATACTTAATAGAAAGTCGTATACTCCGTACGTTAGCCGAACTCCTCCAGCAACTCAAAACGGAGTAAAAGCCCGACGCCGTATCTCACTGCAAATGCCATCACATATTCCAAGTACGGTGTAGATGACAAATGATATGCGTTAGTTGCATCTTCTGCACCTCACGTTGTCTATTTGATTCTGTATATTGCGTATGTATCGGGCTACTCCACCTTCACAAACGCTACCATTTCACTCTACTCCTTGGCATAACTGTCTCCTCCCCCAACAATTGCTGTTCCCCAGTAGCTTTAACAGAAAGCAAGAAAGTCGTCCTATTATTAGAACTTAACTGCCGTTGAGCTCAATTTCTGCAGTTGATAGACAACTAGTTACATGTACAAATATAACATGCGCCCGCGGTATGATGGATGCAGATAAAAATGAAATAAAACAAAAAGGAAAAAGAAGAAGCAAGAACAACTCCGACTACCCTCCAAACATTCCACGAACTATAACTCATCAATACATTAGCGAAATGAAAGAAACAAACAGGCATGGGAAAAAGGGTAAACCCCATGAAAAGAAAATAATACAAAGTCGAGAAAAGAAGAGAAAAAAATAGAGCACGTAACACAGGACTAGCCCCTCAAATCTTCGATTTCTTCGTCGAGGACGCATCCCTCACATTCTCTACTCCCCCCTCTGCTGCTCCCGCTTCTCCACCACCATCCCCGTCCCCGTCCCCGTCATCCTCATCCTCGAACACAATAAACTTCCTCTTCCCCCTCTCCCTCACCGGCCCACCTTCTCCACCTCCAAGGCACCCATTTTCCCCCTCCCCCTCACGCGCCACCCGCTTCTCAAAAGCCTTAAGCAACCCATCATACCCCTCCTCCACATTCCCCACCGTCTCCTCCAACTTCCCCAAGCGCTCATCCCTGTCCAACTGAATCAACAAATCCCGATGCCGCTTGTACAACCGCTGCTTAACAAGCATGCGCCACCAGTAATACCGCCGATCATGCTCGTTGGGCGCGCGCCATTTCTGCACGAGCAGGCGTGCCGTGAGTGTGCTACCTGTCCCTGTGCCGCCAGCACCCAAGCCCATGCCCATGCCGCTACCGCGGTGGGAGGCGGGGATTTGACTAAGGAGGTACATTTCGACGATGTGCGCAAATTGGACGGGAGCCAGTTTATATTGGATGCGAAGGTCGTGGAGGGTGGAGGTGGGGATGAGAGAGGAGGTGGGCATAAAGCGGGGACGGCGTGCGCGGCGGGCTTTCTTCGTCTCGGTGTCTTTACTGTTGTTGTTGCCAATTTCGTTGTCTGGCGGATACGGGTCGGCGTTTATGCTTATTTTGTGTTTGAGGAATTCTGGGACGAGGGTTTTGTAGTCGTTTCTGTCGCGGAGATAGTCGAAGGCTTCGTTGGGGTCTTCGACGGTGAGTTCGTGTAAGGTGGGATCGGCGAGGCAGGCGGAGTGGATTGTGTGGTAGAGTTGTGAGCCGTGTCCGGATTGCTGATGGGGGTGCAAGATGAGAAATTGGGCGATGCGGAGGCGGGCAGGTAGTTGGGCGATGGAAATTTCTTCGGCGTAAGGGAAGGGGATGTCGATGACTTTATGGCTTTTGGTGTTGCTGGGTTCAGGGAGATAGAAGTACCATCGATACGTGGTTGCGAAGCCTACGAATGAGTATGATGGCGCGTTAGGGGTAGGAGGATCTATCTTCTCGTAGCTATTACAGAAAAGAAATTAGAAGTTAGTACGAAGTCAATTGAATAGTCTACGTGGACATCAAGGTGCTTACACAAAATAGACCGTCCATCTCTGTAGAGTCCATTCTAAATCATCCGTTGTAATGGGGGTGCCTCCCTCAACGAAGAAAGAGACGAATATTTGTATGCGATCGAGTATTGTCCGGATTTCCGGGTCGATTAAGGAACCAGCCCAGATTTCATAATACCTCTGCTTGCTTGTGTAGCTGTGAACAAGCTTTCCTGGGGGCTTGAAGTCCTTCGCAGATTCATCATTTAAAAGTGATTTTTCAAACTCCTCTAAAGATGTGAATGAAGCTATAAGGGTGGGAGACATTAGTCGTACTATCTTGAACCTGCGATCGCAAGAGTGGATTTACATTTTGGCAGCCAGGGACCAAAAGTCTTCAATAAATCCACCGGGGCTACATCTGCAACCGTCTTGAATCTCTCATCGTATGAAATATGTATGTTTGACCGGAGATCATGCGCGGAATAGCGCAGTCGAATGCTCAATCCCTTGTAGCCAAATATTGTTTCCTCCTCGCCAAAAATTGGGTATGTAAACTCGGGCCGGAATGTGGAGAGCGCATTAAGTTTGCCTTCAGCTGGTTGGATCATGGAGATCTTGATGGCATTGTTGGCATCGCAAGTCCCTAGATATCGCGAAAGAACACAGCAACCGGTTAGTAAGCTGGTCGTCACTTTGGAACCCCAGGATGAAGATTTTTACCACTATCAAGTCGGTAGTCGGAATGGCAGGGTAGGTTGCTTACAAGACGATTGGTTCTCCATTTCGCCAATACTTCAGTTGGCGGACTGACAGCCGGTTGGCAATGTGTAGGCTTTGCGATAGGAGGGTGGGAGTGTTGACAGCAAAGGGTCAATATCAATTGTCAAATTATCCCAAGTCAACAGTTCAGTTGTTTGAGCACATCGCGTTCTTTCCGTCGCGTCGAGCTATGAGGTTGAAGTGCCGAATTAACTTACCTATTTCGGCTAGTTCGGCAATTAACTAGTTAAAGGATGGATGAGGTAATCCAAAGTCATGTGATTGCTATGCCTAAATAGGCAATTGTGAACGGCTGGTGCAAAAGAGTTGGAGCTTTGCAATTTGACGAGAAAAGCGTGGGATGAATTTATATGGCCAGGGCCCTTCTAGACCCTGACGCACTGAGACCGATCGCTGTTCGAGAGCTTTCCTTAAAAACTGTGAACCGCAAATCAATATTAATAATAATAGCTTCGGGGTTGGTAGTAGGCGCGTTGTGACGCCTAGCCTCCAACGCAGACCCGCACCTTAAATAGGCTCAACTGGCTGGCCGCAAGTTCGCAACGCTAATATAAACCAAACCTGTCTTCATCCCCAAAGGCCAAATTATGCCCGCCCGATCTCAATGTTGTCTAATCCATAAAATTAATACTGAGTATATATAGCGGAGAAAAGAGAGAAAAATTCGGCTCTCAATTTCGCTGTGGCATTTTCCTCCTTTTCCTCCTCATTCCCCCCTCCGCCCGTCATCCCTCGCTGCGATCCAGTCCTCGACTCAAGGGCGCTCTTCGCGATGGATAGATAAAAGCCGTTTATATATCCGAAATTGGTCGAAATAGTCCAGATCCCCTCCGGTCATAATGGACGGGCTTTTCACCTTGCTCAGCCTAAGCTTGCTAATGGCGATCGTGTAAGACTACCTCCACCCGCACCACTGGCCCCAAAAATATTTTACTGCTGGTGTTATTTCTCGAACAACAAATCTCATTTCTTTTCTATATCGTGGTTACAGCTCCTTCGTCATTGGTTCACTCCCGCTCTCCTTCTCGCTCTCCTCGTCGCAGCTACGCCTTATCTCCTCCCTGGGCATGGGCGTCCTGGTCGGCACATCGCTGATCGTTATTATCCCTGAAGGAGTCGAGACGCTCTACAGCTCCGCCGTAGTATCGCACACACACCCCAACAAGAGAGATGTGAACATTATCAATGGGGGAAAAAACCATGCGCTCGATACACGCTGGCAGCACCCAGCTATCAACACCCTTGTTATCCGGAGAGACACATCCCAATCGGAATATACAACAATGGCAGATTCCCCAGAAGCAGTAGACCCCGGAGAATCAGGCGAAGGCGGAAGACTGCGCATCCTAGGAGACCACAAGAACCACGACAATGACAACACGCAAGCCAAGGAAAAAGACGGAGCGAAGCCCAAACCAACCTCACCACACGCTTGGGTCGGCATCGCCCTCATAAGCGGCTTCATACTAATGTACCTGATCGACACGCTCCCTTCTGTAGCCTCTGCATCCTCAAAACATCAACAACGCCCCTACCACATATCACTAGATAACCTAGGCTTCGGCCTCGGCCTCGCTTCCTCCCCCTCACGCAACAGCGGCGGTCTACTGTCAACCGCTACCGCCAGCAGTGCAGCCCGTCATGACTTCGCAATCACAACTGGCCTAGCAATCCACGCTGCGGCGGACGGAGTTGCTCTCGGCGCATCAATATCCAGCACCAGCCTCAGCTTCATCATCTTCTTGGCCATCATGGTACATAAAGCGCCAGCCGCGTTTGGCCTCACTACAGCATTGTTAAAGCAAGGGCTATCGACCCGTGCGGTACGGGGACATTTATTGATATTTAGCCTAGCGGCTCCAGTGGGTGCGTTTCTTACGTGGATTGTTGCTAATACGGTTATGGCTGGCCAAGCGGGTGATGAGCTGGCGACACGGTGGCGGACGGGAGTGTTGTTGTTGTTTTCGGCGGGGACATTTTTGTGAGTATTTTTATTTCGTTTTCACTGTATTATTTCTCATGAGATGGAGGGCTTTAAAGGCGTAAGGAGCAAGTTCTAATCAGTTCGCCATACATAGGTACGTCGCTATGCACACGATGCATGAAACGGGCGCGACGACTGAAATGTCCAGACGGGATTCAACATATGCCAACGGATACGTAGTGGATGGTCGGGAAAATTCACAAAGAACCCAGCAAAAGTCCATGAGAGACTTGACCGCAACTGTTGTGGGGATGATTCTGCCCGTATTCCTACAGATTGGACATGCTCATTGAGTTTGGGGAAAGAAGAACGTAAAGATTTTTCTCCCATTCCTCCTCCTTTCTGGCTCTGGGCGTAGGAGAACCTATAATAGCCATACAAACATTTATGGGAAATGGGAAACGGGAAGGGATCGGCCCATCTTCCTTCCCCTGCAGATTGACCTTCGTCTCGGAGCCATTGTTAGAAAGTTGCGTCACTATCGCCAACCGCCACAGCTGTGCCATCGACACATAGCTGCTGGCCGACCTATGCGGCACACTAGTTAAACAGACCTCCTTTGTTTTAAGGATGCCTTTTTTCCTGTTTCTTTAGGAACTTTATTAAGCTCCTCAGCAAACATGATGAATCTAAGGGGATATTATAACTCTTGATCTACTGTGTATTTTGCAAGCATAAATAAGAGAGAGTAAAAGACCAATATTTATCTTTAGATAGATAGGGGGAGATACCCTTCAGTGAGAGCGTTTATTTTCAGAAAGATCTACCCTTGCATATGAACTTTTGCAATCATTTTTTCCTTTTCCTGTCTTCTTTTGCTAAATAAAGCGTTAAGGTCCAGCGGCAGTTATAGACGTGTGTGCTTTTTCTACTTCTTTAATTTAATTTATTCTATCCTTGTTTTCGTACTTGTATATTTTCATCTTTGTCTGTTCTTTCTTATACATAATGTCTTTTTAATAATGCTATCACGCCTCGGGAGTAATTTTTGCATTTTCCTCTTGGAGTTCGTTTTCTTTTCATGATCTAATTGCCTCTTGAGTAGTTGGATTATGCGCTGGGGCCGGAAGATGCTGCACAGGAAGTAGCCGTTGATTCCTCTTCTTAACACCTAGTAATGCATTTGCTGAGGAATCAAGCTATTAATTTTAATTTTATTCTATTCTATTCTATTTGTTTACTTCTTATGCTTGTAGATACTTCAATTAATTAAATAGCTTCGTCCAAATACGAACGCTGCTTTCAAGAAGTTCCTCGCTCTGAACTCAAAATCGGTAAGTTAAGCATCCCCTTGGTCCTTGGCTGCGATTTAGCTGCCGGCTGCATGATCAAACCCACTATAGAAAGGATGTATAAAGGCCTTTTTAGAAAATAGATAGAAGTTCTTTCATCTGTTGGACTATAGCCGAGAAAATCACGCGAACGGCAATTGTTCGATCAAGAAGTCACTAGTACTTGACTCTGCGCCTAGTTAAGCTGCATCTCGAGGTACCGGTGACATGCCAGCCTGTATGCGGCCAGCCTCCCTTAAATAACCTCAACCACCTCATTTTTTTTCCCACTCCGACTGCAGCTCTATTCTTCGACCTCAACCACCTCCATATCAAGAACTCTCCCTCCGCCACTATAACTGTCCTTTGTGTGAAACCACCCGGCAAAGGCAAAAAAGCGGTCTCTCGTCCGGCCAGACTGGTTAGCCGTGTTCTAAGCGCTGTCGGGGTTTCGTCCTCCCCTGGCCCTGGTTTGGCACGAGACAAGGCAACCTCTCGCCTGCCCCCAACAGCAGCCCGCCGCCACTGTCGATACATGAGGGATCTCGAAATCCCAACTCAAGGAGTCAGAGAGTCTACGTCCTCGTTGACGATACCTCTCTTAAATACACTCTCACCCCTAAGAGCTTGCATCTTGTTCTCCACCCAAAAAACCCTCTCCTCCGGCACCCATGGAGCCGAGATATTTCCCTCGCTATTCCTCGTCGCGGCGAGCCACGATGATAGATCCGGATGAGGAGAGCGATGATAACTCCTCTGCTGCCCTACCGACTATAACCACTCGCAGAAGGTCGACAAACAGCTCGTCCTCCTCCGTACACTCGCGCCCTAAACCGTTGCACACCCCTAACAAGGCCATCTCTCCCTTTCACAACCTCCACCCTTCTGCTCCCGCTTCCCCTCCGACTCCCGCCCCAAGCCCGGCACCGCACCAGCGAGCCCCTAGCTGGCAGAGCGCTGGCGAAGACGAGGATACATTTTTGCGGGATGCGAGACAGCATTTCAGCTTGCTAGGGCGGGCGGAGGGCCAGAGGTTTCTGGCGGAGATCCTGAATCTATGTGATAATCAGCAACTCAGTTTTGTCTATCACTTCGTCAGCCCGCGGTTGAAGAAGGATCCATTTAAAGTGCTTCCGAATGAGCTATGTTTGAGGGTAAATATTTTGATTCTCGTTACTTTATTTTTTCTATGTTCTAGCCGCCCTGCGGAGCCTTTATGCTAATGAGAATCAACAGATCCTTTCATTTATCGATGATCCCAAAACTCTTGCTCGAGCATCACAAGTATCAATACGATGGCATGAGCTTTTGAATGATGATATGACCTGGAAGCTCCTTTGTGATAATCACGCTTACAGAACCATGTCCGAAGACACCCAGGAGGATTCTGAACCATTCTCATTCACCCTTCCTCCAAACCCGTACGATCCCCGGTTCGCGCAACGACCTTGGCAGAGCAGCGACGGCCCTTCCGCAAGGAATAATAGCAGAGCTACGACGCCTACGACATCCAGAGCACCCTCGTCGTTAGGAAACCATTCCCGAAAACGCAGGGCGAAGACCAAAAGCTACAGATCTCATTTTAAACAGAGATACATGGTCGAAGCGGCCTGGAGAAAGGGTGGACATGTCTTCACCAAACACATCACGCCTGATCATGGCGTTGTTACAAGCCTGCATTTGACCTCCAAGTACATCGCCGTCGCGCTGGATAATGCCAAGATTCACATATTTAATACAACAGGTGAGCATCAGCGGACGTTACAAGGGCATGTCATGGGCGTTTGGGCTATGGTACCGTGGGATGATATTCTTGTCAGTGGTGGATGTGACCGCGACGTACGTGTTTGGAACATGGCTACTGGGTATGTTTTTTGTCCACCTTATCATCAAACACAAGTATGACGATCTAGTTAACACCCGGGTATAGTGAGAACATCCACAAGCTGCGAGGACATACCTCCACCGTGCGCTGTTTAAAAATGTCAAATGCAACTACAGCCATTTCAGGATCCCGCGATACGACCTTACGAATATGGGACCTCGTCAAGGGCGTATGCAAAAACGTCCTTGTCGGCCACCAAGCCAGCGTCCGCTGCTTGGGCATCCATGGTGATCTTGTCGTCTCGGGTAGCTACGACACAACCGCGAAGATCTGGAACATATCCGAAGGGCGCTGTCTGAGGACGTTAGCCGGCCACTTCAGCCAAATCTACGCCATCGCATTCGACGGCAAGCGGATCGCGACTGGTAGCTTGGACACGAGCGTACGCATCTGGGACCCGCAAACAGGCCAGTGCCATGCCATATTACAGGGGCACACGTCTCTTGTTGGCCAGCTGCAGATGCGTGGCGATACGCTTGTCACTGGTGGTTCGGACGGGTCTGTCCGTGTCTGGTCCCTGCTACGCATGGCGGCCATCCACCGACTGGCAGCCCACGATAATAGCATCACGAGTTTACAATTCGATGATAATCGCATTGTGAGCGGTGGGAGTGATGGGCGGGTTAAGATTTGGAATTTGAGAACGGGACAGCTGGTGAGAGAGTTGAGTCAGCCGGCGGAGGCGGTGTGGAGGGTTGCGTTTGAGGACGAAAAGGCGGTGGTTATGGCGACGAGGGCGGGTAGGACTATTATGGAGGTGAGTGTAATATTTCCAGATGCACGCCCCGTTTTGCTCTTTATTCATTTATTGTAAGGTTTTCCAGAACACTAACCAAAGCTTTAGGTCTGGTCCTTTGCGCCGCCCGATGATGCCTTCGACGACCCGGGTTCAGACTCCGATAGCCAGTCCAGCACCGCAGAACTAGGCTTCAGCAATATCAGTAGCAATACGCATCACCAGTTCAACGACCCCCACCATTGCCACCATCACCGCAATGATAATACTCATAACCACGCCTCATCTTCCTCCGTCGCTGAAGCGGAATCATCTTCGTCGTTGTCCTCGTCGTCGTCCCCGTCCTCGTCAGTAGCAGTCATTTCCCCGCCTCCAGCCGAAGCCACTGAGCCCGTACCTACCGCGTCACACAACTCTATCCAGGACTTGGAAATGCAGGATGCCTTCACCGATGTCAGCAGTAGTGCTGATGCGAATGGTCGGTGATTGTTGATTTGGTGACTCTTGGGACCTAATAAATATTGATATCACATATAATGGCGATGGCATTGGCATTGGGTTGGTCGGAAATCGCGTGCAGCATGGCGAAGCTTCATATATTCATATATGCATATGTATATTTGTTTTTGTTATTTCTCGGAGGAGTAAATGGAAATACAAGGGGGGCACATTGACAGGCGAACAGAGGATTAGTAGTTTAGTGGTGATGGCTATTGTGTTTCTTTTTCTATATAGAGATAGATATAGATATATGCACAGGAATTTCAATGATTTTTCTGTTCTCAGGTAAAGAATAGAAGAGGTTCGCGGGGGTGCCCCCGGGCGAGGGAGGGGGTTGGTGAAAGCAGGAGTATAATATAATGAGAGCGAAAGGGGTGAAGGGAAAATAAGACGTTGGAAAGGCGTGGGTTAGTCTGGATTTGATGAACGCAAAAAACGCATATACTTCCCAAGGCCTAGCGTAGGGTTAGTTTAAGTTGTTCAATGAAAAAAGAAGACAAATATAAAAATTATGATTTGAGTTAAAGCAAAATCCAATGATAGCTGGAGTAGTAGTATCAAAATTAATATATGCTTGCCCACCACCACTTTCAAGCAGTTCCCACCAACCAGCAATAGCCCCTCAGGCGAGGATTTTGCAGAATGCTGCCCGATGGGGAGACACATTGGAAGAGACTCAGGTAACTACCACTTTGCAGGGTTCCCCGTAGTTAGGTGTAGCGACTTTCTCCATTTTTCGAGCCGCACCACATTATGAGACGCTTTGTACCATCACACTAATTTAGTATGAGAGAGTACATTTTGATTCAAAGATTTAGGATGATGGTACAAAGCGTCTCAACATGTCGTGTGTCTCAAAAAGGGGTGAAATACGTTAACTGACTCGCACAGAGCGAGGCATGCGGTCTCTGTGAAGTACAGTACAGAGCATTGCCAAGAATGATCTCCACATTGGCCAAGCTTTCTAGCGTCTGTTGGTTTATGATGTCATGGTTGCGAACAACGGTAGAGTTTGCTAAAGAAGTGAGGGAGGCTAAATGATTGGTGGGTCGTATTGTCTGACTCGAGATGTCGGGCAGAACATGTTGGGAATGGAGTTGAATAAATAGCTGGAGACACGGTCTTCATTTCCACAGGCTCTTATTATCTCCTCGTCTGGAGGCGACGACACAATGAGTGTAATTTTCTGCCATCCCAATTTATGACTGCTCATTGGCTGGAAGCCTCTAATTCAGCTTTCCTATTGCCTTGATAAGGCACGACGATTGTGTCGGATATGTCATCGGTTCTCATAAAAAACCCCCTTAAAACCATGCAAGCCTGGGCTGGCTGATGGGCGACACAGTAACGTACTACTGGCCCAAGAAAATCCACCTGGTCTGGAACGTTAGGCAGTGAGCACTGAGGAATGAATAAGCCGTGGGTCGATTCACTCTTCACCAAGACGAAGGAATACAAGCCCCGAAGCTCATACGGAGAGAGCGAGCGGGTGGGATTTGTTTCTTAATCGTCGCCACTTTACTTACTCTATATCTCTAGCTACCTGCTGCTGTTGTCCCTTTCCATTGATTTCCTTATTTTTCCCTTCATTGGCGCCTCACTTTGACCAAGAATGAATAGTACGTATCCACTATAATTGGACATGAAGTCCGATAACCCACCTACTCTTGAGCTCAAATCCGCCCTTGCAATCCGCTCAAAGGTTGTATCGGTTGCATCATCCGATGTCGTTCCCCAATGCCCGCCCTCTTGTCCAAGTATAATGGACAGAATTATCTCCTTATCGCCAGTTCCGACTATTGTTTTGGACCCTTCCTTCAATATCGTCGAGATATCTCGCAGCCAACTTGACTTTTGTGGGCTCCCCCGCGATGAGTGCATCGGCGCCAGCGTGTATGACCTCCACCCCTCCAAAATCCCCGTGACCAGCACCGATGAACTTCGAAGAGGAATCGACAAGGCGATCTTGCTCAAGAGCGCCTGCAAAATTGATAGCATTGAAGTGGACTCGCACGCTTACTACTGCAATTTGCGAATCTCACCTGTCTTTGAAAACGACTCCCTCATCTATGTTACGCTGGAGAGCTGCGATATTACAAAGCTACACAGCGCGGGCGATGGCGTCAACCCGTCTCTCGACTCGCCAGATGTCTACAAGCAGCTGATCGACAGCGTTAAGCATGTTGCGATCTTCATGTTGACACCTGAAGGGATTGTGGCTACCTGGAATGGAGGAGCTTCGGCCCTCAAGGGTTACACTACAGAGGAAATTATCGGGCAGCATTTTTCAGTATTTTACTCTGCGGAGGACCGTATGAAAGACAAGCCACGCAAAGAGCTTGCCAAATGCATATTGGATGGCAAGCTAGAGGATGAGGGTTGGCGTGTTCGCAAAGACGGCTCCAAATTCTTTGCCAACGTTGTCATCAGCCCCGTCTACCGCTTCAACGTCTTGATCGGCTTCAGTAAAATCACGCGCGATATAACAGATAGGAAGGAAACGGAGGACCGCTTGATCGCCGCCTACGAAGAATCCGCCAAGCTCAAGTCCGAGTTTTTGGCTCATATGAGCCACGAAATCCGCACCCCGATGCACGGAATGCTCTCTGCCCTGACCTTGCTTAAAGACACTGGGTTGACTACTAAGCAATGCGAATTTGCTGAGATAGTAGAGCGTTCAGGATCCATCCTCCTGCGTGTCATCAACGATGTTCTTGACTATTCCAAGCTCTCCTCTGGAACATTCTCCCTCAATTCAGACCTGTTGAACGTACGAGAAATCCAAAATGTTTCGCTCCAACAGTGCAGGAACTTGTTAAAGCCTGGGGTGACGCTGACGTCCGAAATAGCCGAGGATATACCAGAATTCTGCAAAGGTGACCCTACGCGGTATCAACAGATACTCCAGAACTTACTTGTGAACGCGGCCAAGTTTACCGAATCCGGGTCGATCCACGTCACGGCTGTCCTAAAGGATGACAAGGGATCAGCCCTCCATATTTATACTGAAGTTATCGATACGGGAATTGGGGTGCTTTCTGCCACTGCGAAACATCTTTTCGACCCTTTTGCTCAGTCTCTCAGCGAAACCGGCGAGCATTACCAAGGAACCGGCCTCGGACTAGCGATCTGCAGAAATCTAGTTGACCTTATGGGAGGCTCAATCGGATATCATCCCAACAAAAGCGGACGGGGTTCCATCTTTTGGTTTTACGTGCGATTAGGGAAAGTGAGCATGGCGTCCAGTTCGAGTGATTCGGAAGAATGCTCTCCGGCCACGGTGGAGCCGATTGAGGAGCTCAGAACCATTGCTTCCGGTAAGCAACTTATGTTGGTCGAGGACAACAAGATAAGCCAAGCCGTCATGCTAAAGTTATTGAACAACTTGGGCTTTGAGAGAATCGACGCTGCTTATGATGGTGCCCAAGCGTTAAAACTGCTGCGGGCGAAACCGTTTTCCTACCACGCCGTTTTGATGGATATCAACATGCCCGTCCTTGATGGCGTGAAAACCACCATGGAGATACGGAACACGTTGAAACTTGATGTCCCTATCATCGCGATGACAGCGAATGCCCTAAAGGGTGATGCGGAATCATATTTGTCAAAGGGGATGGACGGATACATCGCTAAACCAGTAAATAGGAACCTCCTGGTGAAGAACTTGTTACTGGTCCTGAAATGAAACAGCAATTCCGTTCTTGATGTTGTTTTGAAGAGAATTTCTATGTCCATTATTATTATTATTGTTGCTGTAGTTCAACAAGGTAAAACGAAAGCAACCGCACATGACAAAAATGAAGGGACAGTGTTTCGCTTTAGCCCCCTCGACCTATCGAACACCGGTTAAAATTTTCCAAGGGTGTCTGTGGACTGTGATGTCATTTCCTTGGTTCCTACACGAATATTTCCCCCCTAAACCCACCCGCCCGCGGTCGTGGTGACCCTCAGATCAGAAATCCCACCCAACGACGCTATCGGGATTCCCGGAGTCCTATAAAATTACCAACCAAGACGACGAAAACACCGAGAAAAAAAGAAGCCTGAATCGTGAAATTTCATTGAAACACGAAAAATGAACGATTTCCGACAAACTTTGATCATATCTTTTACGACGCTAGATAGAGAAAGGTCATTTTGGGACCGATTTACATACTGGTTATGATTGACGACATTCTACCATTTTTTCTCTCGTTTTCATTATCTCTGCCTATCATCAAGGCCTTGTCATTGCCCTTTTTCCTTCTTTTCCTTTCCCTTTCCATTCGTTTAAGTCATATCTATATACCTGGAAGCGTGCGATCAATATATCCTATTTAGCACAAATCGTTTGAGCAGCGAGCTAGTCGGGTTTTTCGTCGTATTTCTATACTTCTTGGCGTCTAATTTTTGGCTTTCTGATGCACTGTTTATCTTGTCATCTTGCATCAGTGAGCCGCGTTTGTAAACAGTATCTTATTTCTGGTCTTGTTTCTTTTGTTCCCCGTCACGGTTCATGTATGGTTATGCTGAGTCTTAACGATTTGCATATGTTGATTTCCTTTTTTTTTTTCTGTTTCTCATATTTACTGATGATTGGGTTGGTGTGGTTTCCTAAGCGGTGATTACGTCTTGACACTTGTTGTTTCTACTTGGAGAAGTATATATTGGGTTTTTGCGTATGAAACTAAATAAGAAAAACCCCCCGATATTGTAATGCTCTCTCTTGGTTGAGAGGGATTATATATATATATAGGTAGCATCTTTTCTTGTTTCGTATCTGCCAGCCACGTCTATCACCGCCTTCGGAGTAATATTAATACAGCCGATACGCTAACTAGCTTGGTAGTGCATCCTCGCGGCAGAACGCTTAGAATCTCGAGAACACGCCATAAGCGAACCAAGCGGCGCCTGAGTAACGACTCTCAAAGCAATTCAAACCCGGTTCCACACCCTTTATCGGCCATCCAGTTTGCGTTATTTTGCCAACTCGTGCTTGTGTATGCCCCTTCAATTCCCGTGGACATCCATCCGGAACGTTGACCTGCCACAAATCTACACCCGTCTTACGGCAACTGGCGCCCTGTTCCTTGCACTCCGGCACGGGCACGAAAACAGAATTCCACGAGCAGCCAAGGCGGGTGAGAGGCACGCTGAGGAGCCCAGGTAAATCTAAAGTTTCGATTATTTGACTGCATGAGGCATTATCTAACTAAAATCTTGTCTATCTCTCTGCAAAGTGCAAGAGACGAACGACACCTGCCATGGATAGCCACGAGGGCCCTCCAAAGGGCTCTACCCACCACAACAACCACACCCATAATAATGCCCCCGCCCCGCCAAATCCACCTAGCATAGAAGCGGCCTACAAACGCAAATGTATCGAGCTGAAAAAACGCCTGAACGAAGTCGAAGCCGCCAACGACGCAATGCGAATCCGCAACGCTCAGGGTCACCGCTACATACAGAAAATGCGACTAGAGTCCTGTATGCTTCTCGAGCGCCTGGCGGTGTTGACGGGCATGGCTGAGGAACAGGGGATTAGTACGGAGTTGCGCGCGCGTACTGTGGCGTTGTTGAAGGAGATGGATCCTCATTACACGCCCGCGGCGCATGCGAATCGCGGACGAGGAGCGGGAGGAGCGGGGGAAGGCTCTTCTTCCGTGTGTGTCAAGCGTGCGTCTTACGGAATTGATTACATGGATGATGGCACTGAAGGGAGCTCCGAGGGGCATCCGCCAACTGTACGCTGCCTCCGAAGCTCCCCGCTCTGGCTCGTTCGTTGCATTGCGCTTTGTTCTGCTGGGACCTTTTTTGCTAACATTATCTCTCTATTATCCTTCTTCCTATATATAGCCCCAGGAACGCCCTCTTCGAGTGAAACGTAGCCGCCGCGCCGACGACTTCACTGCCAACCTCGACACGCCAGACAAAGACATCGACCTCATGAACCTGAACATGAACACCTCCACCACACTCCCACCTCTCCTGCCAGCTACTAGACGCCGTTCCCCACCTACCACCCACGACCTCGACAGCCGTATAAAACACTATAACCCACCACCCGTTCCCATATCTTCCTCTTCAGCAATAGACCATCATTATAACCGCCAGCCCCCTCTCGCCCAATCTCCCACCAATCACAACAATAGCCACCACCACCGACACCATTGCGGCAGCGGCAACAATTTTGTCCAAGCCCAAGGCCCTACGGCAGCCGTAATCCAGGAGCCTCAACACGCCAATCAGCGATATATATCTGCCTTTGAGGACTTCACCAACCGTACACGGGACAAGGTCATCCATGACCTGGTTGACGCGTACGGTCCCGAGACGAATATTACGCCTGCTGATGTCGATCGTGCACTTGCGGAGCATTGGGAATCGTTAGACCCAGCGACGAAAAGGCAGTACGGAGACCGGCGCGAGAGTAGGGATGGCTTGCAATAATATAATACGTAACTAAAGAAGGGGATGAAAACAGAGGGAGGAACGAAGCCACCATTTACTTTGTCCGCTTTCTTTTATTTTGATGGGCGTTGATTCCTGGCCTCCAAAGGGGTCTATGATATACAACCTGTCATTCAACCGTCTCCCCGGCCTCGCATCCCCCCTGTCCGTCTCGTCGTTTATCTTCCAGCACTTTTCGTCCTTTAGACGGGGCCATGTATTATTCCCACATGGCACATTTGTCATCGGTAATATGCTATGTTTCCAGTTTAATCCCCCAAATATATTCCTTATTCCCTCCATTTTGCCTCCCGTATTTGTTTAGCCATCTAATTCCCTCCCTGCCTAGCTTTTTCCTTTAAAAAATCCGAAATTGCTGTTCTTTCACCAGGAAGCAACCTTTGTGTGTGAGGTTTCTTTCCCTCCACACTTTAGGATTGGCTCTTCTGCCCTCATTCCCTTTCTCTTGGCTCTCACTCTTTCATTTTTTCCTTCTCTCCTAGGCGCACACTGGGTCGGTATTTTCTCCTTCATTTCTGTTCAAATCTACTGTCAAATACTTTTTGTAATTTCCCCTTCTTCTCACCCCTCCTATGCAGGCGGTTCGGTGCTTAATCTTTCCCCCCTTTGTTTTGCCGTCATCCTATTTTTGTTCCTCGCAAACTAGCCGCATGCACTTGTGGCATACCACCTGCATTGTTACTATCTCTCTCAGCCATCCGCGAGATTCCTCGATGTGTGATAGCTCATTTCTGCCCTGTCCGGTTAGAATATGCGTATCCCACATGGTATGAGCGTGGAAATTTTGCTTCAGCGCTGAGTGTTCGCTGTCGTAGTTCCTTGTATTTTCTCTCTTTCTTCTCGCCTTTTGCGAATGCTTGCTGCGCTTGTCATATCTTGAAACCCCTAAATTTTAGAACGGGGATATGGAATGAGAATGGGATGGGATGAAATGAAAAACTGAAATGAAACATGAAATATATATATATAAAGCTCGTTTGTTGTCTTGTTGGTATTTCGTTCCATAGAGACCTTCGCTTTTCCGCACCTGGAATGGGTTGGGTTCGTATATTCAAACTTCTTCTTTTGCCCATCCGTATCATTCCTGGATGAAAGCTTGGGAGAGGTGGAGGGATGGGGGGCCAAAGAGAGAAAAGAAGCCAACGATAATCCTTACTCATGAATCGGTTTTACGTACGTAGCCCCGTCTGGTGTCCATCTGATCGTTTATTCTCTATTATTTAGTTGCGTATCTAATCAAATGAACTACGAGTGTTCATACTACCTCAAATGGACAAGTCAATAGAAAAGAAGGGCAAGATAATAATACATTCCCTATAGAGCGGTAAAATACAACCATAATGATCTTGATGAGGCTGGGTGAGAGAACTAAGTAGCGTGCATGTGAGAGGGAGTAAAATAGAGAAGGAAATTCGAACTTGGAATTGAAATGAAGATAAGGCTGCGTAACTCGTTGTACCGGAGAGATATGGATATCTAGGAATAATGTGAAGATATGTACAGTATACATAATACAGATATACAGCGTGGACAGACGGTCGTATGAAATAGGATCTTGAAATGTAGACACACGTAAATATACAAGGCTTTGAGGGCGGAAGGTTAGGGTAGCCGAAGTATATCATGATTGTTGATGTTTAAGAGGCGTCGTGGGATGGGATGGTTTATTTACCGCTCGCTCTCCATGGTGTGTGGTTGTTCTAATCGACTCCTGCATACAGGTCAACTACGATGTTTATGCCCGCAACGACAATTTCAGCGGCGATGAGGATGATTACTAAATTTTGTACAAATGTCAGTTGGTTTCGAGTCTTGAGTATCAAAAAATAAAATAAAATAAAGAACATGACGGGTGAAATGTATTCATCAGGTAAAACCAACATGGATGGGGATGATTTTGCACTTACCAATCCACTCCAGATACTCCCCATGCCGATGACTCAACTGATCCTTCAAAATCGCAAGCAGATCCGCAATCACATCCAGCCTCTCTGTTAGCAATCCCACCCGCTGGTCCATCTCCAGATAGCTACGTACGGCCTGATAGACGGGTTCTAACTGTGGCTCCGCCCACATAAGTTCAGGGCTGTCCAAAACAGACCCTTGCAGATGTATATTAATCCGTAGAATAAACAATTCGCCAATTTGCATATTAATCTGTCTACGCGTGAGGTTCACGCTACCCGTCTCTGCAATCTGTGCGGGCAGCGGTGAGGTCTTCGCGATGGTTTCCGAAACCAGGTCCTCGAAGAGCGACGTCTTGACGGATTGGGAGAGGGCGTGGGAGATGGCGAGCTTAGTCATATAATTGTGCGGATCTTGTAGGGAGATGAAGTCGTTGTAGATGCGAGCTTGGTAGTCGCGAGTGTAGTAGAAATTGAAGTTTTCGATCTGCGTGTCTTCGCTACTGAGGACTGCAGTCGCAAATCTGGATACCTCGCGGAGGAAGCGGGTTTCTTGGGCAGGTGTCATGCCCCATATTACTATAGTGCCGTAGTCGAAAAGAAATACTTCTGGAGTATGGATTGATGTATCGAAATCGGACCCGTTCGCGTCGTCAGCGGAGGATATAGGTCCTAGAGCGTGGGAGGTAGATATATCGGTAGAAGAGTCTGTTGGTGGCCCGTGGTGGTTTTCGTGTAAGTCGATAAGCCCCTCTTGCTGCTGAATCCTCTGGCTTTCGACCTCGATTTCACTATCAGAAAACCGCCGCGGCTCATGTCCCTGACTGGGAATTTCTGAGACTGCTGGTATTTCCTGTTCATCTTCCTTAAGCAAAGTGGAGCGTTTTTTCTTCTGCTCATAGTCATAGTTATACGGCGAATAAACACATTCATCGAAAAGCTTTGGATTAGTGCCTCTCGTTTCAGCACGGGATTTAAGAAACCGTACGACGCCGTCGATTGTATACGAACTCGCAGTGCAATATGCCGTCACGCGCGGGACGCGGTCCCGATCCGCTTTACCTAGCCTTGCTGCATGTTTTCTGGCAGTTGGCTCTTTAATCCGGGTGATCTGCGAATACACTTCTCTCGGGATCTCTTCTTCTGAGAATTGGTCTTCTCCACCGGTAACGGGATTGGGAAGCAATTTAAGCTTCTGAGTATTTTTAGTTGTTCGTTGAGGGCCAATTTTAGGATGGCCTGGAGGGGGAGCCGTGGCTACCGGGTTGTAGATAGCTCCCTGGCTGTGCCGACGACGGACCTTGCTGTTGAGCGCAGCTAGGACAGGAGCGCCACTGCCGCCAGAGCTATTCTGCATTAGGGAGTTGCGTGTATGGGGAGGCTTCAAGAAGTCCCTTGAGGTGGCTGTATCATTTGATGTACTGCTCCTGCTTTGAGCGATGGGATCGAAGGTAACCATCCGACGAGGGCGCGGCTCATCCTGTGACGTAGATGGATAGCTTGAACCCTGGCGCTCAAGCAGGAAAGAGGTTTCTCTGCTTATCGACCCCATGACTGATAGAGAGATGGATTCTAGTCCCAATTGTAATCACACAATAGCTCAGACATGGCCCGAGAGAGGAGAGAATTGAAGGTCTATCAAAGTGGTAGCAGCTCTGCTCTGTTCTGCAGCCTCTGCTCTGGTGAAATTCCTTAATAAGCACCCAAAAGCCAAGCTTTCAAGCTTGGCTTGACACGTGAAACAAACCTTAATTTGACCTCGCAATAAGGTGCCCTCCGTACAGGTCCCGGGAGATGATACATATATCAGTTCTCTGAAGATGCGACTGTGGCCGCGGCTTGTAAATCCAGTGGACATCAAGCACAACAATAACGAGGATGGGAATGATTGGATCCGTGGATGTGGAGGCGCGTATGTAAATAGATTAATACAATCGCTCTTCAATAAGCTTAGCCAAACAAAAATAACCCATATGGGTATCAAAATATCTCCGCTCGATGGAACCATCACGCCAGAAACAAATCCATAATACAAAACGCTGCTGTTCTCTTTACACTCTATGATAACACTCTACCTCATAAAATATAGGAGTATCACTTTCGAACAAACCCCGAAGCTCCGCCCGTCGTCCTCCTTAAACTACCACCGCCAGGCAACCTGCGGCTTCCAGTCAACAGATTTTCACGCGCCCGGCGGCTCCTCTTGGATGCCTTGGGCGGTAAACTGACCCCACGCAAACCACCACTACCCGAGTTTTCCAGAACACGAATCGACGTTCCCCCAATCCTAACGTCCTTCGGCCGCTTCTCAAGCTTATCCAGAAACTTAAGTTTCTTCGACTTCGATATCGACATCTTGTCGGCTAGGGACGATGAATCCATCTCATATGGTGGGGTGGGGATTCTACTATGGTTTGATGTAGGTTCTGCGTTCAAGATCTCATCTGGGAGTAGCATGGGAAGTGATCGGATGGGTTTTGATATAGATCCTTGTATCGTCACGGAGCTCTCGGAGAGAATTTCATCTTTGCTTGCGCGGAGATCTTGTGGAATGGACGGGGTATGTTCTTTACTCGAAGGAGCGGGTTTTGAGACTGCTTGGGCTTTTAGGCGTTGATCCCGCTCTCTTCGTTTTTCTTTATTTAGTGCATCGGTCCTGGTAGGTTATTGTTAGCGGAGGGCTCTTACATCCTTTAGAAACAAGACCGGAATCTTCAATTCGAACCTCTGCTTAGTCTTCGCTTCTTTTCGGGCATTCTCTTTTAGCTTCCGTAGCTGGGCAGCGTTGTCTATTGTTTCAGGAGCTTCGTCATCATCATCACTGTCCTCCTCCATATCGTGAGACTCCTTGGGCTTCTTTCCCTCCGTAGATTGCTCATTCTCTCCATTGAGCACCGGCGCGGGCTCCTCGCTCCCAAAGCGAACATGTGTGGCCTTGGCAGTGGAATTGGGTGCTGCTTCGTCAGCCACATTAGGCGCACTAATTGAAACATTTAATGTGTCCTCTTTAGGTTGTATATCGGACTCGACAATGTCGCTTGAACCGGTAGTGCGAAAGGGCAACTTTTTTAAAACGCCCTTTTCTGTCTCGGCGGGTTTTGTAGCTTGTGAGCCCATGTTGCTAGGACCTCTCTGCTTCCTGCGTTTAGGTGCTTGGCTTTCCGCCCCATGATTCGAAGTAGCAATCTTTCGCTTCCCCCTCGTAGCTGGTGATGAGTCCGCCACTGCTGCCGCCGACTTCTCCGCAGCAGGAGTAGGGAATACACCCCGTCGAGTAGCTGACACCATCTGGGGTGAAGAATGCGCAGGAATTGGATCGGATGTGTGGTCTACGGTGGGTGGAGTGTCTTGTTCGACCCCAGGGTCCGGTCTCGCGAATAAGCCTCGGGCAGCTGTGACGATATGAGACAACATAAGGAAAAAGGGAAGAAGAAAAATCCCCGTCCAAATAATTGTATCAATGGTTGGTTCTGGCACAAGCTTCGTGGGATGGGTCAGACCTTTCCTTTCCTAGACAGAAATCTGTATGCCGGAATTATGTTGCTCCGGGCGTTTAGCCCTAATCTCTTCTCAGGTCTATTTACTGCGTATTGCGGTGGCCGTGGACATCGAGTAATCATAGTAGTAAATTTGGTATTTATCGAAGTAAATCTCCTATGGATAATAGCGAGAAGACACTAGGTTCATAGCTAAGCAAGCTTTGATGTGACATACGGGTAATAAATAGTGATCGTAGTGTCAACCGGAGCGAGCTCTATTCTGTATGTGCCCCTCCAAATAAGTACCCTGCATGTGTCGTTTGATAATGAAACAATCAAGCATAAAAAAGCAACGCCCAGAGCCCTAACCAGAACGCCATGCCGTAATTAAATCCCAATAACTCAACCCATCAAAAAGAATATAGAATCAAGCATCGTAATACTCCTCTGCAATCCGTTTCCTCTCCATCGCCTCCTCCTCAGCTGCCAAGTAATCGTCTTCCCCAAGATCACTAACTTCATCCCACATTTTGTCAAGCTCGTCTGCATCATTCCCCGGAACAGCCCACATGGACTCGCGTAGCCTTTTGTTCCGCTCTCTATCCTCCTCAATGCGCTGCTCGATCTGTCGCTTGTCCACCTTCATGCCGCTCGGCCTCATCGCAGAGCCTGGGCCCTTTCCTGAATCAGCCCCTTCAGATGCCGTCTGGCCGGGCTCTATAAGCTCAAGATCAAGAAGATGTGCCGGGTGAGTTTCTCTTTCTTTTAGAAATGCATCGATTTCACGGACAGTGTCTGCGGAGAGGAATGATTTTGCCTGCAATCCGTTGAGCACGCGGCGAACATGTTTGACGTTTGCCGCGCCGGAGCCGTCGGGAGGGGCGACGGCGTCAACAACTCGGAGGATATCTCGCTGCATCATGTGGACGAATTCAAGATGGTTTTCCTTCGTGGCCATGTCGCAGAGGTGTTCGATGAAGTACATGATGTTGGCGCGATTGTTCATACTATTCTAGAAAAAGCCAAAAAAAGCGGTTGATATCAGGAAATTTGTCCATAATTCAATTTTCAATTTATGCTGCAGCGGGCAGTATGCATAGCTACCATTTCTAGCTGTTCTAGGATGCAGGAGTGGAGGTCCTCATCCATATCCCGGTATTTGAGAGCATAGTGAGCCGCTTTCTGTGAGGATGTGACGGAGGCGCTTAGATGCTGGAGCTGTGTCGTGAAGCGCATGCGCACCTCGAAGGGGTCAGCCATATTGGATGCGGGCGATGATAGGAATTATAGAGTAGTAATAAGAGTCTCATAATGCAACAAAAAATTAAACGGCCATGGTCTGGTCTATTAGACGTGGTTCATGGAAGATTGATCTATTCTATGCAGTATGTAGCTCTAAGGCGGTGTAAACTTCCGTATTGATTTAATAAATATAATATTTTTGCTCCTTGAAGCGGCAGAAAAAAAAAAGCTCCAGCTCCACCAAAACTTTCCGAACTCGGCTATGGCCCTAAGGAGGAGGAGGATCCGCTGTATTTACGACTTAGCCCGACCTCCTCCATCCCCCACACTATTGCGACATACAACCTCTATAAGGTTTATTTATTTCTTCGTTGTGAAATATCCTTTCCAATTCAATCGTAACTAACCGTTGCATACTGCCCACCATGGCTGTTGCTCAGAGGAATATCGATGCCGTCAACATGACCCAGAAGAAGTCCGACGTGACTCTAACAGTCCTCGGCTGCGGTACGAGGGAGCCCCGCACAATTTGCTGGAGAAGCATACATCACTAACAAAGATCTATCAATTCCTCCAGGGACTATGGGAATAGCCATCTTATCGGGCATACTTGCCTCCCTCTCTGAGGCAAGGAGCCACTCCGCATACCCCTCAGAGTCCGGAACCACCACACCATCAGAACTGGTCCCGGAGCAGAAGATCCCAAATAACTTCATCGCCTGCGTGCGTCGGCCGGAATCCGCAAAACGCGTTCGCAAAGCCCTGGAAAGCTACTCAATGCCATTGACCGTGCTGCAAAACGAGAACATCAAGGCCGTCAATGACGCTGAGGTCGTCATCCTCGGCTGCAAACCATACATGCTTCAGGACGTGCTCGGCGTGCCTGGCATGACTGAGGCGCTTGAGGGAAAACTCCTAATCAGCATCCTTGCTGGCGTAACCGTTGACCAGATCGAGAACACATTATACCCATCCACCTCGACGGTTCCAGAATCAAAACGGTGCCGTGTCGTTCGTGCCATGCCCAATACCGCCGCGATCGTCCGTGAATCTATGACCGTCATCGGCACCTCCACCCCACCCCTCCCCGAGGAGTGGAATGTGTTGATATCCTGGATATTCTCCCGCGTCGGGAGGGTGGTCACCCTTCCTCCATCAATGATGGATGTGTGCACGTCGCTCGCTGGCTCGGGCCCTGCATTTGTAGCCTTGGTTATGGAAGCGATGGCTGACGGAGCTGTTGCGATGGGACTGCCGAGGGCAGAGGCGCAGATGATGGCTGCCCAGGTCATGCGTGGGACCGCTGGTATGGTCCAGAATGGTGAGCATCCGGCGTTGATTAGAGAGAAGGTTAGCACCCCGGGTGGATGCACGATTGGTGGTTTGTTGGTTCTTGAAGAGGGACGAGTTAGGGGGACGCTCGCGCGGTCGGTTAGAGAAGCGACGGTTGTCGCAAGTCAGTTGGGACAGGGTATCCAGGGCGTTAATGGGACTCGCTTTTAAAGGACGGGATTTACTGCGGTGAATCCTCTTGCTTTGGTCGTTTGTGGTGAGCGATGGCTGGCTCGCCTATTTTCGGGCTTTTCTCTTTTCTTATTGTAATAGAAGGTAAGGCAAGGTAAAAAAAAAAAAAAAAAAAAAAAAAGTCTCGTGTGCATGATTTAAAAGTTTTTGCTTAATGATTAGATGAAATTCATATGTGTATGTCGTTCGACGGTTTTTTCGCGTAAATATATTTAGAAAAGGATAGGCCTTTTCTCATCTAAGTGGTAAGAAAGGTTGATTGAACAGATGACATTCCTGTTTCAAGTATCTATGGGGCACGGTCTAAATCGCTGCCTATCTTCATACATAATAACCACGATTACTCCTTACCCAATACCAGATGTATATGGTACTATGCGATAAAAGAAAAAGAAAGAAAGAAATTCCCAGATACCTTGAAAATCCCAAAACTCCGCATCAAAACAAACCACTATAGGGAGGGTCTTGTCTCAATTGGACTAAACGTCCTTATATGATGGTGGTCATCATAGCCATCATCATTACCTAGCAATCCTCTTTCCTCCTCCGTATTCCCTTCTCCAATCTCACTATCTCTAAGCCCTTGCGCCCTCCGCTTCTGCGCATCTTCGATAATATACCACACGTCCTTCTTCGTCAGGAACCCTTGTAGAGCACCTTTGTTTACAAAGAGTACATATCGAAGGCCTAATCTTTGGAACATATTCAGGACGATTAGGAAGCTGGCTCGGCTGTTTAGTGTGATGGGTGTTTGATCCATCCAAGGTCGAAGGTCGAGGGTTTCAAGTGGATCGGCGAAGGGTTGATGAGCGAAAAAGGCTGGGGTTTCTGGAGATAGGTTTCGGGAACTTCGAGAAGTGGCGGATTTAAGAGCGAAGCTAAGTTCGTTACGGGATATATAGCCTAGTAGGATAGGATTGGATGTGTCAGAGACGACAGGGAAGCCTCGGTAGCTTGTTGTCTCGAGAAGATGTAAGAGGGAGTCGATTGTGTGGCCAACAGCAGTGATGACCGAAAGGTCATGGATACTAGTCATGACCTGGCTCACTGGAACGTCAGGAAGGACAACATCGTCCTTTTGTTCGATGAATGGATAGTCATTTAAATGAATCCATGACTCGTAAATTCCCCGTTTTCCAAACGTATCTCCACACCATTTGGAGAGCATCACAGCAATCATAATTGGTATGACGTAGGTAAGAGCACCGGTAAGCTCAAACATGATGACCACTATCGACACCGTCATTCTAGTTGCCCCTCCGAGGGCAGATGCTGCCCCAACTATAGCATATGTACCAGGTGTAATGCATGGAATGTCGGGTTCGCAATTACGGAAGAGAAACAAGCCTGGCCGGGCTTTCTGCCACATTTCAAATGCAATGCCAAGAGCTCTGCCAGAGAGTGCGCCTATCGCCAACGAAGGAAGAATGATGCCCGCCGGGAGATCTAAGCCGAAGGTGATTGAGGTAAGGAAGAAGCCGAGAACTGCAGCCAGGAGCAGAAGGCCAATAACGCCCAAAGATGCAGATCCCGTTTTGCAAAGCCCGAACTGATCGTCAGGAACGTTCGCACACTCTGCGAAAAGGTAATATACAAGCTCAGACAACTGAGCTCGCATGAATATGTTTGGGAAGTTAATGAGAGCACTGATGAGTGCTACAAGGACCACTTGTATGATCGGGTATGAGTAGCCCCTCGCTTTTCGCCATCTAGCGATTTGCATGTTAAGTTTAATGAATAGACCGCCATACAATCCGCCAAATATACCTAGTACAGCAAACGGAAGAAGTTCAAATCGGTGCCATCCACGGCTGTACGTAACTTGGTAGAGCACAATTTTGCCTGTCCGAAAGGGGTTGAGAGCATGCAATGTCACTGCTGCAACCATGGCACAGACAAAGCTTTGCCACATTGTCTTGTCTGGAAAATAATAAGATAATTGCTGGGAAACGGAGCAACAAATTAGCCCTGTACGACACAAATGATTGAGTAGTGCAGTACCTCCAAACTGAACAACACACCTCCGATCGGAGACCCAAACGCAACGGAAATTCCTGCTGCGGCCGCCGCGGAGAGAACCTCACGTTTCCTCGCTGTTATTGTATATTAGTTATCTTAATTTCCTTCTATGGATCATACTACTTACCCTCATTACGATTAAGACTGGGGAAGGGCTTCATGATTAAACTTGCGCAGCAGCAAGCCACATGGACTAATGGACCTTCTTTCCCAAGCCATAGGCCCGACGCGGCAGCAAGGCACTAGATATCCGTTAAGTAATTATAACCAACCTGTGGATGGGAAGGGTAGTACATACTAGGCCGAGAGATTTGACCAACAATGTCCAAGCGCCCATGAATCGCTTGATTACGAAACCACCAAGGACGGTTTTTATTTCAGGGATACCACTGTGCTTAGCGTATACAGCAAACTTTCTGACGAGCACGCTTGCGGTTGTTGCAAAGAGAATCTAGCATCCTGGTTAGCGAAACCAACGTCATGGGCAAAGAATGTACTTACAGAATACATAACGAAAAAAATATATTCTACCACATATCCACTACTCTTGGATCTCACATGGAAAGCACTACGCCACGGCGTCCAATGTTGACACTCGGATAAATCTTGAAGACGGGTTAGCCATACATGTACGGGCTAGGTGGCGGTCGGGAGAACGGACCATCGTAGCCCCAACAGCAAAAGCTCTTATTCAAATAAAATCTTCCTCCTTCGGCACCAGTACGACAATAGCCAGTTTTAATATCCCCAAGCCAATTGCTTGCGATGTCTATACATGCCGCGATGACACCAACAACTATCCCCGTTATTATTAAGATAACCCAGATATGACTGGCATCTAAAACTTTGCGGACATAGCCTAAAAGACCTTTGTTACTGGCGTAAAGGTGACGTATCCGCTGGCGCTCTTTCGTATACTCGAAGATCCAATCGATAGCCGTTAAGTTGTCATAGCCTACTCGTCGGCCAGGGCCCTCGACGTACCAGTCCAACGGTCCGCCAGGCTTATTCCCATCTAGTCCTCCGTTGGCAGTCGTCGCTGTCGCAGGTGGTGGAGTGTGATTTGGTGATGTTCCATTATTGTTTGCAAAAGGGGTATGTGGAGGTGGGTGAGAGGTGGTTTCGGTGGAGGAAAAGAAGTTCGAGAGAGCAAATCGAGCTGGACCCTTCTGCTTGCGCTTGAATGAAATCCTGCCACATAGTCAGCAAGGAAGGCAATCGGCGGCGCATGAACTCACGATTCATCAAATGCCTCTCCTAAAGGGTCTGCCGCGAGCACTGTTTCGTCCCCCGGGCGTGTCGAATCCCAGTCCTCTTGTTCTCTGGGTGGATCATCGGAGTTGCGGGAAGGGTAGGAGCTATCATGATTAACAGGGTTGTGTGCTGTATTCGAGCCTGAAGAGTTTCCCGACATTGTCCGTCATGGAGGCGCCGGCGCTGTGCGTGGGACGAAGCCGGGAGCGGTTCTGTTCCAAGAGGTGCGATGAAGAGGGAATAATATATACAATGCCTGAAGCAACAACAACGGCTGGAGTCTAGACCCCGATTGGGCGGAGCTGTGGTACCATGAGAAAGCGAAATCTGATTGGCTTATTTAAGGCGGTGACGATCCATTTAGCGTATTCACGTGACATGGTGATCTCGCGGCAGAAAATAATTCGACTGACAGAAAATTTCTCGATGTTGAAATTCATTATTGTTGATATTGAGGTCTAAAAAAGTCCTGGGTGGAGGAAAAGGGCTTTTTAAGGTGGCTTACAGGATGACTCAATTTAGTATTAATGAGGTACTTTTACCAGGTTCTCAGTTTTTACAACAACTCCCGCCTGAACTGGTAGAAATTCTGCGTACCAGCAGTTCGAATCCATCAGCATGCCTCGATGCACTAGCAATTGCAGCATTACACCCAAATTATACCAATAAGTTGTTCGCACTGTACGAGCCAATATTTGTGGATTTAGCTGCTAGATGGCTTTACTTGGACTCCCGTGAATATTCTGTACAAATTACTCTCGCATTTTCACGAATTTTACCTTTTGCGCCATATCTTCAACCATTTGTCCATGTCGCCTCACAGCATCTCAAGGGCAGTGCCCTGCCCTCCTCGCCGGAATCAAACCAGTTTCAACTCCTGAATATGGAAGAACAAACGCTGCATGCGTTTCTGATTGCTCTATTCCGCCTACTTAGCTTTGACTTGGGCAGTTTCTCGGATATTCTTCCCGCCGCCCAGCTGCAGTCACTGCTCACTCATCCCAATCCTGTCATTAGATATCTTGCAATCCGATGTTTTTGCTTGTATATGCGTGCTGCAGATGCTGCTCTTGAGCAAATGCTAAGCAAGTATCATGGTCGGGCGGCGATCAACGGCTCGTGGGAGGACCGAAGTATCGACTATCGTTTCCTTAGTATTTGGGAGGAAAAGAGATGGACTGCATTAAAAGATGAACTTGAGAGCGCACGGATATCTCGCGATAATTCAGTTGTCGAGATTTGGACGAAAGGATTCCGAAACTCTTTTACAAGTCACACTGCTGAAATCGGCGGAGTACTTCTACCCACAATCCATCCGACAAACAATATACGAGCGTCAACTCTGGTGGAAACACCAACAGTTCTACGCAACGTTCGCAGCGTCGGTACTGCGCTTCTCTCAATGGACCCGGTGTTACTGGTCGGCCTGGCCGGTTCTGGGAAAACGTCACTTGTCAATGAGGCGGCCATTCGAATGGGCCAGTCTTCTTCCATGATTACGCTTCACATCAATGAACAAACCGATTCTAAAAGCTTATTGGGGGTGTACTCAACATCATCCCAGGCTTACTCATTTTCTTGGCAACCTGGCGTTTTAACGAAGGCAGCCAGGGAGGGCAGATGGGTTTTGATTGAAGACTTGGACCGTGCGCCTTCCGAAGTCCTTGGCCTTATTCTCCCGCTTATTGAGAAAAGGGAACTTATAATCCCGAGCAGAAAAGAACGTATCCGTTGCGCCGATGGCTTCAGGGTGATTGCCACGATGAGATCCACGATCAATGCCGCTGGGAAAGAAATTGCCCCAAGCGGCAATATGTTGGGCAATAGGCTTTGGAATCGCATTCAAGTGGTGTCAATGCCGTTGTCAGAAGTCAAAGAGGTTATTATTCAAAAGTTTCCGCTACTTTCCTCCCGGGTAGAAATGATCATGAATATGTTCGACCGTATCACCTCGCTATTCAACGGTTCTTTATCTCGAAAGTTCATGACAGGGAGGTTGCCAACACTTCGTGACTTGGTTAAGTTGTGCTACAGAATAGAACGACGGCTGCGGAATCTTGGGTGTGAAACTGGCTATGAGGCAGTCCCAGATGGTACTCAGGACGAATTTTTCATGGATGCGGTTGACTGTTTCGCAGCCCATTCCTCCAAAGGATTACTTCAGTCAACGGTCACAGAAGCTATTGCGGAAGAGATGCAGGTATCCCCACAGCGTATGAAATTCTGCCTGTCCGAACAGACTCCGAAGTATTTGGATTCCCCAAACTCAGTCACGATCGGCAGAGAATCCTGCCAGAAAAGAAAACTCCTTGGCTTGCGCAAGTCAGCCTCCTCAGCAGCCGATCGGAGTACCTTTGCACCAACAAGGGCTTCGTTGAAGATAATGGAACAAGTTATATCAGCGTTGCAGCTCTCTGAACCCGTTCTACTTGTTGGAGAAACTGGAATTGGCAAAACCGCAGTGATCCAGCAGCTTGCCTCCCTTTTGCGCCAGCGGTTAACGGTGGTAAATTTATCGCAACAAAGTGAAAGTACGGACTTGCTAGGTGGCTTTAAGCCTGTCAATATTCGATCAATTGCTGTTCCTTTGGTGGACGATTTCAATTTATTGTTCGAATCGACTTTTTCCGCAAAAAAGAACCAGAAGTTTTTATCGTCGGTTGCGAAATGTCTTACCAACAGCAATTGGGTACGTTTAGTTAATATCCTCAACGAGGCTGTCAAAATGGCATCTGGAGTTTTCGAATCGATGAAGAAAAAGAAAATTGAATTGGAGGATGCAGGTTCTGAGCAACCCTCGAAGAAACGGAAACTGGACGATTCAAAATATACCAGCCTCCGTGAGAAGTGGGAGAATTTTGCTAGGGAACTGAAAGAATTTGAGGTCCGGGTGTCTAAAGGCGATAGCAAGTTTGCATTCGCGTTCGTACAAGGAAAGATAGTCAAAGCCCTGAAGAATGGTGAATGGGTTTTGCTCGATGAGATAAATTTAGCTTCCCCGGACACCCTAGAGAGTATTGCCAGTCTCCTCCACTATGGAAGCGACGGCATTCCGTCATTGCTTCTTTCTGAGGCTGGGGAAGTTGAACGCATTTACGGACATCCGAATTTCCGAATTTTTGGGGCTATGAACCCGGCAACTGATGCTGGGAAACGAGATTTGGCTCCTGGTTTACGATCTAGATTTACGGAAATATATGTTAATTCACCAGATACCGAAATCGACGACCTTATAACTTTGATAGATGCTTATCTGGGCTCATTGACTGTTGCTGACAAGAAAGCTTCTATTGCCCTTGCTCGCCTTTACCTCGATACGAAGAAGCTAAATGCAGACAACAAACTGACAGACGGCGCTGGCCAGAAGCCACATTTCAGCATCAGAACTCTGGTTCGTTCTTTAATATATGTGAGAAATCAAGCGCATATCTACGGACTTCGACGGGCAATGTACGAAGGATTTTGCATGAGCTTTTTGACATTGCTCAGCAAAGAATCTGAACTCCAAATTATCCCTCTTTTGGATCAACATATATTTGGGAGCTTGAAAAACTCCCGATCAGTATTATCACAAACTCCTAAGCCTCCGAACGACGGAGCCACTTATGTTCAATTCAAGCATTACTGGATGAGGCAGGGTGCATTTCCGATTGAGTCCCAGTCACATTATATTATCACACCGTTCATTGAGAGAAATTTGATGAATTTAGTGAGAGCAAGTTCTACGAGACGGTTTCCGATTTTATTACAGGGCCCGACATCCTCTGGCAAAACTAGTATGGTGGAATACCTGGCCAAAATATCGGGCAACCGATTTGTCCGAATTAACAACCATGAACACACCGACCTCCAAGAGTATTTAGGATCATACGTATCCGGCGAAGATGGCAGCTTGCGATATCAAGAAGGAATACTGGTTGAAGCCCTGAGGAATGGCTACTGGATTGTGCTAGATGAGCTTAATCTAGCACCGACCGATGTCCTGGAAGCTCTCAACCGCCTGCTTGATGACAATAGAGAATTGTTCTTGCCTGAATCGCAGGAAGTCGTCCACCCACATCCCAACTTTATGCTGTTCGCTACACAAAATCCCGCTGGTCTCTACGGTGGTCGAAAGGTGCTTTCCCGCGCGTTCCGAAATCGATTCCTTGAACTCCATTTTGATGACATTCCCGAGGACGAACTTGAATTCATTCTCAAGGAACGATCGCAAATTCCTCCATCATTCTGTGCAAGAATAGTGGCGGTATATCGAAAACTTTCACTTCTACGACAATCAAGTCGCTTGTTCGAGCAGCGAAACAGCTTTGCTACTCTACGTGATCTCTTTCGATGGGCCCAACGCCGTGCTGATGATCGCGAACAACTGGCTGTCAATGGTTTTATGCTTTTGGCAGAAAGGGTAAGGAATCCACAGGAAAGGGCAGCTGTAAAGGAGGTAGTCGAGGAGGTTATGAGGGTGAAGCTTGATGAAACTACCATTTATAGTTCTACCCGACTGGATGCTCGACTCCAACAGCTCTCAGCTACTGCCCCAACTGGTATAATATGGACACAGGCGATGAGGAGGGTATTCATACTTGTTTCACAGGCTATTGAACATAATGAACCTGTCCTGCTTGTTGGAGAAACCGGATGCGGCAAAACACAAATATGCCAAGCTATTGCAGAAATATATGGAAAGGAACTCTTCACCATAAACGCTCATGTTAACCTCGAGACGGGAGATATCATTGGTGCACAGAGGCCGTTGAGAAATAGATCCGCAATCGAAGGACAGCTTTTAGCGGATCTATCATCAGTCTTGAATTCCATTGATACATACGATGAAAGCAGTGATAGCTCTATCGACGAGCTAACACGAGCATTTTCTGCATTACAGACCGAGGCACTGGACATGTGCGAGCCAGGTTTGGTGAATCGTATAAGGGAGAATATGACAAGAGCGAAGGCACTTTTCGAATGGTCCAACGGTAGTCTCATAACGGCAATGGAAACCGGGCAACATTTTCTTCTAGACGAAATTTCACTTGCAGACGACTCCGTTTTGGAACGCCTAAACAGCGTTCTTGAATCCCACAGGTCTTTACTCCTTGCAGAAAAAGGCCCTATCGATTCCTTAGTGGTCGCAAGGGATGGTTTCCAGTTTTTGGCAACCAT